TGGGTGACCTTGAACACAGACGCGGTCTATTTCAAGTTCATAAATGCCGTGTGTGTGTGTGACATCAAGCTCGACGATCCGAGTTCGATTCGTGTATCACGCCCAACATGGGTGACGATTATATTATTTGAACCGGTCCTGGGCCTCCTCCCCTAGGTCGACTCAGCCTAAAATGAGTACCTGTTGCTTGTGTGTAAACATCGCCATTAGGGAGACAAAGACGGCCGGGCGTGGTTACTGGCCACCCAATTCTTGGTGTGCCGTTCCGGCCTGAATCATAGGTGCTCGCTAATAGCACTCGCCCCAACAGTCTGTTACAGGCTACACGAGGGATATTTGCCTTCATAAAACACTGAATAATGTGATTGTGTTTTTCGTATTTTATTCACCATTTTATTCTCAAGGAAGGGGTTCATTTCTGGATGATATTTTAACAAAACCATAACACGTCGAGGCTGCGTTGGCGGCGGGTTTGCGCCATCAGGAATGAAGAGATGCATTAAAAAAAACGGGAAATCCCATCAAGAGGGAACTTTGTTCCGAAACGTCAGACAACTTGACATAAATGTTGTGTTTTAAGGAAGTGTTCGCAACGAGTGTGGTGAAAATTCAGGAACATAATGGGGCTGCGGTGACATTGCTAAACATTTTTTTTTAAAAATATAATACCACCTGTATCATAAACACCACTTGTATGTTGATTTAAAAAAAAAGAAATGCGTGCTTGTAATCGGATAACATTTCAGGGACGATGGCTCACTTTAAAAGTGGCGCATCTGCGTTTGCCTTTTGTCAAACGGCACAATGGTCGCGTGGGGCCTGACTGGGTTTAGGTTACGGAGGTAGATAGGTGACCCGTGTAACCGGGGGGCGGGCGGGGGTGGCGATCGAGCCGATGAGTCGCACCCCATCATCAAGCGACAGGGAGACGACGGCGTTAGACGCTGCGTGGACGCACGTGCGGCAATGGGGTTGCGCGCGCGCGCGCGCGAGGGGTTCGTGACTCAGCGCGCGCGTAGATGACGAAGCGTGCGGGTGATGAGGCGTACGCGTGGGTGTACGTGCGTGTGTCTGTGCGTGTGTCTGTGTATGAGTCTGTGTGTATGTCTGTGTGTATGTCTGTGTGTGTCTGTGTGTGTCTGTGTGTGTGGGTCTGTGTGTGTCTGTGTGTGTGTGGGTCTGTGTGTGTCTGTGTGTGGGGGGGGAGTGGGGAGCGGTAGTGTAGCGGTTAGCGCGCTGCGCTATGAACCCGGCGACCCGGGTTCGATTCCCGCTCACGATCAACACCAGTGACGATTATCTGAACCGGTCCTGGGCCTCCCCTAGGTCGACTCAGCCTCAAATTAGTATCTGGCGCGATGTGTAAAAAAGCATTGCCACTAGGGAGACAAAGGCGGCCGGGTGTGGTGCTGGCCACCCATCCCTTTGTGTGCCGTGTCGACCTTCAATAGGTGCTGGCTAATAGTCTGTGGAAGGCTATACCGGGGGATCTTTGTGGGAGGAGTGGTGGTGTCGCGGTTAGCGCGTTGGGCTACGAATCTGTCGACCCGAGTTCGATTCACGCTCACAGGGACTATTATCTGAACTAGTCCTGGGCATCCCCTAGGTTGACTCAGCCTTAAATAAATACATGGTGCGGTGTGTAAACATTCATACTGGGGAGATATTGGCGGCCGGGCATGGTGCTGGGGGGGGGGGGGGCTTCGTCTTTGTCGGTGTGCATACTTGACAGGCGACAAATTGTGTGGGTGATTGGGTGTATGTCTCTGTGTAGGGTGTGCTAATGACTAGCTATGTTGGTGCGTGTGAGGTTGTGTAAAATTAATTCGTTTAACACGTAGGCTTTCACGACCAATAATATAGGGGTTTGTTTTGGGGGGGGGGGGGGGGGGAGCGGTTAGAATGCGATCTAACCCCAGCAACAAAAAAACCCTGTATTATGGATAACCGTGTATTATGGATGATATTGACCAGTTGTGTGTACAGGTGACTTAAGTGTCCGCTGTGTGAAGGTGTCGCCTGGCCTTCGATGGTGCTGCTCGCTAACAGCAACTGCCCCAACAGTCTGTTAAGGCTATACGGGGGGGGGGGGGGGGTCTTTGCGTGTGTGTTGTCGCGTTTCTGTGTAGGTGGGCGTGTAGGTACGTGGGTAGGTGTGTATGTATGATTGATAGTGTGAGTGTGATTAGGTGTGTATGTATGATTGATCGTGTGATTAGGTGTGTATGTATGATTGATCTGTGTGATTAGGTGTACGTGGGTGTGTGTGTGCACGTGTAGGTGTGTGCCAATTACTTGGTTAGAGTCGGTATGTGTGTGTGTGTCGGATACGCGTGTGTGTAGAATTGTGGTTGTGTCTGTAGGTGACAATGTGTGCGTCGACGCCCGCTCACGGACAACACCAGTGGCGATTATCTGAACCGGTACTGGGCCTCCCCTAGGTCGACTCAGCCTTAAATGAGTACCTGGTGCGGTGTATAAAAACATCGCCACGGGGGAGACAAAGGCGGTCGGGCGTGGTGCTGGCCACTCACCCCCTCGTGTACTGTAACGGCCTTCAGAGGTGCTCGCTAACAGCACTTGTCCCTACAGACTGATAACAGGATCTGTAGGGGGATATGGGGAATAATTGTCATTTAGGCGTGTGTGTGTAGGAGTGTCGGTTAATAGGTGTGTGCCGCTATCTATACAGGTATCTATAGGTGCGTGCATGTGTGAACGCAGAAATATAAGTGTATGCAAATATATAGCTGTGTGCAAATGTGCGTGCGAACAGGTGTGTGTGTAGGTGTGTGTCGGTGTGTGTAGGTGTGTGTAGGTGTCTCTAGGTGTCTGTAGGTGTGTGTAGGTGTCTATAGGTGTGTGTAGATGTCTGTAAGTGCCTGTAAGTGTGTGTAGGTGTGTGTAGGTGTGTGTTGGTCTGTGTAGGTGTGTGTAGGTGTCTGTAGGTGTGTGTAGGTGTCTGTAGGTGTGTGTAGGTGTGTGTAAGTGTGTGTAGGTGTGTGTAGGTGTCTGTAGGTGTGTGTTGGTGTGTGTAGGTGTCTGTAGGTGTGTGTAGGTGTGTGTAGGTGTCTCTAGGTGTGTGTAGGTGTGTGTAGGTGTCTGTAGGTGTGTGTAGGTGTGTGTTGGTCTGTGTAAGTGTGTGTAGGTGTCTGTAGGTGTGTGTTGGTCTGTGTAGGTGTGTGTAGGTGTCTGTAGGTGTCTGTAGTTGTGTGTTGGTCTGTGTAGGTGTGTGTAGGTATCTGTAGGTGTGTCTAGGTGTATGTAGGTGTGTCTAGGTGTCTGTAGGTGTGTGTAGGTGTGTGTTGGTCTGTGTAGGTGTGTGTAGGTGTATGTAGGTGTCTGTAGGTGTGTGTTGGTGTGTGTAGGAGTGTGTAGGTGTCTGTAGGTGTCTGTAGGTGTGTGTAGGAATGTGTAGGTGTCTGTAGGAGTGTGTGTAGGTGTCTGTAGGTGTCTGTAGGAGTGTGTAGGTGTCTGTAAGTGTGTGTAGGTGTCTGTAGGTGTGTGTAGGTGTCTGTAGATGTGTGTAAGTGTCTGGATGTGTGTGTAGGTGCCTGTAGGAGTGTGTTGGTGTCTGGAGGTAGATGTGTGTAGGTGTCTGTAGGTGTGTGTAGGTGTCTGTAGGTGTCTGTAGGTGTGTGTAGGTGTCTGTAGGTGTGTGTAGGTGTCTGTAAGTGTGTGTAGGTGTGTGTAGGTGTCTGTAGGTGTGTGTAGGTGTGTGGATGTGTGTGTAGGTGTGTGTAGGTGTCTGTAGGTGTGTGGATGTGTGTGTAGGTGTCTGTAGGTGTCTGTAGGAGTGTGTAGGTGTCTGTAGGTGTCTGTAGGTGTGTGTAGGTGTCTGTAGGTGTCTGTAGTTGTGTGTTGGTCTGTGTAGGTGTGTGTAGGTGTCTGTAAGTGTGTCTAGGTGTCTGTAGGTGTGTCTAGGTGTCTGAAGGTGTGTGTAGGTATGTGTTGGTCTGTGTAGGTGTGTGTTGGTGTGTGTAGGTGTCTGTAGGTGTGTGTAGGTGTTTGTAGGTGTCTGTAGAGGTGTGTAGGTGTCTGTAGGTGTCTGTAGGTGTGTGTAGATGTCTGTAGGTGTGTGTAGGTGTCTGTAGGAGTGTGTAGGTGTGTGTTAGTGTCTGTACGAGTGTGTGTAGGTGTCTGTACGAATGTGTAGGTGTGTGTAGGTGTCTGTAGGAGTGTGTAGGTGTGTGTAAGTGTCTGTAAGAGTGTGTAGGTGTGTGGATGTGTGTGTAGGTGTGTGTAGGTGTGTGGGTGTGTGTGTAGGAGTGTGTAGGTGTGTGTAGGTGTCTGTAGGTGTGTGTAGGTGTCTGTAGGTGTGTGTAGGAGTGTCTAAGTGTCTGTAGGTGTGTGTAGGTGTGTGGATGTGTGTGTAGGTGTCTGTAAGTGTCTGTAGGTATGTGTAGGTGTCTGTAGGTGTGTGTAGGTTTCTGTAGCAGTGTGTAGGTGTGTGTAGGTGTCTGTAGGAGTGTGTAGGTGTGTGTAGGTGTCTGTAGGAGCGTGTAGGTGTGTGTAGGTGTCTGTAGGTGTGTGTAGGTGTCTGTAGGAGTGTGTAGGTGTGTGTATGTGTGTGTAGGAGTGTGTAGGTGTGTGTAGGTGTCTGTAGGAGTGTGTGTAGGTGTCTGTAGGTGTGTGTAGGAGTGTGTAGGTGTCTGTAGGAGTATGTGTAGGTGTCTGTAGGTGTGTGTAGGTGTGGGGAGCGGTAGCGTAGCGGTGACCTTGGTTCGATTCCCGCGCACGGCCAACACCACTGAACCGGTCCTGGGGCCTCTCCCCTAGGCCGACTCAGCCTACAATGAGTACTTGATGCGGTGTTTAAACATCGCCACTGGGGAGACAAAGGCGGTCGGGCGTCGTTCTGGGGCCACCCCTCTCCCCGTCGTGCGCCGTTTCCAGCCCTTCATAGGTGCTCGCAAACAGCACTTAAGGCAACAGCAGTGGTGGTGGTTCTTTGTTGTTATTGTGTGTGTGTGCGCGTGCGTGCGTGCGCGCGCACTCACTAGCGGCTGAAGAATTGCAGGCAGAGCTCCAGGGTCTCTCCCTCCACCTCCGACTCGGCGAGGCTGGACGAGGGCGGACGGAGCGGCGGAGGGGCCGCGTCCTCGCCGGGCGACTCGGGGGGCACGCGCAGCTCCGCGAGCATGGCCGAGAGCATCTTCCTCGTGCTCTGCTCGTCCGCCATGGTTTAGCACGCGCGAGTGACACAAACCCCAAAAACCCAAAACAACAACAATAAGAGAAAATGAAACCGAACGGGCAACCGAGGATGAACCCCACCGGAGGCGCACGCGCGCGCGCGGCACGGCACGCGCACTGCAGCCGCCCGCCTCGAACTTAGAGCGCGCGTGGTGGTCTTGGTGGGGGGGGGGGGTGGTGGCGGTGGTGTCCCGGTTGTGGTGGTGCTGCTGGTGGTGGTGGCGGTGGTGTTGGTGTTGGGTCCGTCGACTGCCGTAGCTGAGCGCCGCTCCAGCTATTTAAAGCTTTGCCTCCTCCGCAAGTTTCACCCACAAAGCAGCAGCGGCGGCGTGGGCTGGCGGTAGCGGCAGCAGCGGCAGCAGCAGCGCAACCCACTCGCTCATCATCCCCGGGTGCGCGGCGCGCTCGACATGCATCGTCGTCGTCTTTGTAGAGGCGGCGGTCGACGCTCTCGCTGAGTCGACGCTGTCAGTCGACAGGCTGCGTGCTGCGCATGCGACGATTTTCCATTGTGCGCCTCTCACGCCTGCACCTCTGTGTGTGTCGGTCTCTGTGTGTGTCTGTCTCTGTGTGTGTCTGTCTCTGTGTGTGTCTCTGTGTGTGTCTCTGTGTGTGTCTGTCTCTCTGTGTGTGTCTCTGTGTGTGTCTGTCTCTCTGTGTGTGTCTGTGTGTGTGTCTGTCTCTGTGTGTCTGTCTCTGTGTCTGCGTGTGTCTTTGTCTGTGTCTCTGTGTGTGTGTCTGTGTGTCTGTGTGGAGACGACAAGCGGACAAGGGAGCGGTAGTGTAGCGGTTAGCGCGACGCTGCGCTCCGAACCTGCTGGCCCGAGTTCGATTGCCGTTCACGGCCAACGCCAGTGACGATTATTTGAACCCAGCCTGGGCCTCCCCTAGGTCGATTCGGCCTCAAATGAGTAGCTGGTGCGGTGTGTAAAAAAAATTATTGCCATTGGGGAGACAAAGGCGGTCGGGCGTGGTGCTGGTCATCCGACCCCTCGTGTGCTGTACCGGCCTTCATAGGTGCTCGCTAACAGCACTTGCCCCAACAGTCTGTGCAGGCTATACGGGGGACCTTTGTCTTTGGAGACAGGCGGACAAGGGATGACAGCCCCTCCCGGCTAATGCGAGTCAATATCATCAGCGGTCACCTGTTGTGCGCGCGCGCGCACAACAATATGGGGAGCGGTGGCTCAGCGGTTAGCGGCACTGCCCTACGAACCTGGTGGACGCGAGTTCGATTCCCCGCTCACGTCCAAATACCAGTGGCGATTATGTGAACCAGTTCTGGGCCTCAGGCTCGGTCGGCCACGTTTTAAACGAGTGCCTGGTGCGGTGTGTAAACATCGGCGTTGGGGAGATAAAGGCGTCCGGGCGTTGTTCTGACCACACTACCCCCGTGCGTGCCATGCCGGCCTTCATACGTGCTCATTAAGAGCGCTTGACCCAAATGTATTTTGAAGGTTATACGGGTGGTTGGGGGTAGTGGGTGGTTATCTTTGTGCAAACTTACTGCAACTGATGCGTTCCCACCCTGGCTGAGTGACCCCGAGGGCTGTCAGCCACCCGCTCTCTCTCAATGCCCGCATGATTTACCCAGGAGTCTGACAGCTTCTCGTTTGGCTATCGGAGGGCACGTAGATTTGTTCCAATGCTAATTAAAATTGTATGTTTTTAAAAAATATATATCCACGTGTAGATGGGGGAATCCGTGTTGCAGAGGTTGTGAGAGCCGAACGTTATTTAAAAAAAGAGATTTTTTTATTTGATTTCACTCAATTGCATCGAGAAAAAAATGCATCCTTTGTCAGTCTCCTTCCACAGAAGGGGCATAAATACACCCACCTCGCGCCGGTAATTGGGGGATTGGTTGACCATGCTTCACCACGCTGGTTTGTACGGATATGACGATTCCGCTGCTGGATGATAGCCGCGGCCGGCAATGAAACTCGGCTAGCCAGGAGAGGGGCGCAAGTGCGATGCCGTTAACCGGTGCGCCACCATTCGTTGTAAAATGGTGAGTGCGAGACAGATGCATCTTTAAAGGGGTGGTGGGTTGGTGACGAGCTTCTTTAATAATCATAGGGGGGTGACCACAATGAGTGTGCCCGGGGGATGTGGCGGTGGATCACTCCTCGGGCGATTCCCCCCTGCCCGCCCCTCCTCCTCCTGTCCTGTTTGGCGAGCCAGAGGAAAATTCCACTTCAAGTGTTTTTATGCATTTCTAGATTTGAAGCTTTCGTGACTGCTAGGATCCATACTCTTTGGTTCTATTGGGTAAAGTCACGTAGGTAAAAAATAAAATAACAAAAATCACGACGTTTCGGCCACAACACACGCGGCCTTCATCAGGTGAAGGGACGAGACTGTCTGGAGGACAGTCTCCAGCGCTGTCCCTTCACCTGATGAAGGCCGCTTGTGTTGTGGCCGAAAAGTCTTGATTTTTGTTATTTTATTTTTTACCTACGTGACTTTACCCAATAGAACCAAAGAGTATGTTTTTATGCAACCGGCCACAGATTCTGACTGGGTTCCACTGAGATTAAAGAGAGAGCACTTTACATTCAGTGGTCAGTGACCTCCACCACCACCGTCGGCAGCAACGCAAAGTGATTAAACACACATGTTTCGCTCTCTCACTCGCACTCACCACGGGACAACGAAATAAAACTAAACAACATTTTAGTTTCATCGGACGCCGCCGCCGTAAACGTATATCGCCCTGGACAAAGCAATAATCCAGAGGTCGTCAGGGTCGATCGGCAACAACGGTCCATAATAAAGGTTTTTGGGTTAGATCGCGTTATTTATAAATGTGTCGTAACCCCCCACCACCCGACACGGCCAATCAGCAAAAAAGTGTCACGTTGACAAAAGACAAATAGTTCATTACTTTAGCCCACCGGTGTGTTGAAGAGTGAATTCACAACATTTATAGTTTGAGTACGACGATGTGCTGGTAAATACATCCAGCATCATCGGACAATTCGCCAGAATGGTAAAGCCCTCACTTGCTCCTGGTCTTAAATAGAGCAGCAGGGTGTCGTCATCATTTAACTCATATCAGGTGCAGTGATTTGAGGCGGAGGGGGGGTATTGTAATTATATAAGCGATTGGTAATCAGTCAATGGTTATGATTAGTAATGAGTTGTAGATTAGTAATTAGTTGTAATGTGTAATTGTGATTATATGCTACGTTAGTAATCCGTTAATTAGTATGTGTTTCCCCTATAAGGAATTGTAATATGTATTATTTAATAATAAGCTTCCAAGCCGCACGGTTTAAGTTTCTGAAATCCATCCTCCCGCCACCACCTCCACCGCTCCCTTACGAGACGCCCGATCCAGCAGAACAAATGGATACACCACGGTCGATCGGCAGGTCGCGCGGAATGGAGTAAAGTGTGGGCACCCTCACGCACTTCCTCCAAGGCCACTCTAATCGTGGGGGACCCGTTTGTCAGCAGCGGCGTGAGCAAGCCATTAACCTCGTTAACTTTTAGTCCATTACACTATAGGGCCTATGGACCGATGTTGTCTGCAGCGGCTCCAATATTTTGCGTTTGTTCAGCAGTGCGTTAGAGCTTGAACGAACGCTGGCTACCGGGCTGCCAAAGATGCTCGACACGCACGCCACTCAACGCGTCCAAGGCCCCATTGAGCGCAGTCGAGCAACATTGTGCAACATAAATCGTTGCGGAGCAATAACATCGGTCACTTCATACCGACCAGTCACCCCCTCCATGCTCTAGGAAATGTTCAGCGGCGGAGGCAGTGGTGGAAATTCCACGATCCAATGGCGGGGGGCGGTCTCCATACGCAGCCCCCGGTGGAAGACGCCCCACGTCCATCCCTGAAGCGGGAGCCGTGAACGCCAAACGTCGTCTCCACCGTGCAGCGAGCAACCACCTGAACCACGGCGCTACGCAGCGTTCACGGCGTGCTCACGGTAGCGTAGGGTACCCGTCACGGCTGCGCTTTTGACGGCGAGAGAAGGATGAGACGCCCCAATGTATAACCCCCCACGAACCGCGAGCAATATAAAGAAATGTACAACAACAACAACAAAAACACACGATCGTAGGTCGCGGTCTATCCTCGTAAATAAATGAAACGCATTGAAAGGCAAACACGTGGAGTCAGGACCTCCGCGGCAGACGGCGGTAATGGGAAGGAGCCGGCAGCATTGTTAGAAGCAGGGACGAGGAGGATGACTTCTGCCGGTGCCTAGGGCAGGGGCCCAAATGCGCCTCCCGTGCAGGCTGGGGGACTTCTGTCCGGCCTTCAATGTCCAAGCGAGACGTCGCGATGGGCCACGGTGGCCTTAATCATGTTACGTGTACGACCCTTTCCCCCCAAACCGCTGCTGGATGGGGTGGGGGGGCGGATTATTTTGACGAGGCTGGTCAGTGTATCGACACAAGCACTGCTTCCCCCCCAATGTTCCGTTTGGAATTGATAAAAGCTACCATACTGCCTCTACTTGACTACTGTGACATCGTTTATAAATCAGCCCCAAGTACTGTACTGAAGAAGCTTGATTCCATCTATCACTCGGCCTTAAGATTTGCATTGAACTGCCCATATAGGACTCACCACTGTGATCTCTACATTGGGTCAAACTTAACATCTCTTAATGTTCGACGGCTTGTGCACCAGATCTTATTTATTCACGATGTACTTATCAAAAAATCCGCATACTACCTACTGGATCTCCTCTGTTTCAAAGAACAAATTTTACCTCAGGTCTTCGCTCATTTACCAGCTTCACATTCCCTATTGCCGTACAAAAACCGGAAGGGCCTTTGCTATTGATGCCCCCAGGGTCTGGAATGCTATTGCCAATAAACTGCAACTTGAATCACTACCTATGAGATCTTCACTCAAAACTGCTCTGGAGGAGTTGTACACCCCTCGCTGCCACTGCTATTCAGTGGCCTAAAATATGGCTCTAGATTTTGGTGTTATAATTTATGTAGTTTATTGTAAAAAAAATCGGTCACAGTCCCTATGATCACTGTTACATTGCATTTATGGCTTTTATTTTGATTTCGAAAACGTTTTTTTTTGTTTATTGTAGTACAGAGTTAGACTGATGGCCTTAATCTTAGTTGTCTTGTTGTTGTTGTTATTTGACTTGCATCCCACTGGAATTTTTGCACACAGCGTTGGTGTACGGTGCTATTTCAGGAATATTTTGATGTTTTTTTCCTGGATTTTCTGTTTGCACAGTTGCGGTTGCACCCGATTCAAAAGCCGAATGGCTCACAGGGCTATACCAAATAACTGAACTATGGTGAAATTCGTGGGCATAGACGTGGGAGCGTAGAAGTACTGTACAAGTGGATCTCGATGCACTTGCCCTCTACTGATCGCCACGTGGGCACCGCGAGCCCTGTGAAAACGTGTTGGGTGCATGGTGGTTCGTCCACATCCACGCGCTATTATCCAAGGCACCCGAAATCCTGCCGAGCTTCAGATTTGTCGAGGTCAGGCCGAATTGGTCTATCGCCGGTCTGATATTACCACTAAATCGCCACCATCAGTAGACTTTCTAACAGACCCAGAACCCCATCAGGCGTGGAGCGTGTAACATGGTGGGAGAGTTGTGTTGTGTAGCTTTAAAGGCACCATTCCAATCGAAGGAGCAGCACACTCCAGACGGCTGCCTGAAGCGGTGGAGGGAAGGTCGAGACACAAGAGTCGAAGCAGTGGCGTCCCTATCGAGTGTGCAGGCGGTGCAACTGCACCAAGGCCCACGGGCCGGAGGGGCCTTGACGTTGGGATAAAGAAAGCTAATGGAATGGGGAGGGTAGGAAATTGGACGGGGGGGGGGGGGGGGGATTTAATTGCAAGCCAGGGCCCATGGCAGCCACGCACGCTACGCCAGTGGAAGCAAGTCTGTGTTGGACCTGTGTAACCCTCTCTTGGATGGTCGAAATGTCAGGCTGACGACGACTTATACGATCTCCTCTCTGTAGATGAAACGCGTCTTTCTTAAATAAAAGGCTGCTACTGTGCCCCAACTTGTGATCACGAAGTGTTCAGATTCCCGGACAAGAACTGTTTGTTTTTTGATCGATGTAGTTGACGGCCCAAAGTGACCAACATTTTGGTGTGTGTGACATTTAGAAGACGTATCGTGTAGCAACACCGTGGCTGGTTGTCTAATGCATCGGTGTATCGATAACGCGTGGGTTTTCGCCACGGCTGACAGGCGACAAAGGTTGATTGTTGGACTCATGGCGAGGACTGCCTACAGGTAACCCCCCTCCACCCGCCCCCCGTGGCCACACGCGTAAACAGCCCAAATCAGTCACCAGGAGTGGGCGAACAGCAATCTGGTCCCGGGGAATGAGACGCCACTCCTGTCGGAACATGAGAAAAAAAAGCTCATCGGATTCCTCGCGTGTAAGTAAATATTCCGATCCTGTTTGTGTTTACGCAGCGACGTCAATATACATTTCCCTCTGGTTAGATTGATGGGCATAAGAAAACGTGGCAAGAACTGCGAATGTCGATCATGAAGCAGTGGTGGTGGTGAGTTGGGGCACGTGTGAAGGATGAAGGAGGGGGGGGGCAAGAGGCAGATATTGGAGCCAGATGTTTGAGATACTTTACAAGGCCTCGTAGAGGGTGCGTGTTCACTGAACAGCTGCAGGGTCTGGCAGATGAAGCGCAGGGCCAGATTAAAGTTCTTGTAGGCCCTGGGCACGTTTCGTGGGCTTTCAGTGACAACTCTCTACAGTTGGTACTGCTGTTGCTGCCCCGTGTCACTACTACTGCCGCTGTCACTCGCTTGATTGTGCAAAAAACAACACCATTTGCTCATCTTGCAATTAAAAAAATCTAGAAAAGTTAATATCCGGTGGTTATTTCTCTCACCTTGTGAAAAAACGTTGACATTGACACGACTCTTTGTACCTACACTGTGCCTAACCTTTGCAATATAAATGTAATTATTCAAGATATCTTGGTTACATTTTGTATATCATACAAACAAAAAAAACATGGTACATTATCTTTTTTGTAGGCCCTTAAGTTTCCGTAGGCCCTAGGCAGTGCCTGTGGCCGCTTGGATAATACGGCCCTGATTAAGCGTGATGGTGGTGCGGGTGACAGCAAAACAGAATCGGCCCACGGTGACTTCTTGACCTCTCCGAACCTCGTGACTACCCACAGTGGAAACCTGCGTCCTTAAAAACCTCGAAGCAGGATTTTCCATCGTTCATTGTCGACACGTGGTTTCCACCGTTTTACTGCACGCTACTGTAAACATTTAGTGAACTTCACTTTGTGGAAAGTTTCTAATGCAGATGTTTTATTCCTCCACCAACCCCCCCCCCCAACCTTTTAAATGGGCCTAGTGTGTGTGGTTCTTGAGCACAGATCATTTTATATCCACTTAGCATGTTTTTTTCTTAGTTGCAATTTAAAATTTGCAGAGATTTGCATTCAAATTACATTGCCGATTCTGTATATCCCAGCAAAAATGTTCGGTGTATGTTTCCGGTTTGACTTCGGTGGTATAATTGTTTACTTAGCAGTGTGGCATTGCCACAGTGGCGATGTGAACTCCCTCGCCTGGTATGCAGGAGGTCGTGGGTTCGAACCCGACCCGGACGCCTGTATACATTTGGAGTTTGCGTGTCTCTCTCCCCGTCGTCGTGGGAAATTTTCTCCGGGTCCTCCGGTTTTTCCCTCCACGTTTAGAAACATGCGTTTCAAGTATTTGGCTGCTATACATTTCCACATGATAAGCCAATTCGCTGAACCATCATTTGTGGCCAGGTCGCTTCTGATAAAGGGCTTTATATAAAGCTGGTGCAATGAAAAAAAGTTTCGTTTTTAGTTTATTGCTATTCACATTTCCTCCCGTTTTTTCACCTCCCAGCCATATCACATGGAATGCACCAAATCTTGTCAGATCTCAGATTGCAGTTGAACCCGAACAGAGATGGGTTGAACCTGAACCAGTCGCAACATGGCACGGGTATAAAAAGGCATTTTGCGGGCAGCCACCAACCCCCGACTGACCAGTGTGCGGTCAAGTGTCGTCAAAATATCCCTCGCGGCCTGCGAGGCGTGGTAGGGTAGTCCACTCATGCAGCGATGGATTGATAAACACGGGCTGTACACGTGTGCATATGCGCCGCCGCGTTTGCACTTGGAGCTGAGTCAGGTTTCCTCTGCAAGGGACTCAGAACGGGGAAAAAAAAGTGAAACATGCGTTCAAGTTTCATACGCAATTGCATTCTTGCAAGTGATCACGGTGCGGTGACGTGGTCAGCTGTTATAAACACTTTATTTGCCATATATATAAATCAAATTAAAATAGAAAAAAAACGAACATTACAAAGACAATGAAATGCAACGATATGCAGGAAATCTCAAGTCACAGGGAAGTTTTCTGCGTTTTAACAAAAAGAAAATGGCCACACGTATAAACTATGTGCACTTGCATCCTCAAAAGTGGAATTCAGGTGCTTGTTGTTCTGAAGACTAAACTTGTGCTGAAATTCCGTGCAATGACATAACACTATGCTCGGTAGTGCAAGCCACGCATCACACAGATGCGTTAAAATGCACAGCATTAACAACGGTGGCTTTTATATTACTTTGCTCTGACCGCGATGACGCACCAAGGCAGCCTCTGCAGTTACCTGCAAGGCACAACGCAAAATAATTTCAGAAAAAAAACTTTAATGAACTTAACGTCTTTTTTTTTTTTACACTTTGCAACGCTTAAGAGGTATCCAAAATAATTTCGTGCCACGGAACGTCCGTGTAAACAAATCAAAAAGTCGATTGTGCACTCGAGACGGGAGCATGGGACATGGGCGTGAGAATCACACAAACGTGCAAGCACAAATGTCTACACAAATGCATGCACTTTGACAAATTCACGTGGTGACTGCCACAAGGATGTGTATTTTTTTGCATCCGTAATAATTTTTACATCTAGCCAGGCTATGCTGCAGTTAGAAGTATTTGTAATCGAAGAGTTGCAAAGTTTAAATTTCAATCAAAGGTCAACTCTGCCCATTATAATCATCGTCCCATTGCAGTCAGAAGAAGCAAACCTTTTGCAACAAAGTCAACAGTGGGCTGCCACACACAGAGACCGGTACTCGACTGGAGAATGTGGAATTTCTCCCATTGGCTCAGGACTGTAAATCCATGACAAGTGCTACCCTATTGCTCCTTATAGCAGCATCAACTTTGACTTTTGTACCCATTACGTAAACGTGTTAATTTGCTATATATAAAAATCAAAATGTAATCACCAGGCAGCATTGTCAATCATTTGGTATCCAAATCAGCCACAAAACTGTCCTCTGAAGCATCTTCTGAAATTGATCCTGGGAAAAAAAGCATACATAATGCGCATTATATGCAACTATCACATTCATAATAAGAACAATAATCCACCAGACACTTTGCTCATTGCAACCACGCTAATAGCACCATGGGAGACTAGATGTCGTGAAACCTCAGGCCCTAAGGGAGTGCGAGACCCCATCTCACCGCGATACCGGCGAGGCATGAGAAGAGGTATGCACGTGTTTTTTTAACGATTATTAATGATACCAATTACTATGCAATGCTTTTTTTAATTCCACCAAAAACGGGAGCTGCGGTTAGATTACTCGACTTGCAATTGTTAGACCACGCGAGTAAAAATAAATCCTGGCAAAATGTAGAAAACTCGGCCGACATCACCCCTCCGAGGTCCATTAACCCTTTCCCGTTCCTGATGACGTACTTGCAACGTCATCAGAACGGAATCGCAAGATGCCATGCGGGAGGGCAAGTGGCAGTTTGGTGCCAGCTATTGTAGAGTGCGGTCGTGTCGCTACAGTTCTCTGCAGTGAGTACAATGTCTTTAAAAACAGGGGCGCCACTACACCTCTATAAATAAAGTTAACGCTGAAATAAAGTTAACGCTGAATCACTTGCGCCTTCCGAGATTCGGCGGTGAACGGGACACCCACCCGTTGCAACTTGCAGGCGTTTCGGAACGGGAAAGGGTTAAAAATGAGTACCACTTTGTTGAAAGCCAACTTAAGTCGTGCTATGTAGAGAATCGCCCTCGCAATAAAAAAAAGTGGAATTCCATCACTCGCACGGTAATCGGCAGAGATGAGCGATGCCCTCCAGCTCGACAGAGTGCATACATTGACGTTTTAATTATGAGTAATTAGCAATGACATTCGTTTACATTTGCACCACCCCCCCACGTCACAGTGAGGTATGAACTATGGCTTCCGCGATTGGTGGATAATTTTAGACGACCCAAGGGAACTTCTCGTTATTGGTGCAACCACTTATCCACAATCGCATCCCACCTGCTCCAGTTCGTGGATACATTCACATTTTACTGCGCACTCAATTTTCACGACACAGTAACATTAATAAAAAGTGGATGTGGTCCTTTTTTGTTGCAATCTTGCACAAAAGCTTGGATATTATGGCAATTAAATCAATTTTGTAGAGTACACTTTGATGCACAGTCGACGGAACAGTTAAAGAAAAAAATATGCATGCGAGTGGATTCTATAACGCTGGCCTGCACATCTCCCGAGTTTTGAGAAACCCCCTTCGATCAATTTGGCCAGGACAAGTCCTTGAATGGCAACACAACATTATTCTAAGGTTTCATTTATAATGGATCATCTTTTAAGAGTTATAGTGCCACCCCTAGTGACAGACAGACGGCTAGATGGGCGGACGCAGCTCACGCACAAACGCTTTCAACCTTCAGTTGGAATGCATTAAAAATTAACAGCGGGTTTAAATGTTTGCGCTCACAGCAAGGCGCCATGGTGGCGAGATGTTAACTACCCCACCTAGTAAACAGGAGGTTGTGGGTTTGATCCCAACCCCAACGCCTGTATATTTGGAGTTTGCGTGTTCTCCCTGTGGTCGCGTGGATTTTTTTTCTACGGGTCCTCCGGTTCTTCCCTCCACATTTAGAATCAACATCAAGTGTTTAAAGTATTGGGCTGCTATAAATTTGCACGGAATAAGCCACTTTAGTTGAGCTATCATTTGTGGCCAGGTCGCTTCTGAAAAAGAGCTATGTAGCGTAGTGGGCCTTACCTGGTAAAATAGAAAAGAGTAGTGGTAAAATATATATTTGTTATATATACAGTGAGGGAATAAAGTATTTGATCCCCTGCTGATTTTGTACGTTTGCCCACTGACAAAGAAATGATCAGTCTATAATTTTAATGGTAGGTTTATTTGAACAGTGAGAGACAGAATAACAACAACAAAAATCCAGAAAAACGCATGTCAAAAATTTTATAAATTGATTTGCATTTTAATGAGGGAAATAAGTATTTGACCCCCTCTCAATCAGAAAGACTTCTGGCTCCCAGGTGTCTTTTATACAGGTAACGAGCTGAGATTAGGAGCACACTCTTAAAGGGAGTGCTCCTAATCTCAGCTTGTTACCTGTATAAAAGACACCTGTCCACAGAAGCAATCAATCAGATTCCAAACTCTCCACCATGGCCAAGACCAAAGAGCTCTCCAAGGATGTCAGGAACAAGATTGTAGACCTACACAAGGCTGGAATGGGTTACAAGACCATTGCCAAGCAGCTTGGTGAGAAGGTGACAACAGTTGGTGCGATTTTTCGCAAATGAAAGAAACACAAAATAACTGTCAATCTCCCTCGGCCTGGGGCTCCATGCAAGATCTCACCTCGTGGAGTTGCAATGATCATGAGAAAGGTGAGGAATCAGCCCAGAACTACACGGGAGGATCTTGTCAATGATCTCAAGGCAGCTGGGACCATAGTCACCAAGAAAACAATTGGTAACACACTACGCCATGAAGGACTGAAATCCTGCAGTGCCCGCAAGGTCCCCCCCTGCTCAAGAAAGCACATATACATGCCCGTCTGAAGTTTTCCAATGAACATCTGAATGATTCAGAGGACAACTGGGTGAAAGTGTTGTGGTCAGATGAGACCAAAATGGAGCTCTTTGGCATCAACTCAACTCGCCGTGTTTGGAGGAGGAGGAGGAATGCTGCCTATGACCCCAAGAACACCATCCCCACCATCAAACATGGAGGTGGAAACATTATGCTTTGGGGGTGTTTTTCTGCTAAGGGGACAGGACAACTTCACCGCATCCAAGGGACGATGGACGGGGCCATGTACGGTCAAATCTTGGGTGAGAATCTCCTTCCCTCAGCCAGGGCATTGAAAATGGGTCGTGGATGGGTATTCCAGCATGACAATGACCCAAAACACACGGCCAAGGCAACAAAGGAGTGGCTCAAGAAGAAGCACATTAAGGTCATGGAGTGGCCTAGCCAGTCTCCAGACCTTAATCCCATAGAAAATCTGTGGACGGAGCTGAAGGTTCGAGTTGCCAAACGTCAGCCTCGAAACCTTAATGACTTGGAGAAGATCTGCAAAGAGGAGTGGGACAAAATCCCTCCTGAGATGTGTGCAAACCTGGTGGCCAACTACAAGAAACGTCTGACCTCTGTGATTACCAACAAGGGTTTTGCCACCAAGTACTAAGTCATGTTTTGCAGAGGGGTCAACTACTTATTTCCCTCATTTAAATGCAAATCAATTTATAACATTTCTGACATGCGTTTTTCTGGATTTTGTTGTTATTCTGTCTCTCACTATTCAAATAAACCTAGCATTAAAATTATAGACTGATAATTTCTTTGTCAGTGGGCAAACATACAAAATCAGCAGGGGATCAAATACTTTTTTCCCTCACTGTATATATAGAGTAGTCACGGCACGAGCGGTCCTGTTACCTTCCTCCCGTAGCTCAGCTGCTGCCTCCCTTTCCTCGGGCTCCAGGGAGCTGTCCAGGTCAGACCCCGCTAAACATGAGCCCCCTAGGTCCGGTGAGACCCCACGCTCCGGTGCGGACAGACACTGGGGTTGGCCAAGCTCCAGCAGCCCCCCACACATGCCAGACGTCGGTGCCATAACTGGAATAGACGACAACAAAACAAACAACATCCACAATGCGCCTTTCATTGAAAATAAATCATTTCAAAGGTAAGTTCGTATGGCACCCTCCCCAGTCCACAGGCCTCCATGCCCGCCCCTCCGCGCCCCAGGTTATGAAGGCCACGATACACAGACCACATCCCTGGCTATGGTCTACGGCGGTGTTAGCAAGACCCAAGAGTCATTCGTTTCATGTTGTGCATTGGTGCATTGTCGCCGCCAACGTGGCACTGGCATTTCCCATGTACATTACGGATATCACAGAGCTACCTCCGAGATCCCCCTCCCCTTCTGCAAGCGACGCTCTGGTCCACACAAAACGGCCACAGCGGGAGCAGAGATCACAGACAGCTGCCTCTAAGATCACTTTTTCCGGGCCGCCACGGTGGCGAGATGTTAACTAGTATACACGATGTTTGTGGATTTTCTCTCGACCACTGATGCCTGTATATTTGGAGTTTGCATGTTCTCCCCATGTATAGTTTGTTGCAACCTTCCCCCGCGCCTCTTAACAGCACGGTTGGCTATGTACGCGGTGAAAAATAATTCTAGATTTGAAGCTTTCGTGGCTGCAAGGATTCATACTCTTTGGTTTTATTCGGTAAAGTCACGTGACTTTACCGAATAAAACCAAAGAGGGTGAAAAATAAGTTTACCATATATTACAAATGTCTTCACGCAGCGTATCCATGCCGCGGACTGCATTCCCACCCAGAGAACACATGCCCCCTTACATAACAACATTGCAGCCCAACTGTCATGTAAATTCATTCGGGGGCTGTAATTCAAACACCGACCACACAATCAATCCTCATAAACGATGGCTCAAATTGGACACTTATTGTTGAAAATGCAATGTTCTGCATTCCGACTCGAGAGGGGGCAGACATGCAGCAGTGACGCCCGCTCTCCGGCAATGGGAAAAATCTCCCCAATGCAGTGACATGCAAACGGAGGTGAAGAAAATAATGAACACACGCCGTGTATACCGTTGTGAACGTCTGTTTTTTTTAAAAATAGAAATACTGGATTGTTGAACTGTATGCACATAATGCGTGCCCCACCTGCTTGTGCATTGAATCAAAATCAAATCAATGGACAAATCAAATCCTTGGGCAGCCCCTCCTCTCAGCTGGTAATCCCTGATACAGCCGTGATGTTATCTTGCTCGCCTGGTATGCAGGAGGTCGGGGTTCGATCCCGACCCTGACGCCTGCTGCTGTATATTTGGAGTTTGCGTGTTCTTCCTGTGGTTGCGTGGATTTTTTTTTCTCCGGGCCCTCCGGTTTTTCCCTCCACATTTAGAAACATACATTGAGATTTTTCAGATTATTTTGGTGCTATAAAGGTCCAAATGATGGGCCACTTTATTGAGCTATCATTTGTGGCCAGGTCTCTTCTGAAAATTAAGGTTAATACCTCAGTGGGCTTTGCCTGGTAGGATGGGGATGATTTTGGTTGTTGTATTTGTTTGTGCTTGGGTTATTTGTTAACCTTTCTTGTACTTTGCACTCCTATCAGATTAATGTTCGTGTAGGCCCCTCTGGCACTTTTGTTTCGTTGACCTTCAGTGATAACTTTCCAACAGTTGGTGCTGCTGCCGCCCATCTGACTACCGCCGCCACTGTCACTCGCTTGTTTTCTCGTTCGGACAGATGTCGTTACTGCCGATACGTTCATTATTTAGCCCGTGCCCTGATTCGATGGGAGCGCACTGCGTGCTGCAGATAAGCAGATTTAATTTGTAATTATTGAAAAAAAAACAAGGTACGCCTAAAAATATTCAAAGATATCTTTGTTACCTTTTTTTTTTATCATACATACAAAGAAGACATGGTAAAAAAAAAAATCCCTGTCGGCCCTTCAGTTTTCATAGGCCCTAGGCACAGTACCTACTGTGCCAATTGGATAATACGGCACTGGGGGGAGGGGTACAGAAAAGGTTGCGGTGTCTGTGACGTTAGCTTATCGTACGCTTCAGTTGTAAGGCAATGTTAATGAGCATGGTGGTGGTTGTGCAGTATTTTTAGCCTTTGTTTCAACACAGTGCCGCTGACACGGGTCCTTGAAAATTTCAATGATGAATCGTTGGAATCGCGAGCGGGGAAATTGCAGGGAAGAAGGAACGTGGCCTGTTGCCTTAATCGCCAAAAAATTCCGAGCACTCCCGTTAAAAATAATCCAGCACTTGCATGGGGGTTGACAGCATGTGCAGCCAACTGAAATACAGTTAATTCAGTCCACCGTAATTGGTTTATTAACTTTTATATCAAAAGCAATTAAGTGGTCACACCTCCCAGGTGTGTCTTATGAAGAATACCGACAAGTACTTTGTCTTTAATAACGCGAAGCACGGGTGATGCATCACAAACACACCCCCTCCCCTTAGTGAAATGAAATCGTTGGGGTAATAAACGTAATGGGCCACATACGGTAGAAACAAGAATAAAGCTGCCCTGCTGTCACCGGCTCCTTGTTTATTTTAATAATATTGAGGGTGAACACGCCAAAATGGCAGTTATTGCACTCTGGTCAAGCGCTGAATACCAAAATGTAATTGAATCAGCCGAGTGGACTAAACGAATGTCCAGCCTTATCTTGCCAATGACCTGCTTCTTTACAGTCACCTTCTGCCTTCTATCGATGTACTAACTTCTTAGGAAGACGCAACACAAAAAAAACAGACAACTGGTTATTATCTTGTAGCTACGCACTGAGAGGCCATACATTATGGCCAATACAGTAGACTCTCGATTATTCACGTGCGGTTGATCCAATTTGCGGATTAACCGCGCACCTCAGATTTGAACATAAACTAATAACTCGTGGATTTTCCCTCAAGCCCAAATTAATAATCTAAACACAGTTATACATTGTTATTCTTGTAAATGTTTATTACCGGTCACGTGCTTAAACTGAACAAATATGTTGGCTCCGGTTAATCCTAAATCCACTTGATTGCCACTACAGTACAGTAGTTGCATATCTTTACAACAGTGGGCAGAGTTGGATTGATGTTGATTGTCGTGGCTCTGCTGTCATCCACTTAGTGGGCAGCGTCTTTTGCGCAGGAGCACAAGACGCTTACCACTGAGCAAGTGCATCGATCGGTCGATCGAAAGAGTAACAATCGAAATCATCAGTTGTGCTTCATTTTGAGCGATTTATCTGATCATTTATTGAGCAAGTTTCTAATTTATACCTATATTAGTGTTTTTTGGCATAGAGATCTGCGAAAAAAAATATTTTTGGACTATCAGCGATTTTTAAGTATCCGCAACCGTCCTCTTCATTAGCGTGGATAATCAAGAGTCTACTGTACTACCCACAAGCTAAGGTTTGTAAATGAGAAAAAATAATTTCAAGTCACAACTACGTGACTTTGAGACATTGCCAATAGTGCCCTCTGGTACAATCGTAGCCATGGTAGAGTCGGCTCGTCTACGCTAACGAGACAAGTCCTGTGACCCCAACTACATCACGATCCACAAACCATTTTGGGAGTCTCGCCGCATCTATATATACGTGTGGGAGACGCAGAAGTGAATTCTGCTCAGATATACGTTTCTGCCACAACAGTCGATGGAGCGTGGTGCGAGGATGGAAGAATTTGGAATCTGTAATGAAAGCACACCTATCGCCTCGATCGCATCACTGTCAGCAAAGCTGATCACAAGAGTCGTAGGCGGTTGACATTAGAATTTAAAACAAAACCTGTAAACTGTAATCGGGCAGAAAGACAGAGGTGAGTAACGAGTTTCCAGAGTTTTGCGGCGACGGGGTGTGTGTAAAGGATGAGCTGCAGCAGTGTGCAAGGCGGGTCGATAAGGAAACATAATTCGCGTGGCAAGATTAAGAGAGGCGAGCGCGACGAGTGGGCCGACGGGTGAAACAAAAAGTGGGGCCCAGGCGTGCCGGTGGAAGCGACAAAGGCGAGTAACAGAGCGACGGTAAGATAGAGAGACAAGGGAGAGGTGGACAGGGCAGCATCATCAATAATGCAGACAGCTGTTGGTTGGATTCGATTAGGATTTACTGTTGCAGGCAGCAGCTGGGCTCTTAGGGTTGAATCATGAGTATATTTCCAGGAGGACGTTTCGACTGCCGTTTTTACCATGTATTGATGTCTTTTAAATCTTCATTATCATCGGCCATGATCAATCCACTGCTGGATTAAGGCCTCCCCAAGCCATCACCGTCTGTCATGGCTCTGCCATTTTAACAATACCACCTGGCAGTTGCACACCAAGCGATTTAATTTCTCCTCCTCCTTGGTCGACGTACTTTCACATGCATTATATTCCTTGGCTGCCACTCCTTTAACTGTTATAATCGACCATCGTCGAGAGCAGGCCCGGTCCTGCTGGTGCCATGGTCCGCACATTTTCCACGTTTGAAAATTTACCTGCAAATTACTCAATTGGAATAAACGTAGCAACCATCGCCTCCTCCTGTAAAGGGCTTGGGAGGGCAGTCACGAGACTTGGTGAAGCTTTCCTACGTAAACAAAAGCTCAACAACAATGATCAACCATCATCTCTTCTCGTGACATGTCCTGCCCAAGTCCACCTATTTTTACTTTTTTAAAGGGACTCACATTTGTTCCTAGCACTACCTTAAAAAAAATGGTATTAATAAATAATCGGTGAAGTTTTGAGCATTGGCCTGTCTTCAAAGCACAAACAGTAAAAAAAAAGTTAATTAGGGTTGGTGACTTTACTTAACTTCCATGCTGACTCGTGAAAATTACAATTTAAAAAAAGTTTTCTGATGACCAGTTTATAAATAGGGATATGAATATTCTTGGTTCTTTCGGTAAAGTCACGTAGAAGGGAAACAATAAAATAATAAAAATATATTTTTTAAACACCACTTTTTTCAAATTTTCTTGCTGTGGTTTTCACACCTGATCATGATTGCTTGTGTTGCAGTCAAAACGTCGTGAGAATTTTATTGTTTTATATTTTATTATTTTATTATTTCCCTTCTACGTGACTACTGAAAGAACCAAGAATATGAATCCCTGCAGTCGCGAAAGCTTTAAATCAGGGATATGAATAGTTAATTACCTAATTGTAACTACTGAGTACCAGATAACCCTGAAAAAACACAACAAAAATATCACTTACTTTATTAATAACCCCTGAGTTTATTTCCTTATACTTTTTTGATTACTGAAGGGTATATCTACTATGTAGGTAGACCTTTCGCACCGTACGTAGCCAACCGTGCTAACCGCAGGTACGAAATCGTTTCTAAGAGGTAACAATTATTTTTCCGAATTATTGCTGTGGTTTTCACACCTGATGATTGCTTGTGTTGCAGTCGAAACGTCGTGAGAATTTTATTGCTTTATATTTTTATTATTTTATTGTTTCCCTTCTAGGTGATTTTACCAAAGGAACCAAGAATATGGTCAATGGGATTTTATTTTAGGATCTTTTCAACCAATATCTGAGTGTATATACATGTGGGAGGGAAAACAGAGCACCTGGAGTATACCCACTAACGCAAGGGTGGGGGCAACATGATCCCCGTACAGATGGATAAAGATGACAATTAGTCCAATTGCTTTCCTGCCTTTTCCTGGCTCGTCAGGGTATGGCACCGCAACACCCACAAGAAGGAAGTTTCAAAACATGGAAAATTTTAAAAAATCCATTTGTGCATCAGGTATCCGCATTTGCCACGGTTTGTGCAGTGGATGCGATTTAGGGTGGACTATGAGCTTAAACATAATGCAATAAAGCAGTAGCAGCAACAATAGCACGTTAGGGTTTGGGTTTTGAGGTCAAGGAAAGGGGTTTATAGAGAGGTACTTTACTTTGCAAGCCTTCTGGCTATCAACAAAGATTCGTTCATGAAGCCATCCATATATACAGACACAGACACAATTTCAACCGAGAGGATGGGTACAATCTCAGCAATCATTGGAAAGATGTCATCAACCACTTTGGGTCATGACTTCATTTGTCTTTTTCTTGTTAAGGGAGCACAGGTCAAGTCATGACTTAATTTGTGTTTTCTTGTTACCTGACCCCAGGGCACATATGCCCCGCCAACTTCGTCCTGACACCCGTACATTTTGTGGCCCTGCATGTTCCACGCTGCCGCCGCCGGAGCGCTTGTGCCACGCCCACTTTTTTAAGCCTTTATAAGCGGTCGCCTTCTGTGAACGTCCCCCTCTTTCCTCCAAAAACGTCGTGGTTTTTATATTTTTATTTCATTCATTATTTAAAAAAAATGTTCTATCTACATGACTTTACCGAAAGAACCAAAGAATACGTGTTTAGAGAGAGTTGGCCGCGTCTCACCGTGCTCCCCATGGTCGTCTGCCCCCTCGCCGGTCGGCACGGCGGTGCTCGTTTCCGACTCTGCCCTGCGGTTCCCCGAGTGGCGGACACGCTGCCCCGGCCTGCCAGAGTGGGATCAGTGGAGGGGAGAAACATTCACGAATCGTTTATAAAGCTGCACCGTCGAGAGTGAGGACATTTGCATGGCTCTCCTGTGTGCTGTTCGACGCAAATTCATCGGACAGCTGCAGCCGCGAACGGGAAAACCTACGAAGCAGAGGACACTCGCACATTCTCTCTCCTTCGTGCTCGCTGTTTGAATCACATTGCGCCATGCTGAATAGCTATTTCATGTTTTAGATATACGGATCTGTCCGACTGTAGCATCACTAACACAATCCCTATCTGGCTCCAACACTTATTTGCCAGACAGACAGTTTGAAATAAAAAATTTAAATACATTTTTCAGCATTGTATGTTTTTTTTATATATAGATATGGGATGAAATCGGAGAACCCTGAGGAAACCCATGCAGAAAAAGGGGAGATCATACAAACTCAACACAGAAAAGGCGCGAGCAGTCGGGAATCGAACGCCGGGACCTTCCTGCTGTTCGTGTTACCGCTGCGTTAGTGTTGCTAAAATTGTTACCACTGCGTCACTCTGCCGCCACCCCCCCCCCCCCCCCCCCAATGCTAATTTGCGTAACAATGGAAATGTAAAGGACATTGCAACCTATCTAAACAAAGTACCCGCCACGCATCATTCGCTCGCTGCCATAGCGATACTCAAGAGAATGGGAAGTCACTGATTTGTTAAAACAAACACATGGACCTCGCTGCACTGCCAAAAAGGGGCGCGTGAGACCAGAAATTGCTGAATCGAGCCAACGCCGGTGAATTATTGCATTTTTAGTCTGGGAACTAAACGCAGCGACACAACTTGTTCCAAGAAGTGATGGCAGACATGGGCGACTGGAGCAAGTACCTCATGAAATGTGTAAGATGTACATAGAGAATTTCAAGTGTAAAATAATATGCCTAAGCGCGCAGTATCAAAACAAAATGCATTTCTCGGTGTACACAACTTGCTGAACCTGCCATACTTGTCACCTGTAAGTATGAAATAACAGTTCTCAGATTCAAAGCAGTATGTGCATCTTAGTTGATAACGTTGAACGTAATTTAGTTAAAGCTGTGATTAAGGACTAGCCAATCAATTACAATTTCTCACGATTCAACATTTCATTGCAACTATTTTAGTTAATGGAATTGGTTCACAGATGTAATTATTATTGTGAATGAATGTAACAAAAAAGTAAAAGTCATGCAACAGAAAATGGTCATGCAGTTCCTGTCGCAGACACCGCCCTGGGGGCTCCGGCACGTTTCACTTTATTCTTCGTACTTCCTCTTATTAGCGTCGCCACACTTCTTGAGGAATCAATCTGGGCAAAGGGAGCCGCTGACCGTTCGATTGGCCTGAACTCTCAAAACACACAGTGCAGTGGAGCCCGAAACTCAAATCTCCAAAAGGCGCTACCCAAAAAATGTCGTAGCCTGGGCACTGCCGGCTATAAATACTGAGCACATAATAAATAAATAACAGTCTATTATCTCTGTCTCTCACTCTTTCCGTGTGTCTCTCGGTGTCTCTCCTCCATCCGATGATACCCTTGTTTTATACTGCGTCTGTCTCTATGTTCGGCTCAATCTGTTAAGTGTGCGTCTCTCCGTGTCCGTCTCTTTCAATGTCCGTCTGCCTCTCTCCCGCTTGCTCAGATATATCTGTGGCAGACCTTCCCCTCTCTCTGTGGGGGCCCAATGCTCCCATTGCCCTTCCCCTTTTCCTAAATCACGTTTTACCTGCCGCCAAAACACAAAATATTTTGGATCCGTTATTACTGCTCCGAAACCTTCATTTACAAATACGTTTCGCTCAGCTTGCCATTTCTCCTCAACGATTTACACGAACCGCTGACAGTTGTAAACTTTGAGTGTACACTTACCCAACTGAAAGCCCCTTGCGTACCATCTCCAGGGATGGGACGCTGCTGAGGGCCTTCGCCAGGTCATAGCCCCCCACGGGCACCGGTGCCGGGCACGCCGACTCCTCCTGCAGCTCTTGCCCCGGGGTCGCGCCGTGCCCCGACCCTGCATCTTGGTCGCAGGGCAGTGGAGGCGAAGATGACTTGGGGGAAACCCGGCGCCTGCCGCACGCAGCTATGCCTGTACCGGTACACGGAAGGGACGACTCATTTAGGCGGCATCGTAAGCATGTACACGTACATACCGCATGTCAATACACTGCTGGATGAGGGCCATTCCACACCGTGAGACATGGGGTTATCCGACTAAACCAAATTGGTCAGTGTGGGCTGGTGAAGGTCGAAAGCATAGATTTGGAAGCTAAGAAGTATAGTACAACAGTAATGGGTATATTTTGCATTGCTCTCTGCTGCTCACCACGAAGTCTCACAGCAGCCTATGAAAACGGTGCATGGTGGTCACCCGTCAAAAAACGATCCAGTGCAACAATGCTTAGCTCCGGAAATCTGATGAGATCAGCTGTTGCAGTCATCACCCTGATCTTCAAAGCTTCGCTCTTACAGTATCCCCACTCTCTGATTCTAGGTCTTCCTCCTCGGTCACAGACCTCTGGGTGGATACTCTAATAACGCTCGCCTCGGTAACCTGACTTCCTCTATCCTGCAAACGTCCCCTACCCCATAATAAAGCATGTAATCTATACACCACTTGGTAACTGGAGAGAAAACACAGCTGCCTGGATAGATTAGTTTTTTTTTAATGGGTATTGGACACACATTCATAAAAAATTACGTATTTGCATGTGGCCAAATAATTGAGTTCTACTAATATAGTATTTGCTTTTGCCGGTACTGCAACAGTTGAGGCGAGCAGCATTGTGCACCATTTGCAAGACAGTACAATGTTAACACTGTATATCATTCCGGACACCGTCATTTTCAGTCTGTGTAATGTTACTGTACATTAAACCGCATTGTATTCATCTGTATAAATGGGGGGAATTTTTTCTCTCAAAATGACCCAAATGTTGGGGGAATACGTCAACGTGCAGCTCACGGATGACAAAGAAGCCAATGGCGAGGCTTAGTTGCTTCGACGGCACCGGCCGTGATGACCTCTTGACCTTGCCCTCATTATGCGGAAGCCACTGCCGGTGCAACATGGCACGTGGTACCTGGGGGTGCACGGTGCGAGCCAGGAGCATCGTGCGGCCCGACTGATGAGGCCCCGTGACTCTGCTGACCTTCGCTGTGGGGCTGCGCGGTGTGCCTCTCCGCCTGCATGGAGCGGCTGTCACTCTCCCTGCTGTCAAGCGCTCGCTGCAGCGACGGGGGTCTCCTGGCGGTCACTGTCGTCGTGCGGCCCCGAGTCCGTGATGCAGGCAGCTTGCCTGCAAGGCGCCACAGGAGTGCGCAGTAAACACACTCGCGGTTACCTCGACGCTGGCATGCGACGCTTTTCTTCAGAAGGGATACACGGGCGCAGTCCGTCTCCGCGCTGTCACGAGCGAACCAAGTGCTCATTGCACCTGGCAGGTTTTTGAGCCGGTGGCGAAAATTCCACATTGCTGTGGAAGGGGCTGTCTCCTGAAGGAAAGCCACCGTGGGCATATTGACATTTACAGCCCTTTTTCAATGCGCCGCCGTGTAGCTTCGGGTTATTTTGGCCATACTTCACCATGCTGGGCAGTACGGGTTGGTAAGGGGGGGGGGGGGGGGGGTTGGTACACAGAATTTGTCACGTAGAATTACAATACAGCAATAGAGTTTACTGCTCTACCCTCTGCTGCTCACACAGCTTGTTTATATTAAATTGTTTCTAACTGCTGTTTACACATCATTTAATCAGTTTAACCATTGTATTCACAAGCTGTGAAATACGCTTAACTGCATAACATAACTTTATTTTTAATTATCAATACATTCATAAATGTGTGTAGATAAGAAGCTGACTGAAAATGTAACATTTCATTTGGTCGAAGTCGACTCAAAATGTATGCATACTTTGCTCAAGTTTACCAACATCAGGCATGATCAATCTACTGCTGGATGCAAACCTCTCCACCCCCAAGTAATCACCATCTTTCACGGTCCCTGCGATGTAACAATCTATCAAGCACCAAAGTATGATGCCTGCTGTATATTTGGAGTTTGCATGTCTCTGCCCGTGGTGGCGTGGTCCTCTGGTTATTCCCTCCACATATAGAATCAACGTGCGTTTACAGAATTTCTACATGATGATAAGCCACTTCATTGAGCTATCATTTGTGGCAAGGTCACTTCTTAAAAATAAATATATAGCTGAGTGGGCCTTACCTAGTAAAATAAAAAAAATATGTATATAGTAACGTGTACTACAAAGCACTCGTGTGTGTATATCATCCAAGCGCATCTCCTATCCAGCTGCGCTATCGTCGCTGTAAAGTCCTCACCTCTGCCCTCCGCCACCTGCGCTTGCAGGCGTTTGAAAACGTCAGCGGAGTTCCGTAGCAGCGACTGCTGCCTCCGCTGCTGTTCGCGATCCTTCCTCTGATGCCCTGTCACCAGCGAGACGTCTCGCCCACGTTAATCGCATGGCCGACCTCCGTTTGTTAATCAACATTTTGAAAAAAAAAAATTTCTAAGAATACAACAAGAATTCAAACCGTGCAGATTTTCTCAGATTGTACTGTAACAGCTACCCTACGTGTTTCCCGGGTTACGCCGCGTGTTGTGGCCGACATTTCGCTCCACGTGCCGGTAGATTTTGTAGTGCGTGAAGAAACGTCGGACAACGATGCCAAACAACAACAGAAAAGATTACAGGGAGCTGCAACTTAAGAATATTTCCCTCCACTCGCACAAACGTGGGGTAAGCGTGCATCGCCACTTACAGTCCTGTGCTTGTGGTGGAAAGCCTTACATTTTCATGGCAAGGGCCAATCACCCCAAAAAAATAACCTCAGAAGCTAAGCAGGTTTGAGCTTGGATAGCCCACGAGTGTGTGACCACAATACATATAACAGGTATTATAGGCTGCTGCGGGGCTACGTTGTCATAAACGAATATCATTGTACTGTCCTATGTGCCCACACGACTATGCTCTTCACCGTTATCAACCCGCACTGACCCGCATAGTTAAATAACCCCCATGAACCACACGGCACAAGGGAGGCCCTCATCTAGCAGTGGAATGACATAATGGCTGTAATTGTACACGTGCACACAATCAATTCTCACTCGTTCTCTATTTGATGCGCGCATTGTGATCCTAAGAATGGACTAAGTGATCAATCGACGATGTGTCACGTGCCTAACAGCACGCAATCGATCAGGCTCAACAAAATGCGCAGCGAGCGTGGCTTACGCGACGAGTGCAGCTCGGGTGGGTGTGGCGGGAAATCCCACAGGGTCTCCGATTCGCCCAGGTCCAGCAGCTGCAGCAGCAGGCTGGGCTCCAGCTCCAGGAGGCTCCCCGCGGCGCCCGCCAGGCCCACCGCGACGCGAGCGCGGCCTCCCCGCGCTCCCTCCGCCAAGCACGTGCCGCCTGCTGCAACGTGCACACACAAAGACAAAGATCCCCCCCCACCCCGTATAGCCTCAACAGACTGTTTGGGCAAGTGCTGTTGGCGAGCACCTATGAAGGCCGGCACGGCACATGAGGGGGTGGGTGGCCAAGACCACGCCCGGCCGCCTTTGTCTCCCCCATAATGGCGATGTTTATACACCGCCCCAGGTACTCATTTGAGGCCGAGTCGACCTGGGGGGCAGGGGGGGGGGGGCCCAGGACCGGTTCAGAAAATCGTCGCTGGCGTTGGCCGTGAGTGGGATTCCAACCCGGGTTGCCGGGTTTGTAGCGCAGCATGCTAACCGCTCCTCAAGTGCACACGCACGCACGCGCGTGCGTGCACAAACACGCGCGCTCATGTGTACGTGCAGATGAGACAATCGCGCCCGAAAGAGCTATGCTCCGGTGCAGCAGTGATTACACAGGGAAACATGAAGGTACACAGACAGACAGCGCCGCACCTGAGATTAGCACGGTTGGCTCTGTACGGTGGGACAGAAGTTCAACGTACATACGGACATACACACACGCGGCCCCTTTCGCCAATTTACTGCCGCACGAGTGCCTCCCCCCCCCCCCCCCGCCATGCCGTGTGGGTTGTGGGGATATATTTGACCATACTTCGCCACGCTCGTCAATAGGTTTTTCATGCACTGGAGTCTGCTGCCTATGCTGTGGGTCTGCAAACCTTGAAACAGCCTCGATGTGCAAGATGGTCAACCATCGGGCCCATTCCGGGTGATCTGGTTAGAGGCGTCTCTGTAAACTACACTTAGTCAATTCGGAGCCTTTCAGTCGATGCGAGCATATGTTACTCAATGAAATTAAATAGAGCGGATGCATGAAGTAGTGTATAGATGTTGTCTTTGGGTATCACTGGCATTTCATTTCATTGAGAATATTTCAGTTTACTTTGAGTGTCACAAATGCAATGTTGTATATATTTTTCTTAATGAATAATTGTTATACCCCTTGTAAGCGTGGGTTGTTTGTTTCTTTTCTTCCAAGCACTCCCATTTCCTTCCACGTGAAAAATCCAATGAGGAATTGAGGACGCAGGTCAATGTGACAAGTCCATTGGTAATCATGAGCAGATTGTGGAAATTACACATTCCCATGGCGACACCAGTCACTCCATAGATCGACAATAGATCGGAACACTCCTGAAAATTAGGATGGAGACTCCGAGGCTCGCCCTGAATGAATGCAGTGCTATTGTTCTCATGACCGTATTTAGGAGATTATGAGACGCTCCGGAAAGAAACATGCACCTGAAACCCAAACTCGTGCCCGATGTAAATAAAGTTACACATCAGATCATAAGCAGCACATACCTACCGGATTAGGAGACCCACCCCGCTCCCACCCCCCCCCCCTCCAACTTTTAATTTGAAATATATAGGGAAAATTGTGTTTTATAATTCAGAGAATACGGTAAACGTCCCCCATGATAAATGATGAATCAGTACATCGTGACGTGCCTGCTAATGACAGCACACGGAGTAAGACTCGACATGTCCTCAAAGGCGAGCGCATCGGGTGAGCTTGCATGCAGCTCGACACAACCCAACCGGACAGCTGATCTAGCATAAGAGGCAAGAGGTTACTCGGCGGTTGTCACTGCTTTCGGTGCTGATGCTGCTGCTGCCTGGAGTTCTGCTACAAATGCAGCTGGCTCTGGCTACAGCAGTGACAGGCGCTGTACATCCCGCCGTAATTAATGCTCACCGACAAGACCCGCGGGGCCCCTACATTCCTCTCGCTCGATTGACCCGAATCGGTGGTATCCAAGTCTCGAGTCACCCCCTCTACCCCTGTCTCAAGGCCAGAATAACCCTCCAGCATTAACCGCACCGCCATAAATATCACCGCGTCGAGACCATAGCCCATCGCCCTATCCACCCCCCCCCCACAGTGTGTAAGTAAATTGATGTCTTAATTATCTCTCCGTTTATTCGGTGGCAATTTTTGCATTTAATGTCTCCAAAAATATGCACAGGCAGATCGCTCTGCCTTTGCCCATGAAGGATTAATAAAAAGGTCAGTGATTTTCTGATCAAACAAGCACCGAGGCAGTGCTCATCTCCCGTTTACAGCTCTAGGCCAGCGATATAAATTCCACATTCCTATAGCGGGGGCAAGGCTCTCCATGGGACAACTACTGTTCACTTCCTAACAAGGTGGTACTCATTTGATCGATCGCGGAGAGATGATGGGCCGAGTCAACCCCCAACCGGCGTTTGTAATCGTAACCTTCTGATGTCTGGCCGGTTAAAATCATGACGGGCCATAAGAGTTGCGAGCCGAGGAGGCGGTGGTGAGACAAAGGTGTTTGCATGACACTGACCGGCCGCCCCCAGGGCCTCATCCAGCAGCTCCCCCTCTTCCAGGTCCATGGCTCCACCGTACTCGACGTCATTCTCACCAGACCTGCCTCAGCGTGACAAGGGGTAGACGAGCGAATGCACGCACACAAAGACAAATATTCCCCCCCCACCCTCGTATAGCCTTAACAGACTGTTGGGGCAAGCGCAGTTAGTGAGCGCCTATGGTGGGCACGGCACAGCATGCGGCGGGGTGGGTGGCCATCACCACGCCCGGCCGCCTTGGTGCGCACACACACAAACCTCCACTCGCACTCTATACACCCCCGTGGTAACCGGCATATGAGTGGCAGGGAAATTTGGTTTCTTCACAACTTGTGTCTCCATAATCTGTGATGCGAGGGTAAAACTATAATGTACAGCGTTGTGTCAATCCACTGCTGGATAAAGGTTTTCCCCATGCAATGTCAGCCACGGGGGTTGCTTGCCCAAAACTTCATTGCGCTGGTCAGTGTAGGAAAGTAAAGAGGGGGTGATGGTCACAGAACCGGTTTGGCCATCACTCGCCAACGATGCGAGCCGTGGCCAAGAATCAAAAACTCAGGACCCTGGCTTCACCACGCTAACGAACACACCATACGGCTCCCGCAATCTGTTACCGAGCTATAAATTGGTGCTCTAAATAGCTTTGACATATCGTAAGGCCAGAGGTATGTGATAATTACGAGTGAGCCAGCCACCAGCACATCCTATCGATGGGGTGATTTTTTTGTCCACTGCAATCATTAATAAAACCATGTGGCACGGGTGACCTTACGAGGGTTGTGACCGGGTGGTGGAGGACTTCGTATTAGCTGCAATTTTGCCCACGAGGCAGCGCATCACTCATTGCTATTAGCACGGTGAAAAATGTTCATTCGTGGCTTTTTCACCTAAGGTCAAAGGTCGTACATATCTCATCATCAACACTATACATGGGCCCCGGTTCTCTCCATGCAAAATAACCCTTAATCGGTTTTGCACAATGAAAATACTCAAGTGCTAATGACTGAATGACACAGAAATGAATAAATATGTACATGAGGATTATATCATTTCATACCCATAAAATTACTCAGTATACATAATTTAGTCTGCATTATCCAAGCTTTGCAAGATATCAATCATTTTTACAGCAAAGTATGTACAATACAATTTCATAAAATGTAATACCTAAGGCAGTGGCGTAGCTACGGAGTGTGGCGGCAGCACAACTCCAATGAGGCACACGGACCAGAGGGGCTGAGGGCACCAGGCTATGAACAGTGGGGGGTAAATTGTATAAGGGACCACCACCCCTCACAACCCCTTTAATGTCTTGCACCAGGGCCCAAGCCAACCGCACTGCAACACTGGCCTAACATGAGGACGCTGTACAATATGCGGCCATGCTAACAACAGTGCCAGTCGTGCTGGGGAGTCATGAACCCGACGGAGATGGGCGACCGGCCGTGGCGAGGCACGCACATGGTCTCTGTGTCGATGTCATTCTCCTCTGTGCTGCTGCTGCCGGCCGTGCTGGCCGAGCTGCTGCTGCCCTCGCCCAGCAAATTGTTCTCCTCCTCCCCGGTGAGACACTCTCCATCCAGGTCCCCGTCAGAAATCTCCTGCTGTGCACATACGCACGTACGAAACGCGGGGCTGCCATGCACACGTACGAGACACGGCGCCACTATACACACACACGCATATCCGAGATGCAGGGTCGCTGTACGTACGACACACGGTGCTGTCATACGGACAAACACACGAGACACATGACGGCTGTAGATATGAGACACGGTGCAAGCCCTTGTTCCCTCCACAGTAGAGTACTGCGCCCCAGTGTGGAGTTGCCAGCTCTTAAACAAACCCTGGCGGTAGCGAAAATGAACATCCCACTTCATGTCATCAGCTGAACTATAAAGTCCACTCCACTCCCGTCACCTCCTTGTGCTGGCAAACGTCGTCCCAGCCAGCCAACGTCGGACGCGATGCCGCGACAACCCGGGGAGGCATCACGATATTACGGATAACATCGCTCTGCCTGTCTCGAGAACACCTAACAAGAACCCCCACGCAAATCGGCTGAAATCAAGGAAACCTTTCCAGATGCGCGCCTCCGCTCCAGCAGCCGAAAATTAAATTAAATATAATCGGCACTTGCTGGAAAGGGATCGTGGGCGGCTACGGAAGTGGCAAACAAACACCGCATGGAGGACCCAACTGTGGGTGCACCGGGCTCTCCTCTCTTACACGACGATCGTGGACCTCGCTCTAGCGCGCTCGAACGCAACAAATGGAACAAAGAATCTCCGGGCCGCCACTGTCGTGAAGGCCAAACAACAAAAAACACATTACGCTAACGAATTCGCCATCCACGCAACATCCAGTCTCTGCGATATTGCAGCGTCGACTGCCTAATTTGGGTCGGTTGAAAAAACGTAGCATTCAACTATACACAACGCATCACATACTCATTGAAGGCTAGGCTGACCTAGGGTAGGGCCCAGGAATGGTTCATTTATTCACCACTGCTGTTAGCCGGCATCACGTCCGGCCGCCTTTGTCTCTCCGGCGACAATGTTTCCACACCGCTCCAGGTACTCATTTGAGGCCGAGTCGACCTAGGGGAGACCCAGGACCAGTTGTAAAATAATCGTCACTGGTGCCGACCGTGACCAGGAATCGAACTCGCGTCGCCGGGTTCATAGCGTGGCAAACTAACCCCGCGACACCAACCACCCACGCAAAACGCACGCGTACGGCACCACCCGCCCGAGCATAACCTATAAAACCGCAGCGGCGAGAGATCGGGGATGCGGCGCTCACGTTGGAATCGTCGTGCTGCGTCTTATCGTCGTCCTCTTCCTCGACAGGCAGCGCGCCGCCGCCGTCCCGGGGCAGGGTGCTGTCCCTGGAGCAGCTGCCGTCACGCGGCGAGCGGATTCCGACCGCCGCGACCGACGCCAGGGCGCCGGCCGCCTCGGCGCACGAGTGCGAGCTCTGCCGCCCGGGACGCGGCTGCTTTGCCCGAGACGGGCCCCCGCGCGGACTCGTGTGGCTGCTGGGCAGAGTGGCGGCGCGGCCCGACTGGGAGCGCGACAGCTCGATGGTGAGCCTCTGTAATGGCATAAAATCAAATCTCGTCGGTCTCGCAGGTGGTGGGTGGTGGGGTCGACGTTGCTTTGTGGCTTCAACCAAGTTGGAAATTCACGAGCTTGCCGTCCGCGATTTTGGCTATCCGCGAATCGCACCTGGAACTCTACACGACTGCATTGAGAGAGAGGGAACAAGTGAGGAGAGAGAAATGATAAATTGATGAGATAAGGTGATAATGATGCTACTGTGCAGCATCATAATTTTAGGAAAGTTTATTTTTAAACTATTATTTTGTATTTAAAGCTTTCGTGACTGCAGTGATTCATACTCTTGGTTCTTTCGGTGTTGCAGTCGAAACGTCGTGAAAATTTGATTGTTTAATATATATTTTATTATTTTATTGTTTCTCTTCAACGTGACTTTACCGAAAGAACAAAGAGTATTATTTTGTACTTTATGTTTATTAGAACCATTTTTTGTCTTGTAACTTTCATGTTTTTTTTATAACTTATTTATGTAAGGTCGTCATTCATTATCTGCGAAATTTGCTATTCATGAGCATCTCCAAAACGCATCCCTCGCAAATAACGAGGAAATGCAGTACACCCAAACTTCGCCCGTCGCAGGTTTTCCCATCGCGGACTTGACCATTCGCGCCAAATTCATCGAGGTATATAGCTCACTGATCACGCCCCTGCGGTTCGACCATTCACGGTTGACCGCAAGATTCCTGAACGCATTGTAAACAAGCACTGCAACCTAGATGCACTGCTCGCGATCATACTACTGCGGAATAATCTACGTATGTTGAACTTCTTTCTCGCCGTACGTAGCCGATCGTGCCAATCGGAGGTGCGGGGAAGGGACAAACGAAAACACAAAAAGCAGTTCTAAAGAAATTCGTTTTCAATCTAGATGCTTTAAAAGTGCACAGTTCCAGCGACTTCCTAATATAGCAAGGAAGAGCGTTCCAGACGGCCGCAAAAGCACACCAGAAAGCGCGCGATGTGGTCACCGTCTTTGTTCGATGGCTCGCGAGAATGGTGGAAGGTATGGACAAAGGTCTCAGTCGCAGCTACGGCAAGGAAACGGCGGATGTGGGAGCTGTTGTGCAGATGGAGGTAAAGGGTCCTGCGACCGATTCACGATGACACCGCATCGAGGCGGGATGAGAGAGCGGACAGTGGGAACGGGACGCAGCTTACGTAACGATACCAAGTGAGATATATTCAATACATCACCGAGGGTGCAAGCTGATAGGCACGTATTGATTTACCCCCCCCTCACAATTGTGGTTGCAACTTAATTAAAAAACAAACATTTTCAAACTGCACGGTTTGACGCATGTAACGTGAGCATTAGAAAACATTTTTTTCAACGAATGAAAGCATTTCTATAACCTAAAATTCCGAGTCGATGTGAATTACTATTAACCAAATATAAATATATATACACACAAGAGGAGACATGTCAATAATAATAAAACATCCACCAAGGTCGCACAATAGTATAATAAAATGGCACAATACAACATCGACAAACGACTCGACAGGATCGCTCAATCAGGATGTGTGCTATTAACCCTTTCCCGTTCCGAGACGTCTGCAAGTTGCAGGGTGGGTGTCCCGTTCACCGCTGAATCCCGGAACGCGCAAACGGCTCAGCATTAATTTTATTTAGAAAAGATCACTAGCAACGTTGTTTTTAATGGCATTGTACTCACCGCAGAAAACCGTAGCGACACAACCACCGCACTCTACGATAGCTGGCGCCAAACTGTGCCACACTCCCTCCAACATGGCCTTGTAGGAGCCTCGGTACCGATAAAGTTATTTTATTTTTTCTTCCGGTTTCCGTTCCGATGACGCATGTGTATGTCATCGGAACGGGAAAGGCTTTAAATAATAGGGCAATGGGGGCTGTTTAAGCATATTTCACCATGCTGATTAGTGAGAGTTAGTGAAGCAGTGGGGGGCAGGGTTGGAGAGAGTTGGAGGGGGGGGGGGGAAGCAAGACCGGTTTCGATATCCCTTGCCACTGATGTTAGCCGTGGCCAAGAATCGAACTCAGGTCACCAGGTTCACAGCACAGCACATCAACCACTGTGCCACTACTCCACCCCATGGGCTCTTACGTGGTTAGAAACGATTATGTATTAACGCTTACATTCGTAAGACTGAAATGTAACTGTGCTGTGGCCAAATAAAACAAAAATACATCGGTGCGCAGATTAGCCTTATAAACAACACTGTTCGCAAGCACTTATTAAAGGTGGCAAGAGACAGGATAGGGTAGTGTGGCAAGCCCCACTGACTATCTTTATTTCCCCAGTATTCATTTTCATAGTGCACCAGATACTCATTTAAGGCCGAGTTGATCGAGGGGAGGTCGAGTACAGGTAAAGTCATTGAATTTGCATGTCTGGGTTTTGTAATGCAGTGTGATAATGACCACACCATCGGTCTCCACATCTCCAAAATGAACACGTGCGCAAATATTCACAAGTACACAGACAGAGGACAGCATTGCGGGACAGACCTCTTTAAGGTCATTGGTCTGCTGGATGTAGGCTGCCTGTGCCGTCTCCAGCTGGCTTATGTACCACTGCTGGTCGCGACACTTCTGGTGAAACGTGGGCGGGCGTAGCTGGAACCTGCCCAAGGCACGCATCCGATACAAGCACAAGATAAACGGAGGCCCAACACGAGTTCACGTCAATGTTCAAGAGGTTATCATGGATAATACCACTGAAGATTTTTTTTTTTAAATCTACAGACCCTGATATATCAGTGCACAGTCAATCCACTGCTAGAGGTTTGTGTTTGACCATACTTCACCATGCTGCTTTGTGAGGGTTGCTGGAAGGGGGTGCGCCAAGAATTGGTTCACATAACAATCACTGTTTATGCTAACCGTGGCCAGGAATCAAAGTCAGCCCGCTGGGTGCATCGCGCAGTCGGCAAACCACGGTGGCAACTGCGACACCCCATTCCAGCATTGCTTTAGTAATCGTTATTTTATCAATATCTGATGAGGTGATACTGTGGCAGAATTTAACTCACAATCAAAAAGTTGCAAGCTACATTCCAAGTTGGGGATCAACTGATCCCATCAACATTATCCTTCTGCGGTAAATAAAATACATGCCGCCACTTTGCGGGAAATCAACGGTTGCTGTCAAATGTATTGGCAGACCGCTGCCATTGAAAGTCAGAATTTCCACGACTGACTCAGGGGTCCACGAAACAGAAATGAATGCCAGCCCACGCTCGATAAAACGGGAGATAATTCCACACTACACATATGAAAGGCGAGTGAACGAAATGGCAGAACCACGTGGCGCTTACCTGAGCACCACGGAGTCGTTGTGAGTGTTGAGGTAGCCCTCGCTGGCCAGGAGATCGAGGCGGAAGAAGCGGTTGTATCCCCAACACTCTCCCACCTCAAAGTCGGACGCAAACTCGCGGATGATGTTCTTGCTCGGGTCGCTGGACGCTTGGTGCACCATTTCCACCCGGTACTCGTACCTGCGAGACACCGCCGCAGCAAGTTCGGGCCCCGATTGTATAGATGGGCCCAAACCTGTAGTCGTGCGGTGGGAGTCTTCTTCAATCAAGACCGCTCAAAGTTAGCTGTTTGTGTAATAACGTGGTGTTTCAGTTAACATTATTAGACGCTCGTCCCCATTTAACTCTTGAGCCCATGCTGCACCTGAAATAAAAGTGTCTCCCTGATCAGATGAGCAATGAGGAGGGGCTAATCTCTGTTGGAGGTCATTAAACCAGCGGCGTAAATTTAACATTCCTATCACGCAGGGTCGGTCTATCCACAGGATGACCACTGTGGACTTCCCACAAAGTGGTACTCATTTTAAAGACCACAGAGGATGATAGACCAAGTCAAGCTCATAGCGGGTTTTAAACTTTCTATTGCGAGTCAAGCACTTTTATGACAGTGCTACAACTAACATCTGTAGATATACAAGCATTGTTATTCCACTGCTGGATGAAAGCCTCACCACACTGCACGGGTTTATGAGAGTTTATTTGACCATAATTTGCCACACTGAACAGTGTGGGTTGTCAAGACGGGAAGCATAGATGTTCGAGCGTAGTACAGTACTAAATTGGACTTGCCCTCCGCTGAGAACGTAACACCCAATGACGATGCGATCGAAACCATGCAGAAAGAAAATGTAAAATAATGTAGCGTGCAATCTTACATGTTTTATATTTACTTTTAAAATGTTTGCTTTTATTAAAAAGTAACTTGTAAAATGTGCATAGACTTATTTATCTTAAGCATATTTACATTAAACATACCTTGTGCATTGGGCAAACTGACCCCATGTTGTAGGCTGTTAAACCGTTCCCTTCATTTGCAATCACCACCGTGCAATTAATAGAAGAGTAATGTTAACCACTTACTTGGATGTCTCTGGCAAGCCCGCAGAGAGCTCTAAGAACACAGAGAGGTAATTTCCTCGTACCACGCCATTTCCATCCTACAAGGACAGAGCGTGTAATCATGACCATACAACAATCTACCATTACCACCATGATCCCTGCAGAAATAACAATGTAAGCAGGGGACAAGCTTGTAAGCCAGTCCATTAAGTGATACACCACTTCGTGGTTTAATGCTATGTCATTTGAGTCTAAAGTCCATTTTATCCGTGATAATGTTGGGGTACGGTGTTTGATGGGCAAGTGAATTTGCAATGCCAGGCAAATCCTCATGTATTCATGACTGAGCTCAAAACCTCGTGCGTGAATGGTCCGGAAATGTTTTCATTTTTGTTAACAATCAAAGGTCTAGTTTATTAACACTGATAAATTGATGTGTATGTGTGCAGACACATGAACACATCAGAGCGGTCTGTAACTAATACATGAAATGTGTGTTGAACTTCTTTGGCACCGTACGTAGCCAACCGTGATAATTGGAGGCGCAGTACTAAAGTGGGCGTCATGTTCGTTTTTCTCAACCAAATATAACATTACACAATTTTCACGTGAGATTAGACAGACACACGTTGCTGGGTTGTTGTACGTTACGTTTGCTATTTTCATATGTTCTATCTAAACGATAGAACGACATTCGATGGAGCTCAAGGCCAGCCATTATGCCCGATTATGGGGGTTTCACGAGCCTCCTCCAATCTACAAAGATCCCCCGTATAGCCTGTAGGAGACTGCTGGAGCAAGTGCCGTTAGCGTGCAACTACGAAGGCCGGCACGGCACACGAGGTGGTGGTGGGTGGCCAGCACCACGCCCAGCCGCCTTGTCTCCCCAGTGGTGATGTCTACCACACCAGGTACTCATTTGAGGTTGAGTCGACATAGGGGATGGCCAGGACCGGTTCAAATAATCGTCAGTGGTGTTGGCCGTGAGCGGGAATTGAACTCTGGTGGCTGGATTCGTAGTGCAGCGCGCGAACCGCCACACCACAACGCACACACACTCACCGGGTACACTTTGAGCCTCCAGCAGAGGCCGGACACTTGCAGCGGAGGGCTGTACACCGGGTCGGCTCTCTGCCTCAGGATGCTGCGTAGCAAGTGGGGAACAGATGGCACCACCGCTCACCATTAAACCCACCAAAAGCAGGCACAATGATCAACGCGTGTCCGTTTTGGACAGTCGCCATCATTTTACACTGCCCAATTTAATGCCGTAAATGTTGGTTAATAATATTGTGGGGCAGATATGCAACGTAGCATGAAGCAAATAATGCACGTTGTGATAATAACATAAGATGTGGCAGGATGCTACGTGAATCCCTATGACCAGATCACCCATAATGCACCTGGTCTAATCAGATCTCAGGATTGAGCCTGGACAGTCCTTGAATGGGCAAAAGCCAAGCATAACAGGTTTTGTAGGTGGCGTGTGCACGGCTACGTGGGGGGAACAGCAGAGAGCAATGCGGCAATTTTTTTTTTATTTTAGTACACCTCTAGGCTACCAAACCTTCCATAACATACACTGATAAGCATGGTGAAGTATGGTCAAACACCTGCCATAACCGACATGGTGTGGGGGATTGACAGGTTACACTACACTATGTCAGCCAATTAAGCTATTTGACCAATGCTTCACCATGCTGGTCAGCGCGGGTTAATTAAGGTGGGTGGGGGGGCCCACAACTGGTGGTCCATGTACCACTCGACACTACTGTTATACACACGGCTGGGAGTTGAACTCAATTTACGAGGTTCACACCGGAGTGCACCAAGCACTGTGCCACAGCTCCCCCCGTAGCGCTAAAGTAAAACAGTACCTCTGGAAGACATGAAGTCATGGCAGGGTTATATAGCATGGGCAAGATTCACATGTCCATGAAGTGGCTGAAACACACCGACTGCTCTTGTGATTTCCCAACGTTTTTGCTCGTGACATCGCCACATTTTCACTCCTAATCAGTCCGAAAGAAACATCTGAATACATGCGACTTGGGCCCTGTCAGTGTGAAGTTATCAGTGGATATCAAACCCAAAACAAATAAAACATATCCCTGCGATATGCACTTATGGCACAATTGTCAATCCACAGCTGTGTGGGTTATGGGGGTTATTTCGCCATACTTCATCGTGTTGGGCAGTGCAGGTTGGTGAAGGTGGGGATGCTGTATAACGCCCAAGGTATTTTTATTATGACTCCGGTGTTTATAACACGCAAATGTATCCACGACAAAAAAAATAGTGTAAGTATATGTGATGAGTGAATAACAATGTATGTTGTTGATCCTAAAATATATATATATATAACTAACACCATTTATCCCCGTGAAATAAGCTTTAGTTAAGCAGTCCACAGGGCATTTTGGATCAATGTTTTACCGCAGAATTAGTTTACGTGGGCAAACTCTGAAGCAGTTTCAATGTACGAGTCTCATAAGAAGTCAAACCTGTTAAACAATTGCTGCTTGGGATGTCCACATGTTATAGGCAAGAGCACCCCACTTAAGCTATGCATTATAGTTTACGTAGAGGTAGGGCTTTCATTTGTCCACTGCCCATTGTGTAATGTCTTGAGCGACACAAGTCAAGCTTTTTCAACTCGTTCAACTCGTTCAACTCAAGTGCATACCAATCACAGACACCGACCTGAAGTTTGAGAGCACAAATGTGCTGGAGTCATAGGCAGGCACCAACTCACTGTGAAATTGAAAACAGAGAAGCGTACGTATAACTGCCATTAAAGAACACATCACGTTATATGAATCTTAAATGCATTGCAGTGAACGGAACCATACATCAATGTTATTTTCAGAGATGTAAGCAGGAGGCTTGCTTGAGATGGAGATTATCGGCGTAAGGCACTACCACTCAAGTACAAGTATGCCTATCCATAACAATCCTATATTATTTTACCTTATCTGATAATCCTAGAAGACATTTATACATGTAAAAAAGGCGAGATGGATATGGCATGGCAAAATAATTCCCTAAAACAATATTTTGGGCTGTTCTGGTTGAAATTAATCACTGGAATGAGTAGTGAGTGAAAATATACAAGGTTGAAATGTTGATACAATGTGAAGCCAACATTAATTTCATACATGTGGAAAGTTAAACATTTCTGGGTTAAACAAATATTTTCCGGAGGAATCCAGAGCTCTAAACGTGTGTGTTGTTGTGACAAAACAACGTAATATATCAATACACTGTTCACAGAAATGTACTCAAAATTTTGATTAGAAAGGCAAGGCTCAGGATTAGGAGCGGTGATTGACAAGTTTATAGCCCGACAGAGCAAATGGCAAGTAACTGATTAAAATGTTATTTCACAACACGATCCTCTTAAAAATGTAATGCACTTCGTGCCGATTGGCGTTCCAGGGCGTTAATCCCTGTCTGAAAGAAGTCTTTGCTTTAATCCTGATATCTTTGTACGCGTCCCTCCATCCCTCTCCGTCTGTCCCGTATGAAATCCCCTACTTGTCACGAGAGGCGTTCTTTCATTGCGAGTATTTCTTCGAATGTGCAATTTAATGGAAGCCAGGTCTCCCCCCCACTATGATTGTTTTCCCAGGTTTCTGCATTTCTTTGTACCCGGCCTGTACATATTCACCTTGCTCCTGCCTCCTGAATGAATTATACAAATTCACGGTTGCGATTCGATTAACAATATAGCGCACTGTAGCACCTCTAGCGGCTGCACGGATTAAGTGAACCAATGCACTATGTACATGAATAACACAACTGATTGACACGCAGGACTTGACGCACGTATCCTGCGGCATATTTACATCACAAATTGATGCATCTATAATACACCCACAGTTTTGATCCGTTCTTCTTTCAATGTCTCTAATATTTTCAGATTTATTTTTTATTTTTTTGTCAGTAATAAAAAACCCCATTACAATTGGCTGTAAAAAAAACCAAGGTTAATCCTTTACCATGACATTTGATAATCCTTAATAATTTAACACTCTGGCACCACGGTGCAGCACTGCTTCTCCTACGTCAAGTCACGCGCAGATGTTTTGACCCTCCCTCCCCCCACGCCACCTCATGAGAGTATTTTGCTACGCGTCTCTCTCCCACCTCGTGAAGTCAGGGGGCACCGGCGCAGTGACAAAGGAGGCCATGGGTCGGCGATGAACCTGCTGAAACATCTGCAAGATCTCCGCACTTTTCATTATTAGTTCACTCTTGCTGCATGAGCGTACCTGCAGGGAAGGGCAGCATATCAGACGCGGACAACAATTATACCACTTTATGCAAAATAACGGGACACTCGTCGAACAGAAAAATGCATGCAAGCAGGAAACTGACATTAGCCTCAAAGTTATTCTCTTACACGATCAATGAATTAAATAAACAGGGAACATTATGTAAGCAAATGTTGCTTTGGACTACATTTTTTGGCAAAATCGTGACCAATTGTCAAAATGAAGCATTGCAGTCATTTCATTAAGATGCGATTCTGGCTCTATACCCAACTCATTGGCAATGTGATCACAGCGCCTGACTCACAATTGTATTGTTGTGACTTCAAATATTGGTTTAAGGATCATCTGAACTTTTCAACCCACCAGAACAGAAAAACAACAGTGGCTCTTAACAATGACTCTCCAAAGGAAAAACTGGTTCCCCACCATGAAAATGTGGAATTTCTGCCACCAGCTCATGGTTATTAACAACGATTGTTTAATCAGAAAGACGCTACTAAAGAGAACATTACCCGTTTAATGAGCGACACACATACATCTGTCATATGTAACAATTACATCTGCTGAGCACTTGCCAAATCTGCATAATGATCATACGAGAATGTAGAGCTGCTCGGTTTTTAAGTCACAGTATGATAAAGGAATTCATGATAATGTTGATAATTGCATCCCTTACATTTGCAGGCAGTTGTGATTTTAGCTACACATGAATGGACAAACCCCGACTTTGTGTTTGAGCCAATGGAAGTGCACTCACGACAGATTAAATGTTGCACTACCTGGTGTTCCACCTCCTGCAGCAGACTCTCCAAAAGCTCCGTCTCTTTCGTCAACGAGTTCTTTTGGCCTAGCCGAACAAATCGACACGTTCGTAATCAACAGCACACGCGGAGAGAAAGATGCAAAGCCCCGAAACAAGAGGCATACATCGGTCACATTCACAGTGACGCCACTAAGATACGTCAGAGATGGGACGTTTCAAAAAGCCAGTGAGCACATTGCAACGGGCGTCTACAGCGCTCACCCATGAGAGTCAGCAGCTTGCTCTTGAGCTGGGTGTCGAGTCGGGCGATCATCATCTCCACGGCGTTGCGGATTTCCCGCACTCGGTCGTCCTTTGCGCCCCTGACGGACTCGACGTTTTTTTCCTGCACACCCAAGTCACGTTTGGATGATCATTTCTCATGCGCTACCCTCCAATGATGCTGCCGTGGTGCAACGGTTAGCAAACGGAGCTTGCATTTCAGTCGACTGTTTGATCTCCCAGTGTGGCAGTGAAAGCTAAGCAGTAAGAGTACACACCGCAGGTAGTTGCTCATCAGGTCACATGTGGTGGGTTAAAGTGTGGGTAATCTCATCTCTTCCGAGATGTCTGGCCAACATGGAAGAGGAGGCCAAATATCCTCCAGAGGGGCTCTCTATAATATAGCCCTTCTCTAGTTGGAGGTCCCTCTGCAAGCAGTGGCTGCATCTTTACCATTACCCTCCAAGGTAACTGGCTGACAGACCGCCCACACAGTTGCCTGCCTGTGATAACGCATGAATCAATGTAATGTTATTGCTGCGTGTATAAACAGAAATGTCACCGCCTAAGGAATGTGGAATGCCGAATAATGTCCAAGCATCACCAACGGCACCCAGTGCTCATTTGCGTAATGCGTCATATTGGCAGACCGAGTAAAAAAAAAAATCAACAAATTCGAATTAGTCGTTGTGCTCACAAATACACAAAAATGAGGTGACCTTGTTGAAGGAACAACCTTTTGAGCCTGTACATACACAGCGGAATACAACATGAGAGCGCAATCGGTCATGACACCGCTGCAGTTGGCCTTCAGGCAGCCCAATGGCAGTAATTGTTGTTATTCCCTTTGTAATGTGACATTAACATTCCATAAGCATACAAGGAGAAAACTTGGTACATTGCAGTCAGACGCAAACCGAGGGTCAATACGTTCCCAAATTAAATTCAACCCACCACTATATTTTACCCACGTTCAAGCTTGCACATGGAATTGTATAACAACAAAAAACAATATTGATTTGCCAACCTCAAACCACTGCCAGGTCAAATGCAGTGCCTTTGATACATGGTGCTGTTTGTCATCTTCTGTCTAATTTTGTTAGCCCCTCGACATGCCTGAATTGTAACACAAAGTGGTGGCCTCTTTAACAAGTGCTTAAGGAGGGTTACGTAACAGCCACAATACTGGGGACCAAAACTTTTCTACTTCTGCCACATTCAAGAACTCTTGAGAAATGTTCCACGCTGGGCTCCATGTGTTTTATTTGTTCATTATTCTTCGGTTGGCTAAGTACGGTGCGAAAGAACTTCAACATACATACATGTTGAACTTCTTTCACACCGTGCGTAGCCAACCGTGCTAATCGTAGCCGGCGTGTATGCGGCCGCCACTCACCACTTCCTGCACCAGGCTGATGAGCTCCATCAGTCGCCGCCGCAGCTTCCCCACCTCCTCGTTGACCTGTGACACGTGCTGCTCGTAGATCTCCGACAGCGGCTTAAACATGTGGCCACCATGCTATACAGCACGTGAGAGAGATGTGCGCGCACACACACATACACAAGTGTGCACGTACAACCACTGTTAGCCACTAAGTGTCGGTGACGGCTTGTGCCAAACTCGGTGCACTCTGAGGTCACGTGAAGTATTGAAGGCTTGCCGACACGTCAAACAGGACAGACCCAGGTGTTATAGGTTGAGTGAAAGGAAGACTGGCAGATGCACCACCTGTGCTCCCCAACATGCTAAATCGCTGCGTTTTAGCCGCCCGGCGCTCCGATCGTTTTTGTGAGCGTCTATCCTCTACCCTTCGCTGTTGTTGGAGGGCTGGTGCCTCCAACTACCCAGCAGCATTCTTCACGAGCCTCCTGTAGAGAGGCTGATCTTGACACCGCTAGTAATAGTAATCTGCAAGTCCAATCAACTCCAGATCTTTCTGTACCACATTAGTTCATCTCTTCTCGACCCTGTGCCACGCCCCCCCGTTTCGCTCCCTCAATAAAATGGAGCCATACCTTGACTACACCTGGGCATCGATCAGCTATGTATTGCATCTGTACCAGATACAGCAACCACAGCCACCAGCCGCCGTTAAGTTGGCGGTAACATCGCCACAGCGCTTGTGCCAGGCTAGGTGCATTTTGAGGCCACGTGAAGTTACAAAGCCCTTTCGACACATATGAACACATAGAAAGGCACACAGATGCAAATAGAGAGCCAGAACATTCGGGAAAATGCCAACCCGTAATAGTAAACACCTAATAAGGTCGGCATAGGACACTAGGGGGGTGTGGTATAGTCAGCAGAACACCTGGGCACCATTATCTCCCCAGTGCTCAATTAAGGCCAACACCGATTTAAGACTGAGTTGATCTGGCAGAGGCTTAGAGAACAAGTTCAATTACCAGGTGGTCACATGTGTGCATGGCTGGGAGTTGAACCCAGTTCACGAGGAAAACGGCTCAGGATGCAAACCACACACAGTTATAATGGTATTGGCTCGTATCGAATTTAAATCAACAACAACGGTGGTGTCATTAACTATGGTGATTGGGTTATCAGCAGATCACATCATTAAGGTGTATGGGGCCCAATAGATCCATTCATTATGTTTCACAAGTGAATAATGGCATTCCTTGTCAAGAGGTGAAATATCTCCCCATTTGCTCATGAAACTAAGATCCTCTCTGGTCAATGAGAATTCTCATCAAACACAGAAAAAATAATGCCAATTACAAAAAATCAAATAACACAGGCTAATCTGTCATACTATTGCAGAACATCACAGAGGATGCAATGAAAAACCTGACAAGGCACATGTATAACTGTGCAGCATTTTCAAATTCCAAGGCAGCTAATCAACACGACAACCTCGCATTTTATCGAAGCGTTTCCGACCGAGGTCGCAAGGGTTTACCACCTTGGCTTGGTCCGTCCACTTCTGGTGGAAGGGCACTATAATCCAATATGAACGAACCTGTAAGTAACAAGTTGTGTCGCTATTCGGAACCCACCTTGGAAAAAACCAAAGTGATTTTTTTTATATGCTCCGAAGAAGGGCCATTGCACAAAAAGATTGACCATTATAAACGTTTCATTTTAAGACCACAGTGGTATTGACGTATGTATTTGCGTTTTTCGCAAATTGATTATCGGGTTTCTCAAACCATGGAGACACAAACCAGAGAAAAAATGACTTTCTAAATATGCAAAGGTGTTTTGATAGCTACCCGTCATATTTCATACCACTAACGTTCTTGCATGGACGTTTACCAATCTTTGAATCATCGGTGCCTTGTCACATGCTTTGCGTGCCAACTTCACCCACGCCGACGTTGCCAATCAACGCGAGTACAAGCCCGGTGGCTCTTCACATCCAGGGAAGTGAAGCGCCGCCTACGCCCACACTTCACTTTCCATTGGTTACCCTCCCCCCCCCCCCTCGGTAGCCACACACATCCTGCGGCAACGTAAAAAACAAAGATGACACTGACACAACACCCAGACGACACAGTCGCCCCGGAGGAGGTTGTTAGGACTGGAACATCTCGGGTCAACACACGTTCATAAGGCTTCCATGGTTACATAGCCGAGAGCGGGCCCAAGTCTTGCATACACAGCGGTTTAACCCACGCATAGCGCGTTCCAGTCTAAGTTTATCTGTTAACGTTTTTAATTTACACATCAATCTATAGTGACCTATGTATACTGTATATAGCATTTGCAATGTATACAATTAATTAAACAAATACAATTGTATAGTATATACACTCCATGCGTGGTATATACACTGCGCATGCAGTATGTATTCCATGCATAGTGTTTTTCATTTAACTGTATATCGTCAGCCATAATTTTCCTCCCCAAGATATAGCCATCTCTCAATGCATTGAAATGCAACGATCAGCATGGTAATTGTCTCAGCATGTCAATGTCAGCATAAAACCAGCACGTGGGAAAAGGCCCATTGCAATGCAACTTGACTTGAGATGACGAATGAAAACACACGCAATATCGTTCCCTGTAACTGTTATATTTCATGTAGCGTCAAACAGCTGTAAATGTCACGTTTTTGCAATTCACACTGACCTTCCGCTTGCCCATAACACACTACAGCATATAAAAAAAATACAACTGTGATGGCACTGATTTATACAGGAAAGCTTCGCCGAGTCCCGAAGTTTGTTTTGTTGATTTCAGGAGGAAAAAAAACACGCATATATTAGTGTGGAATAACACTCATACGGTCTGCACAGATGGGCTGACAAGCCCATTTGGTGCACTGCCATCTCCGGGCCACCTCAGAGCCACCTCAGAGGCCCTGCGGATACGACATTTTCATAAACCTACATGGGTTCTCACCACCCCTAGCACAGCTTTGCCTAGCTCGGAAAACAAACAGCTACAAACATGACGGTCACGTGGAGACATGCCATGGATCCACGTCGGGGAGACGGCGAGCACCGCCACGGGTCCTGTAACTGCAGGTGACGTGAGCGTGCCATTAATTCACGAGAGCACAACAGGAAAAAAGTGGAAACGACGTTCGCCGTTGCACCCGTGGCTGCTGCTGGGCTGCCACAAGATCTGTTCTCTTGGGAGGGTGAACAGACAACTTGGCTACAAGACCTCAAATGGAACCTACTGCTCACCTGACCTGGAGCCATGAGCACGTATTTCACATGAAGGTGTTATGTCGAATGAGACAACGGATATTTTACTCACCATGCCCCCCCAGAGAGCGCACTGGTGACAGATGCACTTTTTACAGGTCCAGCAGAAAACGCTCAGCTTCTCTCTGTGCAGTTCACACCTGTTATTTAAAGGCACCCATAACCAAAAATGACCACACAAGTATTACAATTGTAAACAATTGTGAACATTTACTGGTGCTCCCAATATAATTGCATTCCAAATGTCTTCCTGCTCAATGGAATAATTAGAAAGGACTCATCTTGGTTTGTGCCTCTCAGCCGACAGTGGCCATTCCATATCCACATGGCAGGAGAGTCCAGTCTCTTAACAGGACGACCACCGCTGACTTTTCACAAAGCTGCCCTTGCATGACTGATCCTACAGAAGTGATTGGTCGAGTTGACCCAAGGCTGGGAGTTGAACTCCTAACCCTGCAAAACTGAGTCACATGGCTGCAGCCATAGCACAGTCCGGGGCCAAATGTGCGTTATCATTATTATTCACAGCCCTTTGTCAATCCACTGCTGGATGAAGGGCTCCCCCACACCATATTGGTAACGGGAATTGTTTGACCACACTTCACCATGCCGTTTCATTATGAATTTGTGAAAGTGGAGGGCCACAGGACTAGTTGAGATAACACTCGTCACTGATGTCAGCCACGGCCGGGAATTTAACACAGGCTGCGGGGATCATAGAAGTGCGAAAACCACTGCGCCACCCCTCCACCACTTGCTATACAATAGGAAATATTTGTATCATCCCTCAGTCATCTCACGTGGCTGAGCTGTAAAAAGTGCCATTTAAAACACTGACTTTTAACACGGCCATTTGGTGCCTGCGCTGGAACTCGACGGTCAGACGACTCAAGGACGTACTTGTCCTTGTCGCCATCCTCCTGCTTGCTGAGCCCACACATGTGCAGTGTGTCCAGCTGCTGTGTGACCTCCTCCGCCCAGCGGCAGTTCACCAGCTCGTGCAGCTGTAAGGGTGCCCTGTGATGACAAAGACAAGAATCCCCCATATAGCCGTAACATACTGTTGGGGCAAGTGTTGTTAGCGAGCACTTATGAAGGCCGGCACGGCACACGAAGGGGGTGGGTGGCCAACACCACTGCCTGGCCACCTTTGTATCCCGAGTGGCGATGTTTACACAACGTATTAGGTAGTCATTTAAGGCTGAGTCGACCTAGGGGAGGCCCAGGTCCAGTTCAGATAATCTTCACTGGTGTTGGCCGTGAGTGGGGATCGAACTCGGGTCGCCGGGTTCGTAGCGCAGTGACGGTACGCACACGCACATTATTGCCCGTTCATACCAACAGTAGCATTCCTTGTCAACAAAGACAAACCGACTTGATAATTGATTACCACAGTTTTACCACGTTTTATTTTCCTGTGTACGATGTTCGAAAATATCAACAGCTATGCATTTAAAATTGCAGTTATTGGTTGCTGTGCAGTTTCTAAAAGTAATTTTTTTAAAGCCTGCTACGTACAAATTTTGTTCGTTCGTTTCACAATCCGCTTTTCCCGGTGAGGTTTCGCGGCGACAGCATGTTGATTAGGTCGCACAAATGTTTTATTATTATTTTGGATGTTTTCTCCGAATTAATATTCCACTAGTGCTTTTGAAACCATGCCATGAGGTGAGGAGATTTTAATTTAAATATAAAAAAACAATCATGAAAAATGGCCTCTGAAAGATGACATCAGAACTACCTGTGAAGTCCATTCAATTGGCGGTTATCCACACTTTGGTAGTGCCCCTCACACGATTTGCTATAGAGTGGCCATTACATAGCGCTGGAATGTGCCAAATATGTTAAGTCGTGAAGCTGGACGATGCTAAATTCAGTCCATAGTAGTTATTGGTGGCAAAGTTGAATGACAACATTTCTAAAATTTCTGCCTTCCATGTTACTAACTACAAACTATGGTTTCGGCCAGTGGTCCTCAACCCGTGGGTCAGGCCCTTTGAGGGTGGCGGGTGGGTGCAGACTGCCATACGAATACTTAACTTGACTAGAAGCTGGGACTTACACATTTTCTTTGCAAGTATGATTTTACAACTATGAATTTTCAAGTATAATTTATCCTTTTTTTACGTACATTTTTACTATCGCTGTTATTTTTCCGTCATTAATATTGTCGTTTTTTTCGAGTTTATGTACGATAGCTTTAATTTGGCTACCTACGTAACTTCCTCTGTCATTTTCCACCATCGGCGACCAGCTCGGGCCGGATGCCTTTGAAAAAGTTTATTACAGCTCATCGGGTTTTTCTGGCTTAAATAATGCCTGCATGTCTGTCTGTAGAGCCGTGGACGTGTGATCTCTCTATTGTGACCTTAGTGACCTGGGGAGTGGGCGCAGGGTCTATTTGGGCCCAACGTTTTCAAGAGACCCCTTGGTCTCTTAATAAACCAACTAGAAAATAAGGGGTCATCTATATATCTATCTGCCCACGACATGATATAAAAATCTTCTTGGTTCTTTCGGTAAAGTCACGTAGAAGGGAAATAATAAAATAATAAAAATAAATGTCATTTTTTTAAATTTCCCTTCTACGTGACTTTACCGAAAGAAGCAAGATGAATCCCTGCAGTCACGAAAGCTTTAAATCGAAAAATGATATGACAATATAAGTTGCTTGTTCAAATTCAGTTGTAGCCTCAAAGCTGTCCCTCTCAGTGAATAGCCGAGACTTAAGTTAAAGTAACAAAAACACCTTTCATACCTGCAGTGTGGACATTGAGCTCTCTGTTCTGTGAGCCACCGCTAGAAAAACAAAGCGTGCAGTAAAAGCTTCATTCACAAATAACCACAGCATAAAATGTTATCAACACAGCATTGCCAACTGTAACACGTTAACGGTTTAAGTAAATGATGCGCGTAGTGTCGATCTAGTTTTAAATTTTAAAGGTAATTCGACGATTTTCACTTTGAGAAAAGAAAACATGATGTGCAATTTTTTTGAAGGTGAAGTTTGAAGGTATTGCTTGCAATCAATTAAAACTCATAAAAATTACACTAAAACTGCATCATAATTTCAACGAAGTGCTCTTTCCAATAAGATCTGGCATTGTCTTAACAAGCTTGATTATATTTTGATTTAAAGCTTTCGTGACTGCAGGGATTCATATTCTTGGTTCTTTCGGTAAAGTCACGTAGAAGGGAAACAATAAAATAATAAAAATATAAAACAATAAAATTCTCACGACGTTTCGACCGCAACACAAAATTGAAAATTTTCTTGCTGTGGTTTTCACACCTGATGATTGCTTGTGTTGCAGTCGAAACGTCGTGAGAATTTTATTGTTTTATATTTGTATTATTTTATTGTTTCCCATCTACGTGACTTTACAGAAAAAAACCAAGAATATGAAGCTTGATTATACTGGAGAGGCTGATCCAGTTTGCATGCTTAACAAATGCTTCTTGATAATATGGTCCGCAAAGACAATACGCTAAATGAACCAAAAACATTTGTATTTTTACGCGTGGAGACAGAACCAAGTTCCGCTAACATTTGCTCTTACCCACAGCAAAGCATGGGTCCGTACAATGTTAATTAGCTGTCTTGCGCAATTTGGCATATACATCGCAACACTTAATGACTGTACCCGTATGCAGCTGAAGCAGCACAGCTTGGAGCAATGGGGACAGAGGCGAGCGTCCCGCAGCTTTTCCATGCAAATGAAGCATCGGAACACCTCCGCGATGCTCTACAAAACCACAGACCGATTCCTCTCAGTTGCCTGTACACGTTAGGAAGCTTCTTAAAATCCTCTGCGAGATAATGGCCCCTCCCCACACCGTGCGGTTTGTAGTGGCCATTGTTTAACCACGTTTCACCATGCTGTGCTAGTTGGTGAACGTGGACAGCAGACACATGGGTGGATAGAAGTACAGTATAACAATGGATTTTGCTGCACTGCCCTCAACTGGCCAGCATGTAGCAGCGCTGGCATTCAGCGGTTACCCATTGAAACAATACAAGGCTCAAATCCTGCTTTTAGCTTTCAAGATCTGATGAGAATGGGCACGTTCCAGGCAACTTGGTGACAAGTCTGCAATGATTAAAGAGAATAACTATGCAGTTATGCATTTGAATGAAGACATTAAATATCGAGATTACCAATTACTTGCTTAATACAAAGAGGATCCATCCACATGAACACTGTAAATTTGTTACGTTTTAAAAAAACTGCATGCATCAACTAAATCCTAAGATCACCGTAATTCATCCAGTCACCAAAACAGTTTCATTATTTTCATTGTTCATTTTCATGTGCCTCAGAAAATAGCCACCGTGCGTGGCAATTAACAAACATCGCAGTGAACGAGGTTAGTCTATGCAATTACTGAAGCAAATCATCAGCAGCACATTCAGTGTATTTTGTTATATCCAATCGATGGCGAGATAATTACGTGGCAAAAGAAATAAACTGACAATGGAGTTCCAGGTAGGGGCACATGCATGCAAAACGAACTCTGCAGCCCAGTCTTAAAACTGGTACATTAATGCAATTAGTACATTGGCAAAAAAAAATGGTAGCACATACAGTCCTACGGAGGCAAAGGGTTTGTGGAGCATGTAGATTTTTTTTAAACCACAACACCTGCCGCAGAGGTTACTAGAAGATGACTAGAGTACGTAGGTTCGCTTACACCATGTCTGTGCACAACTTTCAGTGTTCTCCCTTCATATGCATGGGGGGAGGGGGGGGGTTCAGAAGCTGTTCTGGTTTTCTTCACATACAGAAAATACTCCTAAAAATCCATTACTCAAATATCCCAACGCGAGACCCTTCCTGAAAATGTGTATTGCAACCATCCGAGGGGTTCCTGGATAAATATTACGATTATGTTTCGTGTTATTTCAAAAGGTATGCCTAAACTAGAGAGCAATAAGTGGAGCGAGGTTGTAACAGGGAGAGTCAGATCTGGCTGAAGAGGAAAGTATAAGACAACAAAAAGGCGAGTATTAACAGAGAAGAATGGCAAGCATAAAATGAGAATTACGAGTTTGATATCTGGGATCACAAGAACTGATGAGACATATATAAAACAAGAAGAGAAAGACAAGGGTGGGTGCTGTCTATCTCACACACGCTGAGAAAAAGTCAACACAGATGGTTTAGGGCAGGTCTTGGAAGCAATAGGGGGTAGTGGAGACTGAGAGGCAGGCACGGGAAGCAGTAAGTTCAAAGTGGTGAACCAGGCGTATTAATGTAGAGATGGACCCAAGCAGGAATGAGTGAAGATAGACCCCAAAATTTGGAAAATGCCAGGGAGGTTAGAATTTATTACCCAAAAATGAGCCGACTATAACAACAAGCAGGCAACGTTGTCGTATTATCTCACCTCGACACTATTTTCATCCATGGTGCTTTGGTTATTGGTACGGCAGTGTCAAGGAGCAGAGCGAGAAGTAGCCAAACGTTCCAAGCGAGGGAAGCAGGGAGGCAGGTCAGCGCACTTTCACCAGCAGTGAGCAGCACTACTGGACGACTGGCTTATTTAAAGACACTCAACTTTCACACCATGCCTACAGTTCAGAGCTGCACAGAAACAAACACATACAACCCCAGTGTAAATATATTACAGGTAAATGGCTGCTGCGTTTGGCACATGGCGGGGCACTTGATTTACAATTGGAAGACTGCCAGTTAAAATAATCAGTTAGGGGTCAAATCCCTCATGGGTTGATAAATAGGAGCCACTCTTATGGAGGACACAAAGTTGCTGTTTTAATGAGAAATGGTTCAATGCCACAACAATGTGCAATTTCCTCCAGTGGCTGAAGCCCTTCAAGAAATCAACGTTGTATTAGAAATGGGATAAATTCATTCAATGTAATTGGCCATTCGTGGAATTGACCTAACGTGTTAAATTTTGATTTAAAGCTTTCGTGACTGCAGGGATTCATATTCTTGGTTCTTTCGGTAAAGTCACGTAGAAGGGAAACAATAAAATAATAAAAATATAAAAAAATAAAATTATCACGTTTCGACTGCAACACAAACAATCATCATTAGGTGTGAAAACCACAACAAGAAAATTTGAAAACAAATAGTGGTTTTCACTCCTGATGATGATTGCTTGTGTTGCAGTCGAAACGTCGTGAGAATTTTATTGTTTTATATTTTTATTATTTTGTTTCCCTTCTACGTGACTAACGTGTTAAGGCAAGACCCTCCTGAAAAAGGTTCCCGAGAGTCATTAAAGCTTTCCTTATTCATACAGAGGTCAACTTTGAACTTGATCAATAAACGTATGTTGGATCCTTAACTTCTGCAAGTCAAAAAACGTTTACCTTTTCCCTAAAACCACAATAAACCTTCAATTGTTAATAAAGTAACATGCTGCAGGCCATCATAATTTGTCATGCCACAGAGGACTGGCTCCTGCCATGAGGCATGGAATTTATACCACTGATGCAGATGACCACATATTCCTGCTGATTTGGGAAAGCATGTTGTTAGTTTTAGTCAACAAAAAATATTCCTTACCTACACTACACAAAAAGCAATGCATCACACAAGCTGTATTGGTCATGGTTTAAGCACATGCACATTCCAGATGATTTCAATGCAACGCGGTTGTCAATAGTATTTGACATTAAGTTATTGCATGTGCTCAAGGTTGCCATGGGAGATGCGCAAGGCCCCCCACTTATCTCTTTCTCATGAAAACAGTTTGATTTGAGTTTTAACTTTCAAACATTTGCAGTTTTTGTACCATGCAGGGCAACTCTGTTGTCAAACATTCTCGATCATGAGTTTAGAATTCCTGGAAACGACTAAGCTAAACATTGCCGTCATTCCTCTGAGCCTGTTGTCATTAGCACCACTTTGTGAAAAGTCTCCTAAGAGAATAGATTTTACCATGGAAATACAGATATTCCACCACTGGATTCAAGGTCGCCAACAGAGATGAATACCGTCCCATTGCTCGTTCGAACGGGGATATCTTTTGGCTTTGACTTTATTCATTATACCATAGCCATTGGGGCCTGTACCCCAATGTGTTAACATTGATTGGGATACCATCGTGGTAGCGTTTAGCACTCTTAAATATGAACCCGGCGACTTAAGTTCACTTGTCGGCACAGGCTAACATCTGAACCGGTCCTTGCCCACCTTCGCCAACCCGCACTGACCAGTGTGGTGAAGTATGTTCAAACAACTCCCCATGAGCGACACAGCAGAGAGGGAGGCCTTCATCCAGCAGTGGAGCTGACGAAGCAATAATTACATTGGGTGGCAGCAGCCTTAGCTGCAGACGCCACAGTCATAGACATACAGTGTCCGCTCAAACGAGACGCACTGATCTCGACCGCCTACCGGTGGAAATTCAACCACGACAGGCAAAGAATGCAACGAACGGGTGTCGCTTTTGGCCAAGCGAGTGCCATCATAATCATCAGCCATTGGTTAATCCACTGCTGGATGAAAGCCTCGCTGGCCGCTCCAAGCCGTTACCACCTCCCAAGGTTCCTGCGATGTAAGAATCCACCCAGCAGCACCTGCGCGCGAGCTCATCATTGCTCCATCTCCACGGTGAATGTCCTCTGTGGGAAGGGGAGAGTTTTGATTTAAAGCTTTCGTGACTGCAGTAATTCATATTCTTAGCTCTTTCGATAAAGTCCCTTCAACGTGACTTTACCGAAAGAGCTAAGAATAAGGGGAGAGTTTCTCCCTTGGCTGGGAGTTGCTGCTACGGCCCTGAGCCAATGATGGAAATTCCACAATCTCAGGATGGTAGATTTTGGAATAAAATGAGTAACGCTTATATCCAAAATTGCCCCAAATAAATAAGCAGATAATACGCACGTCTCCTTCACATGAAATGTCCTTCCACCCTCAGACATTAAAGTACTTCTTTACACATTTCATCAGCCACACGGCCTTCTGGAAAACGCATAATTTCAATAGCATTGGTTGAACGCCAGCAAACAATACCTCAACTAGCAGACTCCGGATTGCTTGACCGGTCAAGCAATCCGGTCCATTAGTTTACTCGCGTTGAGCGAATGCTGCTGAAATTATGAAACTTCCCTGGGCTGCAGGTACTGCGAGGCCCTCAGTAATATTTCAAATAAAAATTATATTTTTACAAGGCTAACAACAATAAAATTCAGCATTCACAAATGAAATAACTTTTCACTTCATCTCTGGAGGCCCCCTGGGCTGCAGCCCCTAAAGCCCCCGTGCCTTGATCCAGTTTTTTTTGGGTTAGATCGCGTAAAAATATGTCGCCACCACCCGACACAGCCAATTAGTAAGGGTTGTCACGTAAACAGAACATGCCAGTTCATGACTAGTATAGCACACCGGAGTGTTGGAAAGCAAAGCCACAACATTTACAATCCGAGTACGACGTTTCGCCAGTAATTGCAACTAGCTTCATCAGATGTGATGGCACATTTATCAATTTACGCGATCTAACTCCCCCCCCCCCCCAAAAAAAAACCCTGTATTATGGATATTGGTCGCGAAAGCCTTCCTACTACGTGTTAAACTGACAATTGTGATATCCGAGCACTCTGTACGGCAATACCGAATTATTTCGTTCACGGTCGCTAGCTAGGGTGATGGAACGCGTCCGGGAGGGACATCCACGGGAGGAGACGGAGCGATGTCACCATCTCGGGTGCAAGTCGTGGGCCCCTAACTCGATGTCTGCATCGCAGGATTGCGAGGGATGGCGGCTTGGGGGGGGGGGCTTCATCCAGCAGTGGATTGGTCACGGCTGCTGTTGTTGTTCCTGCCGACGGTGGTGATGGTGACAACGGAGCCCTAATCTATGCTCCCAGCGATCGCTAGCGGGATTGGCGGTGCTTCTCCTCCTCACCCTCCTACCCCCCTCCCCCCACCCCCGTTTAACGACCTTGAACAGATACGGCAACTCCACATTGCCGCGGCGGGGGCCGGTGCGGCAAGCGGCGCAAGCGCGCGCCCAGCGATGTTGTAATCGCTGCAGCCATGGTAACAGCGCGGCGGCGGCGGCGGGGGAGAAACACAGAAGTAGCAGCAGCAAGCCAAAGAATTTTAAAAGCGCCAACAAAGCACGAACGCGCGTATCACACGAGTTACACACAAGCGAATTTCAAAATAAGCACAAGATAAGACGAGAGAAAGAGAGAGAGCGAGCGAGAGAGAATGTTAGCGACGGAGATTGAAAGCGCAGCAGCGTCCTCACGTACGTTCACCGACTTCATCGCTACACGGCACTAGCGCGTCGCGCGCCTCGGCTCTTCACAATTTATAGCGCGCACAGGCGCCAAGTCGTCGACTCCCCCACCCCCAACCTCCACCCCTTTCCACGCCTCTTATTGGCTCAAAGCGACAGAGCAAGCGCGCCGCTGATTTGTTTATACAGGGGCGCACAAGCGCAGCACGTGTCGGCGCTCGGCCAATCAGAGCGCGGTGAAAGCACGGAGCCCCCGCGCGCCTTATTCTGCACTGCCGGAGGCTCTTTGCGACGCGGAGCTTTGCGTGATGACGTAGAACAGGGGCTCGTATGGACGACGTCATGACGTATTCGCTCGTTGTTGCGGGGCTCACAAGACGTCAACACACGATGTTATGTGAAGACGTCGTGCGGGGCTCGCACGACGTCATCACGTGAGATCACGCTCGTGCGGTGCTTGCATAACGTCACCACGTGATGATGCGGTTAGCAGGATTCACGTCATCACGTAAGATCACGTGATGACGTTCCTCGAGCGCTACTACGTCATCACGTGAAATCTCGCTCGGCCAATAAAAAGCGCGCGCGCGCGCGGCCTTGCCCCACGACGCTAGCTTGCGACGCGGATCTTGCGGGCCTTGTTTTAACGTCATCACGTGATGTTACGTGATGACGTTGAGCGAGACCGCTTGACGTCATAACATGATATCATGCGACTTTTCTCTCTCCCCCCCTTTCGGCCTCGAACACGCCGAGCGGTCCACGTGACGGGGGCGGGGCGAGCCGCGTATCGATTCCATTTACTAATTATATTTTGATTTGATTCGCGATTCCACTACTGTACCGCACTGTAAATTTATTGTAATATCGTGCGCGAAGGGAGTCGATTATTTTTGGTACAGTCGCCGCTAATGATGTTCTGCTGCTGCTATAAATGTTCACGTGAAGATAAAGAAGCTTTATTCCATCTATCACTAGGCCTTAAGATTTACATTGAACTGCCCATATAGGGCCTCACCACTGTGATCTCTACATTGGGTCAAACTTAACATTTCTTAATGTTCGACGGCTTGTGCGCCAGATCTTATTTATTCACGATGTACTTACAACAAAAATCCGCAGATTACCTGCTGGATCTCCTCTCTGTTTCAAATAACAAATTTGACCTCAGGTCTTCGCTCATTTACCAGCTTCACATTCCCTATTGCCGTACAAAAACTGGAGGAAGGGCCTTTGCTATTGATGCCCCCTGAGTCTGGAATGCTATTGCCAATAAACTGCAACTTGAATCACTACCTATGAGATCTCTCAAAACTGCTCTAGAGGAGTTGTACACCCCTAGCTGCCACTGCTATTCATTGGCGTAAAATAAAATATAATGTTTCGCTCCGGATGACGCTGCAAAGTATTATCTGTATTTTGATTTAGCGTGCTGATCTTAAAGGTGCATTGAAAAATTTGATACTCCGACTGATGCTTCTGTTGTGGAGTAACTCATGCAGCCAGCTATGACTCTAGGATTTGGTGTTACATGTTATTTATGTAGTTTATTGTAACAAATCGGTCAGTCCCTGTGATCACTGTTACGTTGCAATTATGGCTTTATTTTTTGATGATTTCGAAAACGTTTTTTGGTTTTGGACATGTTTGTTTTGTTGTAGTACGGAGTTAGACTGATGGCCTTAATCTAAGTTGTCTTGTGGTTGTTGTTTGCACACAGCGTTGGTGTACGGTGCTTTTTTCAGGAATATTTTTTGTTTTTTTTTTCCCATGGATTTTCTGTTTGCACAGTCACATAGTCACTTTAAGATGTTTCTCTTGTTCGTGTTTTTGTTTGTTGTGGTTGCACCCGATTCAAGAGCCGAATGGCTCACAGGGCTATACCAAAATAAATAAACTGAAACTGAAAAAACTTGGTTGAGATTATCATTTGTGTCCAGGTCGCTTCTGACAAGGAGCTACAGAGCTCAGTGGGCATTGCCTGGTAAAATATAAAGTTTTAGTTTAATTGACAGATAATCACATGTGTTTCCTTGAGGATATTTGCCTGAATAAACGAAGATTATCAACGCGAAAAAAATGTTTACGTTGTATGTACACTGTGTACTCGCGTTCTAATTACACGAACGAGACAACATATGGCGTGGTATAAATGAAACCGCTATAAAGTCACGACTATCTAACACCCCGCGTTAGGGGGCCGTCCATAAATGACGTCACGCACCTAGGGGGGGGGGTGGTTGAGAAATGTGACGTCACATAAAAATGCGCAACTTTAAATAAAATAAATCTAGAATTGGAATAAATAAAATAGCATATAGAATTGTTATAACAACACTAATTGTGCTGGGCATGCAGGCAGGTAGTCGGAGCAACACTAATTGTTATAACAACACTCCTACAACATCAGAGTGCAGCGCCACATTAAATACGCACTACAATGACAATAGTTTAAAGCGATTTAAAATATATCCTTGGTTGTTTCGGTAAAGTCACGTAGAAGGGAAACAATGAAATTATATTTTTATTATATTTATATATTTTTATTATTATTTTATTGTTTCCCTTCTACATGGTGACTTTACCGAAAGAACCAAGAATATGAATCCCTGCAGTCACGAAAGCTTTAAATCGATTTGAAACATGTTTTATTTTTAAAATGGAAATGTTTTTTGTGGGGGGGGGGCAGAGCTTTGTGACGTCATATTTGAGGAGGGGGGTGTCTCACTTTGTGACGACGGAGGGGGGGGTAAAAAAAATCGGCCCTAATCGCGTGACGTCATTTATGGACGGGCCCCTTTAATCGTTTCGTCGCGATTCTGCCGCTTTAACGACAGCGGCCTCTATAGCGGCCTCTAGCGGCTGCGGTTTGCATCATCGGCACGGGGCGGGAGGGTGGATAGGGTCGTCGAGACGAGAGAGACGCTGGGGCTGGTGGTGGTGTTGGTGGTGTAAGGTGGTGGTGGTGTAAGGTGGTGGTGGTGGTGTTGGTGGTGGTGGTGTAAGGTGGTGGTGTAAGGTGATGGCACTCCGCCGTGCGCTCCACTTCGTGTTCAAAGTGGGAGATCGAGCAGCAACACTCTCCTTCTACCGACAAGTGCTGGGCATGCAGGTAGTCGGAGCCCCCGGGGTGATGATGATGATGGTGGTGATGGTGGTGATGATGGTGATGATGATGGTGATGATGGTGGTGATGATGATGATGGGGGTGGTGGTGATGGTGATGATGATGGTGATGATGATGGCGATGATGATGGTGGTCATGATGATGGTGATGATGATGGGGGTGGTGGTGGTGGCAACGTCCACAGCCGCGTCCGGTTGATGTTTGTGTGCCGCTTGGGACGATTCGTCGCTAGCACGTGGGAGTTGTTTCGGTGGTGGTTGTGGCGGCGGCGATACAAACAACAACATAGTTAAAGCACTTTTTTTGCGAGAAAGTGCACGGTAAAAGTATCCGATGGGACGCATTGGGTTCCCGGCATAGGAATGTGGAATTTTCACAATCGTATGTTGCCTTGATCGATGGGGTGTGTGTCTTGTCTGTCTCTGTGTCGCGGCTTGATTAAGAATGGAGACTGTTGTGGGCATCGTAGCACCTCTGGTGGCCGTAAGAGTCCCTGACAGCCACATTACATAAACAACATTACTCCATGATAAGAGGTATTTTTATGGGTTAAATGGTGTAAATATATTAATGTGTCGTTAAAGCCGCCACCACCCGACACAGCCGACCCTGTAAGGGTTGTCACGTAAACAACACGTGGCCAATTCGTTACCAGTGCAGCGCAAATCCACAACATTCACGAACCGAGTCCGACGTTTCGCCAGCAATTATAGCGAGCTTCAAACAGGCGGGCAGCCAGCTAAACATTACATAAAACAAGACGCACGTGTACTGTACAACATTTCTAGCCTTTGGTTCTTTCCGTAAGGTCACGTAGGTATAAAATATTATCTTCTTTGGTTCTTTCGGTAAAGTCACGTAGAATGAGAATAAAATATATAATATAACATAACACAATTTTATTGTGTTATGTTATTTTATTTTATCAATTTATTATTTTATTCTCATTCTACGTGACTTTACCGAAAGAACCAAAGAAGATGAATCATTGCAGTCACGAAAGCTTTAAATCGATATAAAATATTAATAAGTAAAAATCACGACGTTTCGCAAGCGGTCCGTCATCAGGTGAGAAAGCCTAAGTCTGCTGCAGAGGCATTTAATACCCACGTGACTTTACCTAAAGAACAAAAGAGTGTGGATTCCTGCAGTAACGAAAACTCCAAATCAAGATTGTACAACATGTGTTTTGTAAATCCGCTCGCTGAATGAGAACCTCAAAGGGCCACGTCTTGCGGGTCGTGGATGCCGCCTGGCCATACTTCGCCAAAAAACTGGCTGGTCTTTCAGCTTCGTTTCTTGAAGACGCCACAAAGTAGTGTTCGATAAAAAAAATTTAGATTGAAAGCTTTTGTGACTGCAGGGATTCATATTCTTGTTTTTTTTTCCGGTAAAGTCACCACGTAGAAGGGAAACAATAAAAATGTAAAACAATACAATTCTCACGACGTTTCGACTGCAATACAAGCAAATATCATCAGGTGTGAAAACCACAACAATAATTTTTTAAAAATTTTCTTGTTGTGGTTTTCACACCTGATGATGATTGCTTGTGTTGCAGTCGAAACGTCGTGATAATTTTATTGTTTTATATTTGTATTTTATTGTTTCCCTTTCTACGTGACTTTACCGAAAGAACCAAGAATATAGTGTTCGATTCTTGAGTGTGGCATGCAGTGTGTTCCGGGTGAGCCGAATGGGGCCGTCCATAAATGACGTCACGCACCTGGGGGGGATGGGGGTGGGGTCAGACATTTGTGACGATGTGTGACGAGTGAGGGGGGGGTATGAAAATGTGACGTCACATCAAAATGCGCAACTTAAAATAAATATATAATTTTTTACAACACTGATTGTTATAACAACACTCCTACAACATCAGAGTTCAGCGCCACATTAAATGCGCACTACAATGACAATAGTTTAAAGCGATTTGAAGCATGTTTTATTGTTTGGGGGGGGGGGCAGAGCTTTGTGACGTCATTTGAGGGGGGATCTGACTTTTTGTGACGCCGTGTGACGAGGGGGGGGGGGGGGTCAAAAATCGTCCAAAATCGCGTGACGTCATTTATGGACGGCCCCTTACGTCTGCTAAGTAAGCTTCCAGGTTCTGACTAGATCAGGCGCCGTCCGGGTGAATTGACACCAAAGGCGGGCAGCGGGGGTAGCGCGCGTGTTCGCCGCCTGTCTGCAGAGGTCCGCGGTTTCAAGCCCGGCGGCCGCCCTGGTTAATACTGCGTAATACTGTGTATTAATCGTATGACATTCGCCGACTTTTCTCACGGACGACGTTAAAGAGCCCGTGACGTGATTAAGACAGGGAGTAGGTCAGGTGCGGCGGCATCATGGTCCAAATTTGATCAGCTAATCAATTGGGAGACCATATCGCAACACCGCTCCTTACTGCCGGACTAATGCCCACCCACTGGCTTACAGGCCGGAGCAACTGCGGTCACCTCGTGTCGTACAGGGACAGCCACCTGCCGCAGGGCGCGCCGAGAGACGTACCACGCACGGCGGGCGCGCTGTAAATATTCAGAGATGATGTCAATTACTGTACTTTGAACATTTTTTAATGAGGCACAATGGCTGTTGTTTTTTTTTCCACTTCTGAGATTTCCCCCAACGTGAGCTTTATTCACGCCGCGTTGTTGTCGCTTTGCAAGGTTTTGAGACACGAGGAGTTTAAGGAAGGATGCAAGGCCACATGCAATGGGTATGTTTAGCACACGGTTACATTCACAAACACTCATTTGGTTCTACATTTGAAGCTTTCGTGACTGCAAGGATTCATACTCTGTTTTTTTCGGTAAAGTCATGTAGGTAAAAAATCAATAAAATAAAAACAACTAAATTTTGATTTAAAGCTTTCGTGACTGCAGTAATTCATATTCTTAGTTTTTTCGGTAAAGTCACGTTCTCTTCAACGTGACTTTACCGAAAAAACTAAGAATAAAAACAACTAAATTAAATCATGACGTTTCGGGCGCAACACAAGCGCCCGTCATCAGCTTTATAAACCCGTGTCAGAGCGATCCCTTTGACATATCTCAGCAACGGTCTTCACTGTGTTTGTCCCCACCTGATGACGGAGGCTTGTGTTGCGCCCGAAACGTCGTGATTTAATTGAGTTGTTTTCATTTACTTTATTGATTTTTTTTACCTACGTGACTTTACCGAAACAAACCAAAGAGTACTCATTTGGTTCTGCAGCTTTCTTAATTTAAACACGTAGAAGTTTTTGGGTTAGATTGCATAAATATAAATGTGTCGTTAAACCTGCCACCGAACCCGACACAGCCACTTAGTGAGGTTTGTCACGAAAACAAAACGTGCCAATTCGTTACTGGTTCAGTCCAGTACACCGGTGTGTTGGACTCTGGTAAGTGTGGGTTGGTGAAGGAGGTAAACCTCATGTACAGGTTCACACATCACTGTTTGCCACAACCCGGAATCAAACTCGGCTCATTGGGTTTGTAGCGCGTTGCTCTAAACCACTGCATCACCATTCCACACCATCGCCATATGACCCTGTAAGTTGCTGGTCATGTTCCGCTTGACCGTGTTGGGCGGTGCGGCAGGCCCTATGATGGCACGTGGAGCAAGACCATGATCGGCTACGGCCCCGAGGACGATCACTTTGTTGTGGAGCTCACCTACAACTACGGGATTGGCACGTACCGGCTCGGCAACGACTTCTTGGTAAGGCCGCCTCTACTGCCAGAGGCAAAACCTGGGAAGGCCGAGGTTTGCGTCCCTCTGTGTGAATGTTCAAACCACCTGGAACGCGTCCCGTCCCAGTCCGATCCCCGAAGCTGCGCAGAGTTTAGAATGTTTAACACGAAGGCTTTCGCGACCAATGTCCATAATACAGGTATTTTTGGGCTAAATCGCATAAATATATAAATGTGTCGTTAAACCCGCCACCATCCGACACAGCCAATTAGTAAGGTTTGTCACGTAAACAGAACATGCCAATTCGTTACGAGTACAGCACACTGGTGTGTTGGAGAGCCAAACCACAACATTTACAATCTGAGTACGACGTTTCGCCAGTAATTACAACGAGCTTCATCAGGCGACAGCCAGATTTGTGGAGAAATCCTCCTGTTTCGCTCCTTAAATAGAGGGCTAGATGTGATGGCATCACTTGTGAGCAATTCTTGCGCGAAGTGGGGGGGGGAGATTAATGAATGGATATAAATGACAGTCGGTATCCGTTGGCGGTTGGGTTATTAATATGGTAATCAACGTACATTATGCATGCACGTTATGCAAGCACATTGTACTTTTACATCTTGTCGATTGTGTGTACTAATGGAGTTTAGCCAGCCTAGTGTTCAGATGCACAGCCACTTTGGTTGCCCGGTTATCATCGAAGGCTGCAGAGTGCTGCTACGTAGCAGTTAGCATTCGACAGAAGTGTGTCAAAATGCAGTGTTGTGCTGGATTTCCACGTCACCACATCTAGGTTTCTGCCTTAAAATGTAAATGTCCAATGTGGTGAAGTATTGATAAACAATATGGATAAATAATAATGTACGTTTATAAAGTGCCGTTAAACAATGGATATCAGAGTGCCATACACATGAATGAGGATATAAGCGATGAGTAACCCAGGGAGAGAAAGACTAAAGAGACAACAGCACGGTTGGCTACATACGGTGTGAAAGTAGTTCAACATACAACTCGAGGGAGAAAGCCATTTTGAATAGGTGGCGTCTTCAACCAGGCTCTAACAGTCTCCATGGACTTCGAGTTCCTTGACCTCCAAGGGCAGGGAATCCCAGAGCCTGGGCGCTGTGCAAACAAAAGCTTCGTTGTCACCCCAGGTTCGAAGCCTGGAGCATGCATGGTACATTAAGTAGGGCACGATCGGCAGATTTCAAGAGATCTCAACGAAATGTATGGCTGAATCAACCCCCACAAACGTGGAGAGGTGGTAAATCCAGCAGCGAATTTTGTGTTTAGTTTGTTGTCCTTCCCCCGCACCTCCGATCAGCGCAGCTGGCTACGTACGGTGCGAAAGAAGTCGTACGTACATATGTACAATCTCAACATGGTGATCTTGAGGACTGATTAAAACTCTGCTATTAACTTAACTCATAATTCTGCCAAGCTACTAAACTACCGTCGTAAAATTATCTGGCCGGCTGGTGCTGTGGTTCGAGTGCTTGAATCACGAATCGGGAGGTCTTGAGTTAAATTTCAGCTCAGCCCATCGTCATCCCTGTATTGTCAATAGAATGAATATTTTATTCTCATTCTACGTGACTTTACCGAAAGAACCAAAGAAGGAGAATGAATACCGCTTTGTGGTATTTCGTTGGTTGCCTATGGATAGCCCATGGAAGTCTTTGAGTTGCCACCACTAGCTATTGACTGTTGATGGATATGACCACCACCCAACACAATTTTGAGCATGGAAGCAATATTTAAATTGACAAAACAAACAGGTTACATGCATGCATGTGTATGCATGTTGAACTTTTTTCACACCGTACGTAGCCAACCATGCTAGTCGGAGGTGCGGAAACTCCCATCTCATGACTCGCAAGGACATTTAATCGTCAACATGCAACCCATAGCTACATTTCTTTTCCATACCCACTGAGGAAATTCCCGAGATTGTTCATGCTTTTTTGTTGTTGTTGTTGTTGTATCTTCGTGTTTTAAGGGAATGACCATCCAGTCCAGCAAGGCGGTGAAGAACGCAAGGCAGCGTGGCTGGCCGATGAAGGAGTGCGACGATGGCACGTTCGAGACGGAGGCTCCGGGAGGATACAAGTTCTTCTTGATTGACCAGGATGAGCCCAATACTGGTAAAGACTGGTTGCAAGTCGGTAAATAACAAGCTCGATGGATACGAGTTCACATGGCCTGGCAGGACACACAGTCGCCACCAACAGATGTAATATCCAGTTGATAACCAGGCCATGTGGAGAGCGTGAGAGAAGCTTCTGTGGAAGGCTGCCACACCTCCACTTTTGCCTGTAGCAGAGGGCACGGCTCCACCCTCCCCTCTCTTTATTAACAACCCAGGGAGCAGGCCCTGGGATTTTGGCGGTATCTTGGTCGACGCAGCAATGGTGTCCAGGGTCTTTGCCCCGGCAATTAATGATGGTGAAATGTCCTTTAATGCCCTCGTTGGTGATCGGACGAAGTCAGAGCTGAAGAGAAACGAGTGGGTGATCGGTGGTAATCCAGTTCCTTTGTTTTGCTTTCACTCGCGCAGATCCTGTTCAGAAAGTGTCTTTGGGTGTCTCGGATTTACAAAGATCTCTTCACTATTGGGAGGCGTTGTGTGGCATGAAATTGTACAAAAAAGAAGAGGGCAAAGCTTTGTTGGGTTTTGCCGACTCCCAGGTAAGCATTTACCCACCCCCCACACTGCTGATTTTCTACTCAAAGGATCATACACCTACACATCCTGACCACTGTCAGAACTTTTATATGAACGGTGATCATTCTTCATTGTGAAACCGTTAAATACATCGTCATCCCACATGTGTAAGCCTCATTTTATTCTACGCTTTATTAAGTTATTGTCTGACTGGGTGTATCACTGTGGCACGCATTCCTAATTGGGCGGAAAACTTGTGGCGTCGATGAAATTAGTGCCACTTTGTGACACGTTGGCACGAGTGCTGCGCAATAACTCGCTACCACCAAAAGAATGTGGAATTTCAATGACTGACTCGGCAGATGAGTGCTGACCCATGCGCTTTTTGAGCGGCGAACCACTTTATCCTTTCCTGCTGGATCTTTCTATGGTGAAAGCGTTATTTTAAGTCGGCGGTCAACTTGGTCCATCACAATCCGTTGAGGATCCAGTGAAAGAGTATCGCTTTATGGGAAGTCTGCCCCTTTCCTACCATAGAGAGTGACTGGCCTCTGCAATGGCAATGTGGAATATACATCGCTGGCTGAGGACCATCAGTTGAGATAATTGCCACTGCATTATTTGAGCAGGGAAATTATCTGATTGCGATGAACACAAATTCAACCCATTCATCAATGAGACTGCCCCCTTAAGATGAAAATGTATAAAATAGGTGACATTTCAGACGGTGCAGAGGGATATTCATGAATAAGGGCCATGGCCAGAAATGTCAACTGGTATCTGTCTTTTTCTCTTCGTGCATTGTGCACCGCTGCCAAAAAACTGCATCGGACTGTTTTAGTTTGACTTAGATCGGGCTGTGTTTGTAGGATCACTCGGTCCCGTTCTGTTGTGTCTTGCCAGTGTAAGCTGGAGCTGCAGGCCATTGGGGGCCCAGTGGACCACGCCACAGCATTTGGGAGGGTCGCCTTCTCGTGCCCCAGAGAGCAGGTGCTACACCAGCAAGTGGTCATGAGAGCCAGGGACACACTTGACTTCTTTGTAAAACTCGGCCCTCGAATGTTTTGAAAGGTGCCGTGTCCATTTATGAAATCACAGTCAATCATCGATTATCCGGATGCTTCCAACATGATCTGGCAGTGCCGGGCCGATCCGGTGAAACCGCACCAAATGCCAGTTCAGTGATCGGCGCCATGTGTGTGACAAAAAAAATAGCTATGCGCGATTTCAGTGTTAAATATTATACAGTACATTATACACTACATACAACTTAAACGATGAAAATACTGCACTGTATACATCACCCAATGTGCAGAGTCTTCGAGATTGGAGTGGTAAGTATGGTACAGTAAATAGAGTAACTTTTTACAGGAGGATATTTATTTTTGTCTATTTGTATGTTTATACCAATTTCATTTAGTAAACAAATTTAAAACACAAAAAAACCTATAACAACACCGACAAACAAAATGCCTTACAAACATGTGCAAAAGTAACCTATTTTAAAAATATATGATGTAGTGATTATCTGCCGTTTTTGAAAATCTGGCGCCCCCTCCTCCCCGAACCCGCCGGATAAACGATGATCTGTGTATATTTGATATATCAGTTTACTGGTGCTTTATTGAAGTGTGACTCTAATAAGCAGACATATCACCAAACCAACAGCCGTGGTCAATCCCACTGCTGGATGAAGGGCTTTCCAAGCTGTTATCACCTAGAATAATTTAGAATCAACATTTATAATCAACACTTAGGCTTTCGCGACCAATATTATTCATAATAAAGGTTTTTGGGTTAGATCGCGTTATTTATAAATGTGTTCAACACACCGGTGGGCTAAAGTAGTGAATTATTTGTCTTTTTTCAACGTGACACTTTTTTTGCTGATTGGCCGTGTCGGGTGGTGGAGGGTTACGACACATTTATAAATAACGCGATCTAACCCAAAAACCTTTATTATGAATTTATAATCAACGTCACGCGTTTAGAGTATTTGGCTGCTATAAATTTCCACGTGATGATAAGCCACTTCGTTGAGCTATCATTTGTGTCCAGGTCACTTCTGAAAAAAGAGCTACAAAGCTCAGTGGGGGCCTTACGTGGTAAAATAAAAATAGTTTTGTTTTATCGCCCACAATCCTGCAGCATAACAATCCACCTGGAAACTTGCACAACAACATTTCCTCAGCGCTCGCACTCCCAGATGCGTTCCATTCATTGGCTGCAACTCGTGCAACTATTCTTGAGCATCAGCCATCAATTCCTAGTCCTGCTCAATCCCACTTTTATTAACAGTTTAAATGTTTTGAATGATGACCAATTTTTTTATTGTTACATCTTTAAATTGTATATGTGATCGAATACATTGCATTTTATATGTAAATGATAATTAATATAATTTAAGATGTTTTATTTGCCTTATTGGGTCCAGTAATATAACATGGCAAAGTGGTGGACACGCTGCTGTGAGCGTTATTCATTGGCTTGTCTTTGGGGGTGTTTTTGCCATCTGCCAGCTGCCGGACATTCAGAGCCTAATGCAGGGGGAGAATCAGAAGGTGATCACGCCACTCGTGAGCCTAGACACTCCGGGCAAGGCCACAGTGGAGGTGGTCATCGTTGCCGATCCGGTAAGCACACACACACACGTTTGTTTGTACGTATGTAGAACTTATTTAACACTATACATAGCCAACCGTGCTAATCGGAGGTGCAGAGGGAAGGACAACAAACTAAACACAAAGCAGTTCTAAATAAATACATTTTCAATCTAGATGATTTAAAATTTCATAGCTCCAAGGCCGTCATGCAACAGTGGACTAAAAGATGGGCTGTATGTAGATATGAACAGGACCAAGTTGGACTCCCATATCACTACTTGAAGTAGTAATCTCATACATTCTCAATCGGCACAAATCAGAGTGTTCCCATGGTCAAATAATCGCCGAGTGGTCCTCGCTGCCATTGATAGTTGCGAGTACCTAAGGAATAGTGGCCTGAGTTGACTCATTGCGAGTGAATCATGGAGATGCTTTGGCTTTTTGCGCTGTTTTGCTTATTGCTGGTTTTCATATGGTGCCAACTTTGTAAATGTGTAATGATTTGTCGACTTTGCATTTTTCGAGGATGACCATGAGATCTGCTTTGTGGGAGACGAAGCATTCCGTGAGCTCTCCAAGCCAGACCCCAGCGGAGATTCACTCCTCAACCAGGTCAGCTGACGGCAACAACAGTTTACGCAGTCACGTCTTTTATAACACTTGACAAATATGAAAAAAAAAACATTAGGGTACAAGAGGGGAGAGAGGGGGAGGTCGGAACAGGGGAATTGGCGTAAACCGTGAGCAGCTGCCTGGTATTTCAAACCCAGTATCTCAGCGGTGTTTTTGTGTGCGTCTCTTCGCCGTTTCTTTCCCAGGCCATTGCGGAAGACAAGAGCGGTGAGTGGTACGCCAAGCACAAAAGGCAGAAGCCCACAGCGTGAAGCTAATTATGTGCTTTCCAAAACAACCTTGAGCCTATGGCTAAAATGAATGCTGGCATTGTGCATGCTGCTTACAATAATAACCGCCCAGAGCAATATGGCATTTGGAGCTATGACAATTGTAATAAAACGCAACAGGGAGCTGCTTAACATTATTCGGAGGAATATCACTGCGTTGACGGCCACATTTGCTACATAGAGCAATGTAAGTTATTGTCGCGTTCCCTTGAATGTCATTACGTCGTTCGTACGCTTACATTTTTTTTACCTTTTTGGTATTGTTAGTTTATTTCACCACCCAGTCTTTAATTGTCGTACTGCTCTTGATGGCATAGCAGCGTGTTTTAAATCATAATTTGGCTAAATGGTGCAGTGAGGTGTGGTGGCTTTGGGTTTACTGGGAGGGTATACTTGTTCTGTTACTTGCACTTATAAATGGGCTCTCGCCAGACATCTTCACTTAATATTACTTAAATAAGTATGGTGAAAAAAGGGTCGAAATCCTGCAGAGTACAACACGCAAATCGTGATCAACACAAAGGGCCGAACGAGCACACTTGCTGCGACATGAAGAGCGTGGGAAACCAGTGGTGTGTGAACAGCGTTCTGCGCAAACCAACCTGGAGCAGCGTGAAACGTTCACGAGGACAAACGACAGACCGTGCATTGTTCAGCAAAACTTTCCCCATTTTTTTTAAAATAGACATTCAAAATTCTAGCAATGCGAATATAATTGCTTATATCGAATTTGTTCTGTAATTGACAAGTTACGTTTTTTGGAAATTCCATATTTTGAGTTGCCGTTTAACGATGGATAGCTGTATAGTCATTATATATTACTACCCCTATAGATTCATCGGCCATGTAAACAAATATTGTGTTGCTGGGCACTCGGGCTAAGCTAAAACTAATTATGCAGGAATATGCCGCGAGAAAATCGCATACCTCGTGTCCACGAACGGCCAATGCGAGTCAACCTGAGCACTAGAGATGGTCTGACTTGGTGTTTGATGTACTGCATTTGTCATGGCGAGTTGATGGATAACTCAAGTTGGTGAATTAAAAAAAAGTGTCATTTCCATGTTGTTGTTGCGTTGTCGCACGAGTTGGACAAGTCTTCCGCACAAATACCTCCCCAGCTTCTGCTTAACCCGGACACACAAGCTAAAGGTCACACACAAGCTAAAGGTCAAGACTAAATTTCTGGAAAAATAAAACGTGCTTTTGATTGACATGCATGGGGCGATGTACTTGGGCTTGGCCTGGTTTTCTGACGCAGAGAATTCAGGTCGGGTCACAAGGTGACTTTGTTGAATACAAACCTGGGAATCGTGGTTTTGCTGCTCGCCTTGGTACCCGAGTCATGTGGCGTGTGGTAAATGGGGTAATCCTGAACAAACGAGTTATCTTTTCCGTGGTCCGTTGATTTAAATTCACTGTCTCCAGAACCTATTGTGGCATTTATATGAAATGCTTTGCTGTGGTTTGACACTGACAGCATAGATTAAAAAACACACATTTGAACCTTATGGCGGGACCCCAGGGGTCCCGAATAAGCGGAACTCAAAATCGTAATGAATGAATGTATTTCTGGCGACTCCGTCCCACCGCGCACATCAACGCCGCGAGACCCGCCTGGCGCGGATAATTCTGTTGTCGTGTCGTCCAAGCGAAAGCAGCGAGGGCGAATGCGCAGAAGAAACAAAACTTTGAAACTTTGATTAGCGCATCGTGTAGAGCTCGTCTAGAGAAATAAATCGCCGTATCGTTCGCCTTCGACAGACATAAAATGACGTCGCAACGCAGTTTATGCGAGAGCCGGGGGCTTATGGGACCCTGGGGTCCCGCCATAAGGTTCATTTGTTTATAGTTTGCTCGCAGTATTTTTGCATAGTTTTAGCGGTTTTATTATGTCTTCTTTAAAACGAAGCTATGGAAAACAGCGTACGAGTCTGGATTACCAGATGTTCTTTTATTGTTTGAATGACAAGAACGAGTTTCTGTTGAGTGGTGCTGGGATTGATCAACCTAAATAGTTATTGTACAAACTCAGACGGCAACACTAAGCTCTAAGACTTATAGCGAGCATTGATGGGGGGGGGGGACATGAACGGGGTAGAAGATTCAGCCAGTGCTGTGTTTCCGTACGTTATTGTTCCAGATACGCTCGTGAATACCTTAAATACATACACTAAAAAAACAAAAAAGTTTCCCATCACTTTATCTCATTACTTTCTCGCGTCACTTCATCTCTCTCGACGCAGTCGTGCAGAGTTCCAGGTGTTATCCGCAGATAAACCAAAAACCGCGGGTAGCAAGTTCGCGAATAACAAGGGAACACCGTGTAGATGAAATAGCAACTTTTTTTTAACGATGCAAGAAGATTCGCTATCCGGTGAAGGAGTTGCGGAGGTGCGTGGTAGATGTAAAGGGATGTTTGCCTCGTGCTCAGGCTCAGCACAATGGGAGGCTGGCCTGGACGCATGACTCTGAACTCGGCCACGTGTTCCCTGGGTTGCGCTCTGACCCAGCACAATGGGAGGCTTGGCCTGGACGCATGACTCTGAACTCTGCCACGTGTTTTTTGGGTTGCGCTCTGACCCAGCACAATGGGAGGCTGGCCTGGACACATGGCTCTGAACTCGGCCACGCGTTCCCTGGGTTGCGCTCTGACCCAGCACAATGGGAGGCTTGGCCTGGACGCATGGCTCTGAACTCGGCCACGTGTTCCCTGGGTTGCGCACTGACCCAGCACAATGGGAGGCTTGGCCTGGACGCATGACTCTGAACTCGGCCACGTGTTTTTTGGGTTGCGCTCTGACCCAGCACAATGGGAGGCTGGCCTGGACACATGGCTCTGAACTCGGCCACGTGTTCCCTGGGTTGCGCTCTGACCCAGCACAATGGGAGGCTGGCGTGGACACATGGCTCTGAACTCGGCCACGTGTTCCCTGGGTTGCGCTCTGACCCAGCACAATGGGAGGCTGGCGTGGACGCATGACTCTGAACTCGGCCACGTGTTCCCTGGGTTGCGCTCTGACCCACCACAATGGGAGGCTGGCCTGGACGCATGGCTCTGAACTCGGCCACGTGTTCCCTGGGTTGCGCTCTGACCCAGCACAATGAGAGGCTTGGCCTGGACGCATGGCTCTGAACTCGGCCACGTGTTCCTTGGGTTGCGCCATGACCCAGCACAATAAGAGGCTTGGCCTGGACGCATGGCTCTGAACTCGGTCACGTGTTCCCTGGGTTGCGCTCTAACCCAGCACAATGGGAGGCTGGCCTGGACGCATGGCTCTGAATTCGGCCACGTGTTCCCTGGGTTGCGCTCTGACCCAGCACAATGGGAGGCTTGGCCTGGACGCATGGCTCTGAACTCGGTCACGTGTTCCCTGGGTTGCGCTCTGACCCAGTTTGAATCGAATTCTGCCGGACCGTGGCCCGGCGGGCTTAATGATTTCGCACACGTTACCGACGAACCCTCTTGCAATTATGACTCGATTATTTGTTGTCGCCTTCATCTGGTTCCGCCTAAGAGACGAGATTAACCGTGAACGCGAAGTTGCCCGTTTGAATAATGAACACCGGCGTGGCAATTAGTGGCAGTCGATGCACGTTGGCACCAACACGATGCGGAAATGCATCGCGAGCGGAGGCATCGATGATAATTATCGAATAATCGCTACCCTTCAAGTACTCCCTACGCTAATTATGCAACACGTCGATATAATTGATCTATCATGAGCCACGCTTTATCCACTGCTGGATGAAGTCGCGGGGCCTACACAACGAGACGGGAAATAAAAACAAACGAGATTTAATCCACGGCATTTTAATCGATTCGTAACCCACCGTGCTATAGAGCACTGCCAAAGAAGTAAAAAAAATTGATTCGTGAAGCTAATTCGTTTTTTTTTCATATTGGTTCCAATTTTTTTCACGTTTTATTTGTGTATCTTTTTAAAGCCATTTATTTACATTTCCTATAATTTGTGACTCAGATCATTTGTTGTTGCATTTTATGTTGTTGCAGGGGCAGAGCCACAGGGGGGGGGGGGGGGGGGGGGGGGGGCTCAGTTGCCCCCCTGAAATTTTGGGAAAGTTGGTAATCTGGATAATCGGATATCCGGCTGCTACAAAATGCTGCAGGCTGCCACCTCGTGCTGCCCTGCAGGCTGCCACCTTGTGCTGCCCTGCAGGCTGTCACCTCGTGCTGCCCTGCAGGCTGTCACCTTGTGCTGCCACCTTGTGTGCTGCCCTGCAGGCTGCCACCTTGTGCTGCTACCTTGTGCTGCCCTGCAGGCTGCCACCTCGTGTGCTGCCCTGCAGGCTGCCACCTCGTGTGCTGCCCTGCAGGCTGCTTGAGCGGCAGCCTTTCGAACTTATGGAACTTATTAGCCACGTCAGCGGCTCCGACCTATTAATAAACTCCGCGTTCAAATCCAATAAAATGTGTTTTATACATTTGTGGCGCCCATTGTAAAACATAAACACTGGATATCTCAGAATATTGAAGTCAGCCCACCACAAAGTCAAAATCCTGGCTCCGCCCCTGTGTTGTAACGTTCCGACACGCCCGTGCCCTGACTGGAACATCTTATGGGGAACAAAAAGAGCTTTCCATTTATACAGGATTTTTGGGGGGGTGTTTAGATCGCGTAAATATATAAATGTGTCGTCAAACACATCCACCACCCGACACAGCCAATTAGTAAGGTTTGTCACGTGGCCAATTCATTACTAGTATAGCACTACACCGGTGTGTTTGAGAGCAAATCCACTGCAACATTTCACAATCTGGGTACGACGTTTCGCCAGTAATTGCAAGCGGCATCACAGGCGACAGCCAGAGATGTTTACTCTCAAACACACCGCTCTGGTGCTGTGCGAGTAGCGAATTGGCACGTTCTGTTTACGTGACAACGCTCACCAATTGGCTGTGTACTGAAATGTATTCAGATTGTAAATGTTGTGGATTTACTCTCTAACACACCGATGTGCTGGACTAGGAGCGAATTTGCACGTTTTGTTTACGTGACAAACCCCGTTACTAATTGGTGGTGGCGGGTTTGACGACACATTTACGTGATTTAACCAACAACAAAAAATCCCCTGTATTATTGATTACATTGGTCGCGAAAGAACTACGTGGTGTTCAAAAGAGCTTCACAGCTCATCTGATTTACTCCAATTTCAAGTCATCGCCCGCTTCTCATCACAAATCGATGCTGTGCGGCGATCGGAGGAATCGATTCGACTGCCCGCTGATGACGTCAGCCCGGCTTCCGCCACGTGCTCCTCCGCAGCGGTGGCTTGGAGCTTGTACAGTACGTGAGCGGCACGCAACCGCATGAGCGGTGTAACCCTGTGGGTTATCGCAGTCCTTTTTTATTTTTACTTCTAAGCCCCCCCCCCCCCCTCTCTTGTGCACTCTCGCCTTTTCTCGAGTCCCGCGTGTCCTCTTCGGCCGGTGAGTGTTCCGCCACGGCGCACGCACGCTGACAGCAGCAGCCAGCAGCAGCTTCCACAGCCTTCAACCCACACACCTCGCTGGCGGCGGCTGTTGAGAGCGCTTGGGGGACCCGTTTTGTTGTCCTCGGTAGTCGCGTCGTAGAGGTTGGTCACGGGACAATGTTTATGTCGCCACCACCACGCCACCACCAACACCACGCCACCAACACCACGCCACCAACACCACGCCACCATCACCACGCCACCAACACCACGCCACCATCACCACGCCACCAACACCACGCCACCACCAACACCGCCACAAACCACCACCACCACACGGCCACCAACACCACGCCACCACCAACATCGCCACCACCACCACACCGCCACCAAGACCACCACGCCGTCACCACCACCACGCCACCACCACGAACACCACCACAAACACCACCACGCCACCACCGCACATCGTCATCGCGTCCCATGGTCTGTCGGGTTCGGGCGTTCCAGAGGTTCGCGGTTTAGAAATTCAGAGGCCGTCCTGGCTATCGCGCGTGTCAACGATAAGAGAGGGGGGGGTCTTGTGACGTAATTCGCAAGAGGTTTTAGACCTTTGCTGGCTTCGTGGTCCAAATTTGGCAAATTTCAAAATATTACACAGAGCCACTGCATAAGGCGGAGTCATCGCCCTAGGATTCCAACTTTTGTTAGGAGCCTCCTGAAAAAGTGACGAGACTCCGTGAGGCTTTCCTGAGCAAACAATATTCAGAGCCTCCCCCTCGGCGTGCCGTGAGAAGCTTCATCATCACCACCTCTGCCTTGAAGTGTTTTACTTACACAGTCGATGGGGTCGTCCTTCAAGGACCACTTATCATCATGCACTTCCAATGCCCTGGACTCCCATGAGTGTCATCACTCATCAACAACCTGTTCTTGATCACGTCTTCAACACATCACTGTTGCATAAAATTCACAACTCCTCGATGTTACACCATCATGGCATGAGATTCGTAGCACATAACGCATACACTTGTGTTCAAAGGCCAGACACACATCTTCTACTCCTTCCTTTATTAAATTCCAATTGTCCAGCGAAAGACATTACTGGTGCCTCATTCAGTCGCAACTAAAGTTGACCTCTTAAGTGACATCCCTCGTGGGTTAAAACCTTAAACGTGTGGCTAACTTTATTTAGTGACATCAGCGTGATTGTAATTTCAACCACTGGCCGGCTCTGAGATGCTGACAGCGGTGAACAAATGTCCCTCCCACCGTGGGCCACAGCCCGGCACAATTCGATCAAAACTGGGTCAGAGTACACCCAGGGAACACGTGTGGAGTTCAAAGCCATGCTCAATTGGGCAGGAAGACAATGCCCTGCCTCGAAACCTGCAGCAGCAATTGAGTGTTGCGAATTCGCCTGGCCGTGGCCTTTAACCCCGCGTCACCGTGACATTGCTTCAACCAGGCCGCGGGGAGGAGGAGCCGGAAACCCAGGAGGAGGTAAAGATGGACACCGGTGCCCCCGTCAGAGGAAGGACGAAGCTGGAGGAGATCCTTGCAGGTAACGTTACCTGCTGCTCGGTGCCACTGCCTCGTAACCATGGCGCTCATTTTGTCAGCTCCCCCCCCCCCTTTGTCAATTCGCTGCTGGATGGAGGGCGCCCCCCCCCCCTCCCTCCCATGGCGTGTCAGTCATGGGGTTTGCTCGAACCGTTTCACCGCGCTGGGCGGCGCGAGTTGGCGAAGGGGAGAGGCGTTCGGGACCGGTGTAGATATCGCTCTCCACTGATATGAGCCTTGGGCAGGAATCAAACTTCAGGAAGCCGTGCTGTTTGCGCCGGTCCGCTAAGTGCCGCGTCACCACTCCACTCTAAAAGAGTAAACACGTGCACACGCTCCTAATTTACCCGAGCGGGACTCGCCGAGTCTCGAGGCGCACACCTCGCCACACCGAGTCTCAAGACTCAGTCCTGTATTGGGATGTTGGGAGAATTTCATAAATTTGTGTTCGGCTTGCGTGAAGAAGCCGGAGTGCCTGGAGGAAATCCATCCCATGGATGGGGGGTGTAGTATTAAAGCTTTACACATAATTCAGAATCCATTGCTATTACTGCATTTGTTCGCCACCTCACAGCCAAAGCATAAAATATCTGGTAATCGATCTTGATTTGAAGCTTTCGTGACTGCAGGAATCCATACTCTTTGGTTCTTTCGGTAATCCTTGGTAGTCTCCCTTTAAACATTCTCACACCTATTCTTAGTTTTTTCGGTAAAGTCACGTTGAAGAGAAACAACAAAATAATAAAATATATATAAAACAATAAAAAATTCTCACGACGTTTCGACTATAACTCAAACGGTCATCTTCAGGTGTGTTGGTTTGCATACATTTATTTTTAAACGGCGCATTTATTTATTTATTAAAAACGTTCGCGCCACGCACAGCGATTTGGCAGTTTACCCAGGACTAGTCCATCTATATTTTGAAAAGAGGAGGGGGGAGACGAAATATTTTTTTATAATGTATGCTGTCTGAAAGCCAATGTAAGCGTGAACAATCAATTAAGAACTGAAATGGTTTATCAAATCTTTCCAATGATTGCTAAGATAGAATCCATCTTCTCGGTTGAAATTGTCTCTGTGCTTGTATATGTGGATAGCCTCATGAACGAATCTCTCATGGAAGCCAGATGGCTTACAAAGAACCTCTGTCTTGGAAAAGTCAATGGCATGTGAGCCTACTGAATTAGAACAATGATCTGCTACGGCCGAGGTGTTGGTCCTACCGTGTTTAAGGTCTGCTTTGTGTTCACGAATATGAATTACTGCAGTCACGAAAGCTTTAAATCAAAATTCTCACACCTGATTAGTTTCCGAGGGCTGACGAGATTGGGGGCATTTAGGCCGATTTGTTCATTTACAGCCTTTCTTGCCAATCCACTGCTGGCTGATTGTGTCCATTGGCTGTGTAGGTGATGGGTGTTATATACTGCACGACACTGGTCAGTACAGGTCTGGGTTATTTGGTCGTAGCCTTTTCATTTCAGCACTTACCCATGTGAATTATTGGCACACTACAAGTGGAAGATAATGTTGATGTAAAATATTGCCAAATCGTCAGTGGCACAGGGTCACTTGTGTGTACCAATGTATCAGTGTTATCGGGTTTTAAAGTTGCAGTTTAATGTTTTTTCTGTTATGCTATGCTTCCCAGCAGGTCCCATGGTGTTCTGCAGTAAAATGGCCATACTGCAGGGCGGGCTGCTGCTGGCCGAGAGGCAGCTGAGGCCAAAGCGTCTTGAGGAGATGGACAAGGCCGACTGGAGCACCATTCGCGACGCCATGCTGGGCACCGCCAATGAAGTCTGCTCCTCTCCGGAGCACTCTGACATCAAGAAGATCCATTGGAAGAAAAAGATCTTGGCTCTGCTGTGGATGAAGATGCTCCGAATGTCCCCGCATTGCAAAACACACAATGACGGTCTCCAACTCGATGATGATGATAATGATGATTCTGAGAGCGACCTGTTTTTTCCCATAAATCACATGATGCCCATGATAAATCGGACGTTTCTGTTTGAGCTGGTGAAAGACCTTCAGGCTGCAGCCGAATTCGCCCAGCTTATGAATCTCCTGCCGGCTGATGTGTGCGCTCGTGAGACAAAGCATTTTCTAGCTCATGTTCTCAAAGACGCAGCGGAGGCAGACGTTGCATTGCTGCTTGATGTATGGAGAGGCATTCTTCTGCACACGGGATGCAAGAAGACCGAGGGGGAGCTGGAGAAAGCATTTGAAGACAACCTGAAACCGGCGAGCCCTGAATCGGTAGACATCTGCCCAGCTGCCAAACGGCCTAAAAAGGACAATGATTGTGGTGTAGTGTTGGAGAAAGATATAGGAGCGTCTTCTGTTGCATTAGTGTTGGAACTCAGCGCTTCTAACTATAATGATATTCCAGCATATTTTATAGAAAGCCTCTTTAAAATTGCAGGGGAGATCGTTGCACCAGTCCACAAATACGAGGCTCTCGCAAATTTCGCCGATACATTATTTAAGTCTGCCTTGCACCAAAAGGGTCTTGACCTGTGGGGTTTGCCGGTCGAAGAGTACGTGGACAAAGTCGGCGTGCTGCTGCATCTTAGAGGTTTCAAAATGAGCAGAGACCATAACAGCACGGTGGAACAGGTCAGGGAAGTCGAGAATGAGGTCTATAATAACCATTCTGGTGGGGTGCTGAGACTGGACGTGTGCCAGCTTAACCGATACCTTAAGTCTTTTTGCGAACTTCTGGAGGCCTGGAAGGAGGGACTCTGTATAATACAAGAGGACCAGCCTGTCGCCAGTCGGGCAGCTGTTGAGTCATACCGTATGGTGGACAGTTTGAGGCGCCTGTGTTCAGTCATGTCCCTAAACGTGAGTGTTTCTGAAGATCCAGTGACCACAAGTGACGCGATCTCTTTCGAGCCTTTGCCTCTGAGCAACATTCTTGCTCAGCTTGAGCCCACGCATACGTGGCAAGTCCCCGACAACGTGCAGCTGCTTGTTGCCACGTCCATGGTCGACAGGAAGATGCGCAGGCACCAGGACGTCTGCGAGTTGATGATCGCTCGCGTCGACTGGGCAATCAAAGAAGAACGCTGGATGCAGTGCTTGAAAAAAAACATTTCACGACTGAACACGCCACAACTCGTCTTGGCTTTGGCTAGAACCTTCGCCAAAGTCATTGCGCAGCTTAAGGGAGGGCTCGCGAGCGAGAGCTTGCTGCTGCTGAAAGCAAAGAGGCTGAAGGAGTCGCTCGTGAGTACTTTTTCCGCACTGGCCCCAGCGGGATGTAACGAAGTCCTGCGTACGGTGGTGGAGGAGACGGGCGGTGATGGTTTGGGAGTTGAGCGGTTGGAAGCTTTGGCAGAGGACTTTGCCATGGACATGAACCTGGTGTTCAACTGCATCACGGACACGAGCTCTGGAGACGGACTTTCACGAGCCATTTGCACCGTGGGTACGGCTGCCCTCCTGGCTCCTCGTGCCACCGTCAATGAGATTTGTCGTCAGGCCGTGACGAATGTCGGAGCGCCCTCGATTATGGCGCAAGTCCTGCTGGGACTCCCTGCTTTGGCTATGCCTGTTAAAAACTCCAGAGGGGACAGTCTCAGCATGCTTTTGGACTGTCTCTCGACTCGAACCTTAGGGCAGCTCTCAACTGAAAAGGAAGAGCGACAGTTTGTGGAGTTTTTGCGCGCCCTCACGCTTTCACCACAACAGTCCAGTAATCCACTGATTTCTCCAGCTGAAATTCTCAATACCTTTGTCCTCCCGTATTTGCAGGAGCAGGGCAGCATTTTGGAATTCGCTCTTAAAATCTTTAGCCAAATTTTGAATATTGAAGGGGCCACTAAAAGTGACCAGAAAATTGAGCCATTGGCTATTGGTGGTGGTGGTGGTCGAGATGATACCGAAACGATTACCAATGTCCAGCAAACTGTAATTCCCTCTGGTGGTGTATCAAGCAGTCAATTTTCTGAGTTACCTGTCAATGCTGCCCACCCGCAGACCAAATCCTGTGTCCAGCACTGGCTAATGGACTGCTCGCCATTCCCAATCATTATGTGTCTCAGCCAGCAGCTGGAACGCCGCAAGGTTTGCCGTTGCCCCGATGGCTTGCAGACGGGCGAAGGTGAGCATTCGGTGATGGAGATAAAAAGCCATCTCATGGAGGTGCTGGCTCAGGTTTGTGTGATCGTGCAAAATGCCATGAGTGTGGAGACCACGGACTGGGTGCGCTCTGTGGACTGGCTGGACCACAGTGTTGCTTCGATGGATTGGTCCGTTCGCCTGCACCTGCTGCCCATCCTGTCCCCGCAGCGCAAGGCGTGCGCTCCAGAAGTCCTATTCGGTGTGTGCAAGCTTCCCGATGCTCGGTGGGAGCGATGCCGCAGTGAAGACTCATCGTTGTACGGCCCAGGAACGGGCCTGCTGGCCTGGATTGAGTGCTGCCGTGTAAGCGATGGGCTCGCCGAACAGATGATCAAATCCCTGCACGTCGACCAGACGCAGCCTGAGGAGGTGAACCTGTTCAGCAAGGGCTTTCTGCTGGTCGTGACGCAGATTCTGCCCGAGTGCACGCTCACCGAGTGGCGACGTGTGGTGAGGGTGATGTGCCGCCTGCTCGAAGCCAGGGTCCTCCACGTCCCCGTCACGCTGGAGTACGTGCAGTTCCTGCCGTTGACCGACCTGCGACCCTTCTCGGTGGCGCTGCGGGTCTCTCAGCTCCTGCTGCGTGTCTTCCAGCTACTGTGCGGCTCGAGCTGCGCCGGCTGGCTCTCCCACGCCGGCTGGGCACACGCTGTAAGCCTGGCTGCCGGCACCTTCGTGGACATGATGCGAGAGTTTGGAACACGGAGGAGTAACGCCGGCCCGAGAGGCAAAGTGAAGCACGCCGAACGCGCAGCCGTAAACGACCTATCCATGACAGTGTCTCCCGAACAGAAGATTGCACAGAAGAAAGCGAAGGGGAAAGTGAAAGTTGAAGTCGACGCGAAAAGTAAAGACGGTAAAGCACAAGGCGGAGTATCCGTGGAAACAGAAACGTGTGAAGGTGTTGCTGGAGTGTCCTCACCAGAGGGAATCGGCTTTGCTGCCTGTCAGCTCTTCTGCCATGCGCTGCACATAATGGCCATGGTGAAGGTTGACCACTGCGAGTTGCTGTTCTTAGCCGCCCTGGAGATTTTGTCCACAGTCGAGGGGGCACGCGGGGCAGCCGATAGCTCGTGCAGTACCCTGGAGCAAGCCAACCAGAAGCAATTCCTTGAAGCCATCGCAGAGAACGCAGCCGTCCCAGAGCACCGTGCCACCCTGCTGCAGAAGATCTCCCAGCTTTGAGGCACAAAGTTGCGCACTTGCAGCGTCATTGCAACAACAACAAAAAAACTTCCCTTCTTTAGTCCTCTGCCCAAGGACAGGTCTTGAGCTTGCGTCATTTATACTCTTTGGTTCTATTCGGTAAAGTCACGTAGGTAAAAAATAAAACAACAAAAATCACGACGTTTCGGCCACAACACAAGCGGCCTTCATCAGGTGAAGGGATCAGGCTGTCTCGAGGACAGCGCCTTCATCAGGTGAAGGGATCAGGCTGTCCTCGAGACAGCCTGATCCCTCGAGACAGCCTGATCCCTTCACCTGATGAAGGCCGCTTGTGTTGTGGCCAAAACGTCGTGATTTTTGTTTTATTTTTTACCTACGTGACTTTACCGAATAGAACCAAAGAGTATGAATACTTGCAGTCACGAAAGCTTTAAATCTAAAACTTGCGTCATTTCTTCCTTCAAGTCACCAAGCAGTCTTCCTTTTCTGCCTCGTGGTCTCTTTCCAGACATTGTTGCTTCGGGAACATTCCTTCATTAAGCTTCACCTCTGAGAATGCGCCCATCTCTTGCATTTCCTGAATGGTTGTAATTCTCAACTGCCTTGTTCTAGATTAGCCTAATTTACTATTTCTTCTTGCTGGAACCCGAAACTGAAATGTAAACATTGATACGTATTGTATAAACGCAGTAAGTTTTGTATATTGCACTTTGATTTGTTATTGTGCAAAGGGGTTTGTGTTTGTACATTTTAAACCGCAGTTCCTGAAGTGAAGTGTCTGTTTAATGAGTGTTTTTCAAACGTGGATTACAAATCTGTTTTAATTTGCCTTTTTTTTCCCTACACACCTTCATGTTTTGCAGTTGTACATTTTGTAGTTAACAAAAAACTTTTGAAAATAAATGCCTCACCTGCCTGTTGCACTTGTGCAAGTATTTTGAGCTTGCAGCACGAGGCGTAACCTCCAATCGTAACATAGCATCAAGGAATCTGCGCGGCACGGCCTGGGATGTTTCTACCGCTACTCTTAGGGTATTCGATACATTAATTTGATTCGCCCGTTGAAGCCTTTGCCATGTTACACTGAATTTTAAGAAATCCTAAGCATGGTCTGGTTGACTTGGGCAGTTTTCATTGGACTTAGCACTTGCATGGACTGGCTTTTTGGTGGATGCATGTCGTGCTAAACGCTTCCCGAACACGATACATTAATTTGATTCGCCCGTTGAAGCCTTTGCCATGTTACACTGAATTTTAAGAAATCCTAAGCATGGTCTGGTTGACTTGGGCAGTTTTCATTGGACTTAGCACTTGCATGGACTGGCTTTTTGGTGGATGCATGTCGTGCTAAACGCTTCCCGAACACAGCAAGGAATGGACGCCGTGTTTCATCCCCAATATGTAATGGGCAAATTCTCCTCCCTGTTTGTTACAGCCAATTTTTTTTTATTTTTGGAATCGCTATTTCCTTTTTTTTGCACTTGTGCTTGCAAATACATGTTTTGCGTGTCTCAGATCCTATAGATGTGAAGAGCTTCCCTTTGATATAAACATACTTTGTATATACTGTACAGATGAAGGAGAGGTGCAGTATAATGCTGAATACGAAAAATTGGCTTGTGGGTACCAGCAGTGGAGGCGAAGGTTGGTGGATCGTACATATCTTGTGAAACTCCCATGACTGTGGATGTCGCGGTGGCATACCCTGGGTTTACAGGAGAAGGCAGTACAGCGACAATGTCGACTCCACCTGTTCCGTCTGCATGGGATAGGGCAGGGGTCGGCAGCCTGATTCTATTTACGATTTTTTTTATTTTACAGGGTAAGTCCCCCACTGAGCTACGTGGCTCTTTTTTACAAGCGATCTGGCTATCACAAATTAAAGCTCAACGAAGTAGCTTATGACCATCACGTGGAAATGTATTTCAGCCAAGGATTGCTTCGTGAGGTTATTTATTCAGGACCACCGTCTCGTAATCACATGCATTGAGGTTCTTTGAAACACAGTAAACCCTTAAATTTTGATTTAAAGCTTTCGTGACTGCAGTAATTCATATTCTTAGTTTTTTCGGTAAAGTCACGTTGAAGAGAAACAACAAAATAACAAAATATATATAAAACATGCAAACCGACACACCTGATGATGACCGTTTGAGTTATGGTCGAAACGTCGTGAGAATTTTTTATTGTTTTATATATATTTTGTTATTTTGTTGTTTCTCTTCAACGTGACTTTACCGAAAAAACTAAGAATACAGTAAACCCTTGTTAATTCAACACATGGAGGATCTGGCCTTGCCGAATTATCCAATATTCTGAATTAGGTACAATGGTACTCCCAATTGCCTCCTGCCCCAATATTTTTTTCCAAATTTGTTTCCCCAAACTCTTCACACACCATGCACATTGACACACAGCTGCATCAACTCCATCCAAAACTTTGGATTTGTCTCGCAGACTAAGGGATTCGGACTTCGGTCCCTTTCCATTACTTCTTGATGTGGGCGTCGACGACATTTCTGCGGAGGGTTGGCTTGCACAGAGCGAGTTGCATCAGCAAGGCAAAGAAGCAAAGCAACAGGTCTGCACCGACGCTGACCACGTGCGTGCCGAAATCGGACCTTTCAGTACAGCAATTCGGCTCGTGGCGAATTACAAATACACCGTACATATGCCGAAAGCGCAGCAGTGGCGAATTATCCCCAATTGCGAATGATTACTGAAATAACGAGGTTTTAATGTATTGAGTTAATTTTATTACCAAATTGGAAGAAAAAAAACTGGCTCTTCTTGTTATTTTGGTTGCCGACCCCTGGGATAGGGTTGTTACATCCTCGCATGTGCGGGTTTTCTCCGGGCGCTGCAGTTCCTCCGACACGTAATCGCTCGTTAAGTGGCTCAATAACGCCACAGAGAGGGTGGCCCAACATTCAGGATGCTTCGAGTTATAATTACTTGAAACAAATCACAATATCGGGTCATTTAATTTATTTTAACAAACGTTCGAACCGACTTCCATTGACATTAAAGCATTGCATGAATTATATTTTGAAATGAATTTTTGGATTTTATATTTTTTTAAGATTCCAGGTGTGGGGATGGGTCTCATTCAGCGGTGGATTCACAAAAACGGTCCTTCACGCGTACTGTGCACACCGATGCCGTTTCGTCTTTGAATTGCACATTTGCTTGTAACCCTGCTCACGTTTAATTTGATCAGAACCAGAATATTTATTGATCCTGGAGAAATCCGATGAGCAATGAAGCTCTTTCACAGATGCCATCTCGGGGCACGGGGGATCAGAAAGCTCCAACACCAAACAATGCAAAAGGACTTCGCATTCATGTGACAGGTGCCAGGTTGTTCCTGGGACAATCACTGTTTAATTAAATAGTGCTTACCTATGCCCGTGTTGGCAACCAGCTTCGTGTTTAAAGCCCAAACGACGTGAAGGCGAAAACATGAGAAGTTGGTGCTGTGCCGTGATTGCCACGCTGCACGGGGCCAAAGGGCGATGGAATGTGGAATGTGGAAATGCTGCTGCCAGATCTAGGGGGGATTCAAGCCTCTAGAATCTAGATCAATGTTTCTTAACCTATACTGCAGCCTTTCACTCCTTTGCTTCTCAATCGTAAAAAAATAATGTATGTTCATAAATAAATAATTAGTCTCGATGAAACACGGTTGGTGTACTCACGTGCCCGTGCTGAATTTGTGTTTACGATTATTTACCTTCGAAAAAAAAAGCTGCCCATGTCTCGCTACCCCCAGAAAGGGCATCTCGCACCCCCAGGGGATGCAGAACCTCGAGCAGCAGCGGTCAGGGCCGGATTGAGGTTCTTGTAAGGGGGCCTTGGCACTTGTGTTCATCACTGGAGGCCAACAACTGCCGCTGGCACTCGCTTGTTTCACGCGCACTTCGCCGCTGGACAGATGTCTCCGGTCAACCATATGACAACGCTTTTGTCTTCCCGTGCACTGTTCTCTGTTGAGAATGAGATCGTGCGAAAAAACACCATTTGGAGATGTTATTTGCTAATTTTGCAATGACAAAAATCTCGAAAAAGTCCATCTCCAGTGGTTAATTTCTCTCACCTTATGAAAAAAAATAATTGACATGACTGCCTCTTTGTACATACATTGTGGCAATCCTTCATATGAATGCGTATATTTAGTCAAGAAGAAGATATCTTTGGTTACATTTTTTATCACCCAAACCAAAAAAGCCATGGTCAAAATTAGTTTTCGTAGGCCCCAGGCACAGTGACCACTGTGGTCTATTGGATAATACGGCCCTGGTGGGTGAGTGGATGGATGGCTGGGTTAATAGGTGAGTGGGTCGTTGGGTGAGTCGATGGATGGCTGGGTTAATGGGTGAGTGGGTGGCTGGGTAAGTCGATGGAAAGCTGGGTTAATAGGTGAGTGGGTGGCTGGGTGAGTGGATGGCTGGGTGAGTGGGTGAGTGGATGAGTGGATGGATGGCTGGGTTAATGGGTGAGTGGGTGACTGGGCGAGTCGATGGATGGCTGGGTTAATGGGTGAGTGGGTAGCTGGGTGAGTGGGTGAGTCGATGGATGGCTGGGTTATTAGGTGAGTGGGTGGCTGGGTAAGTCGATGGATGGCTGGGTGAGTGGATGGCTGGGTGAGTGGGTGAGTGGATGAGTGGATGGATGGCTGGGTTAATGGGTGAGTGGGTGGCTGGGCGAGTCGATGGATGGCTGGGTTAATGGGTGAGTGGGTGGCTGGGTGAGTGGGTGAATGGGTGAGTGGGTGATTGGGCGAGTGGGTGAGTGAGTAGACGCTAGGCACAGTGCCTACTGTGGCCTATTGGATAATACGAGCCCTGATGAAGCGGTCCGCAAGCCGTGGTCCGCATACCAGGCGAGGTAGCTAACATATCCTAGCATTGCGGTTCTCACGTTAACAAAAAATAATCCGGCCAACCGGCTAAACGGTTATCACCGTTTTGTAACAAATACAACAAAATCAACTTGTAATTCATCTTCTTGGTTCTTTCGGTAAAGTCACGTAGAATGGAAATAAAATAATAAAAATAAAACATAATAAAATAACATTCTCACGACATTTCGGCCACAACACAAGTAGCCTTCTTCAGGTGAAGAAACAGGCCTGTCCAATTGTGGCCTGAAACGTCGTAAGAATTTATTTTATTTTTATTATTTTATTACCATTCTACGTGACTTTACCAAAAGAACCAAGAAGATGAATCCCTGCAGTCACGAAAGCTTTAAATCGAAACTTGCAATTGTGTTGAATGCAAACTGATTATAATACGCGTGCTGCAGTTATGTAAATTACCGTAGTTACATTTGTGTTGATATTGCATACACTGTATGTGAAGGGTTGTGGCTGAGACAGTTTAAACGATAAACTAAGGCAAAAGCAAACCTGTCAACCCTTTATCAGTGCCTAGCTTATCACAGACAAACTCAGACCTTATCGGTCACCCCGTGCCTCTTATGAATCCCAACGTTCATCCTACAAAGTTCCCATCACAAGGGAGAAACACGAACAAATAGACAAACACTTTTCCTATTGAAACGGCTGTGGGCCTGAAAACTCACATTTCCCTGAACAAGAATACGGAGTAAAGCGCGTGGATTGACCCGGTGTGAGGATTTTGACGGAGTAAAGCGCGTGGGTTGACTCGGTGTGAGGATTGTCACTTACAACTTTCGTGACCGCAGGAATTCATATTCTTGGTTCTTTCGTTAAAGTCACTTAGATAGAAAAAAAATTAAATTAAAAATAAAAGTATCAAAACCCACGACGTTTCCATCGCAACACAAGCGAAGAGAGGGCGGGGGGGGCAAGTGCATGAAGAGGGGGCTTTAGAGGAGGAAAGCTGAGGAGGGGCTCTCGAAGAGGAAAACCGATGGACTGGCTGCCTCCTGGCAACTCTCGTGCCCCACGACAACTCACTCAAGCTACCATACTGCCTCTACTTGATTACTGTGACATCGTGTAAAAAAATCAGCCCCAAGTACTGTACTGAAGAAGCTTGATTCCATCTATCACTCGGCCTTAAGATTTGCATTGAACTGCCCATATAGGGCCTCACCACTGTGATCTCTACATTGGGTCAAACTTAACATCTCTTAATGTTCGACGGCTTGTGCACCAGATCTTATTTATTCACGATGTACTTACAAAAAAAATCCGCAGACTACCCACTGGATCTCCTCTCTGTTTCAAAGAACAAATTTGACCTCAGGTCTTCGCTCATTTACCAGCTTCACATTCCCTATTGCCGTACAAAAACTGGATGAAGGGCCTTTGCTATTGATGCCCCCAGGGTCTGGAATGCTATTGCCAATAAACTGCAACTTGAATCACTACCTATGAGATCTTCTATCAAAAGTGCTCTAGAGGAGTTGTACACCCCTAGCTGCCACTGCTATTCAGTGGCCTAAAATAAATTAAATGTTTCGCTCCGGATGACCGCTGCAAAGTATTATCTGTATTTTGATTTAGCGTGCTGATCTTAAAGGTGCATTGCAAAATTTGATACTCCGACTGATGCTTCTGTTGTTGTGGAGTAACTCATGCAGACAGCTATGGCTCTAGGATTTGGTGTTACATGTTATTTATGTAGTTTATTGTAAAAATTCGGTCACAGTCCCTGTGATCACTGTTACGTTGCAATTATGGCTTTATTTTTTTATTTCGAAAAGTTTTTTGGTTTGGACGTGTTTGTTTTGTTGTAGTACGGAGTTAGACTGATGGCCTTAATCTAAGTTTTCTTGTGGTTGTTGTTGTTGTTTGACTTGCATCCCACTGAGATTTTTTGCACACAGCGTTGGTGTACGGTGCTTTTTTCAGGAATATTTTTGCTGTTTTTTTTCCATGGATTTTCTGTTTGCACAGTCACATAGTCACTTTAAGATGTTTTTCTTGTTCATGTTTTTTTTTATTTGTTGTGGTTGCACCCGATTCAAGAGCCGAATGACTCACAGGGATATACCAAAATAAATAAACTGAAACCGAGTTGCGTTTGGAGACTTTCCCCAACCTCTTTTCTCTCCGCATAATGAAGACCTCTTGTGTTGCTATGGAAACGTCGTGATTTTTTTCTTTTATTACTATTTTTTTATTTTCTATCTACGTGACTTTACCGAAAGAACCAAGAATCGTTACGAGATCGTTATCTGTGAGGAGTTTAAAATAAAATAAAAAATAACCCGAGGTAGAAACCTCGACACTGGCACCGCACGTCGCGGGTGGGCGGGGTCCTTGCGCGGATCCGCGGTGCATCACGGGAAACGGCCATCTGAGTTTGAAGCCAGAGAAGCGGGGAGAGAGACGAGGTGAGGGGTGAGTCGAGGTGAGGAGAGAGGCGAGAAGAGGTGAGGGGAGAGAGACGAGGTGAGGGGTGAGGAGAGAAGAGGTGAGGGGTGAGGAGAGAAGAGGTGAGGTGAGAGAGACGAGGTGAGGAGAGAGGCGAGGGTAGCGGTGAGGAGAGAAGAGGTGAGGGGAGAGAGACGAGGTGAGGAGAGAGGCGAGGGTAGCGGTGAGAAGAGAGGCGAGGTGAGGGTAGCGGTGAGGAGAGGCGAGGTGAGAGTAGAGACGAGGTGAGAGTAGAGACGAGGTGAGGGCAGAGAGGCGAGGTGAGGGGTAGAGGCGAGGTGAGGAGAGACGAAAGTGTCGATGAAGAGGTAGGAAAAAGCAGACTGAGAAGTGGAGTGAGTAACGAGGTGTGGAGGTGAGTAGAGTTTAAGATACGAGACGGCGGAGTGAAGAGGAGACTTTTTAAAGTAAGTTCAGGAGGATGAGGATGTGGGGGACGCCAGAGATGCGTTGAAACGAGTGAGGCAGGCACGCGGGAGTGATCGCAACGAGTAAACATTACACAAGATGAGACGAGGAGAATTCCCGCGGGGCGAGTGAAGAGGTGGAGGAGGTGGAGGTTGTGATGATGATGGTGCTGCTGCTGGAGGCGTTGTTTTCCACGGGGGCGCTGTTGCTCCGCGTGTACGAGGCCGCGTGCTTTGTGCTCGAGGTGCACTTCGCCCTGGTGTCGGCGCTGCTGCTGGTGCTGCGCGCCCTGCTCGGCCTTCCCGGGGCCGCCCTCGGCCTCGTCACCTCCGGGGCGGCGGAGCTCCTCGCCGCCTCCTGCCGCGCCGCGTGCGGAGGCCTCGCGCTGCTGCGCGGCCTCGGCCTCGAGTGCCTCGGCGCCCTGGTCGCCGCGCCCGGGGCGACGGCGGACGCCGCCCTCGCCGCGGCCCGCCTGCCGGCCTCGGCCGCGCTCGGGCTCGCCGGGGCGCTCCGCGCGGCCGCCGAGGCCCTGGGCAACGCGGGAGCGGCGCTCGTCGCCGCCGCGGGGTCCGCGGCGAACGCGGTGGGGGGCGCCGTCGCGGCTAACACAGCCGCCGTGACAAACGCGGTGGACGCCGTGGCGAGCGGAGCGGCCGCGTCGGCAATGTGCGCCGCGACGAACACCGCGGACGCCGCGCTGAGCGCCGCGGCGCACTCTGCGGGTGCCGTCGCGGCCGCGCTGAGCGGCGCCGTCGCCGCGACCGCGGGCGCCGTCACGGCCACGGCGGGCGCGTTCGCGTCCCTGCTGAGCGCAGCCGGCTCGGTCGTCGGGTGGTCGGTGGAGGTCGCCGCGGGCGCCGTCGCGTACGCGCTGGGCCTAGCCACAGGTGCCCTGGGAGCCGCTTCCGCCGTCGCGACGGCCTCCCTCGCCGCCGCCGTGGACTTTTGGCTCTTCGCGCTCAGGTTGCCTCTCCAGCTGCTGTCGATTTCGGCCGGGGCGGTGGCGACCGCCGTCGCGCTGCAGGGGCTTTTGGTGAGCGCGGCGCTGATCGGCCTCGGCGTCTGGTACCTGAGCCCGCGGCCGCGGAGGCGGGCGGCGGCGTACGCACGCGTACCGCGAGCGCGGATCCTCTCCGCGGCGTTGCGCGTTGCCTCGGCGAACCTGGCGGCGCTGATCCGCGCGGCGCTGCGGCGGACGGCCCCGGGCAGGCACCGCCAGCGGCTCGATGTCTACCCGGCCCCGGCTCCGTTGGCGGCGCTGCAGCCGCCCGCGGCGCGTCGCGGCGCGCCGTGGGGCGGCGACCCGGGGCCGGCGCGGGTCGACGCTCCGCGCCCGGAGCCACTCCCGACGGAGCCGGTGCCGGACCAGCGGCGCGAGGAGGCGGCGGCGGCGGCGGTCGTCGAGGCTCGCGAGCGGCAGCGAGGTGAAGCCGCGCGGAATGGCAGCGGCGAGGCCGCGGGCGTGAGGCCGTTGTGGGAGCAGCAGGAGTTTCTACGGCAGGAGCAAGAGGAGGAGGAGGATAATCACAAGAGCTGCGTGATTTGCCAGGACCAGGCCAAGGGAACGGTGCTGCTGCCCTGCCGACATCTGTGCCTGTGCAGCGCGTGCGCGCGCACCATCATGCGCGGCCCCTTCAACCAGCAGAAGTGCCCCCTGTGCCGGAAAATGATCGTCCACACCATGGATGTGTTTATGTAGCGGAGCTGGGGGCAGTTCAAATGACAATTACGCAATGAAGTTTAACAATTGCTTTTGTGGTGGCAATTCGTTTTTTTTTAATTGCACGATAACAGTGGTAATTGAACCCCGAGTCCGCTCCCTCTCCCACCGTCTTACCAGAGCAATGTGAAATCATCCCGATGGCTTGGGGTCGCCACTGGGGGAGGCACCTCGACCGATCTGTTCCTGGCATTCCAAACTGAGCGTCCACTAATGTGAAAAGGTGTCATCGTCGTGAAAGATGGACTATGAACTCCGAGGTCTTTGGGACCACTACTTTTGGTGGGCACGCGTGGGATTTTGTTAAATCTTGCAGGCAGCGGACTGATGCCACACCGCCGGTGCGGCAAAAGAGACCGTGGGTAGCGGCTCCTGCAGTTAGTTGCCCCCTCAAGGAATTTTCTCCAATTAATAGATCACATTTTTGTCCACCAAACAGAGCTTCCCTTGGGTTTCATTTGCTGACATTAAGGGATTGCGCAATTATTTAGTTTTCGTTTAGGGTTAGGATGATAGGTTAGATTCTTAGGGTTTTGAATTTTGGGTGAGGTTTATTAGCTGCTAAGACTGCATTTCTTTTGCCACAAATTTGTAGTCACATAATTTCAAAAGACTGATTTTCTTGCCATGCATGTAATCTTGGCCAGTTTTAAAATTAGCAGTTTTCTTTATTTAAAGTGTCGTTGAACGTGTGTGCTGGACTGCGTTTTTGCACGTGCGTCTTTTATCACTGGATCGTTGATGTGTGAAATGCTACTGTGCCTGGTGCGGTGCACTAATGTGTCGTCATACGGCAGTGCACGATTTGCTTCAATGCGTGGACAACTGAAGGTTTTTTTTTGTTGTCCATGGGAAATCGGCTCGATGCAAGCTGGCCGCACATGGGCTGCATATTTGTTCGAGCCAAATTAAACTTAACTAAAGGTAAAAATAAATGTTAATTTAAAAAAATGCTCAAAAACAATTGGCTAAATGTTGATTTGAAGCTTTCGTGACTGCAGGAATCCATACTCTTTGGTTCTTTCGGTAAAGTCACGTAGGTAATAAAATAAAACTAAAAATAATATATCACGACGTTTCGATCGCAACACAAGCGGTCGTCCTCGCTGGTTCAGCAGTTCCACTGCTGGATTATTTTTTCCCCTTGAGGGCGACCCCTTGCGTTGCGATCGAAACGTCGTGATATATTATTTTTTGTTCTATTTTATTTTTCTACCTACGTGACTTTACCGAAAGAACCAAAGAGTATGGATAAAGTTGCTTAGGGCCTGCAAAGGATTGTTGTATTCCATAGGCAGTCACGTGAAGCAACAACAGAAGTGGGGGCAGTACAAGGTTGATGGTTTTTGGTGCTGGGTTCAAGACTATATTCAGTATTCTCACGGGACAGCTGTGGAGGGCGCCACTTGGCGAGTTGTTAGCGATTTCGCCTGGTATAAAGGAGGTTGTGGATTCCATCCGGACCCTGACGCCTGCTGTATATTTTGAGTTTGCGTCTCTCTCTCCCCATGGTCGTGTGGATTTTTCTCCGGGTCCTCTGGTTTTTCCCTCCACATTTGGAAACGTGCGTTTAGGGGATTTGGCTGCTATAAATATCCACGTGATGATAAGCCACTTCGTTGAGCTATCATTTGTGGCCAGGTCGCTTCTGAAAAATATCTATATGGCCTTACCTGGAAAAATGAAACAAAGTTTAGTTAAGTGTATGGGATTCGCCCTTGTTATGAATTCTTGTCACAGCAGGGTATGCATTTGTCTTCCTGCTCCACATTCACCTCTTCATCCTTGCCAGCCCATCCTCCACCGACTCTTTAGGCCCTGTTAGGGATGCCCAATGGATAGCAAACAGCCCAAAGGCTTTTATAACGATAGTGGCAGTTTTTTTGCCCAATGCTTGCAAAATATGTGGAAGCAGGCAATGCACAGATACGCCTGTAATTAGCTCTGCAATGTTTTGTCTGAATTAAGCCGCTCACACGATTTGTAGTACAGTCGAAGCTGGATATAAATATACGCGACTTTGGAGCAAGGCCACATGTCTTTATGCTTGTATCAGAAGCGGCAATTCATCCCCCCCCCGCCCGCCACCAGCAGTGTTATCCAAGCATGTGTTGCTTATATCAGAATTGTGCTTATATAAGGTGTCAATCTTGATTTGAAGCTTTCGTGACTGCAGGAATCCATACTCTGGTTCTTTCGGTAAAGTCACGTAGGTCTAAAATTAAATGAATCCACGACGTTTCGGGCGCAACACAAGCGTCCATCATCAGGTTGTGTTGCGCCCGAAACGTCGTGATTTATTTTATACCTACGTGACTTTACAGAAAGAACCAAAGTATATATAAGGTGTGTTTCTACACAATTTTTTATGTATTTTGTGACAGTCCAAGTGGACTTGACAGCAATTGTTCCGTTAAATTGTTTTGGTGTATGCCACGTGTGAACAGAATGTGCCGTTGTAAGGAACTGTATCCGGTCACGTTGTACCCACCTCGCTGCCTAAATGTATCGGCGGAAACGTTTAAAAACGTTGGATGTGTGAATATCGATGGAAAACGATAGTTGCGCTAAACACAATTTTCATTATTGGACAAAATATGAATCGCGATCTGCTTCGAACTTGGAAAACATCCTCTGCTGTGCTTTAGAAGTAATCAAATGTACGCGAGATTAAGACCACTCGGATGTGACGACGTCTGTGAGAGTATGGAATATTAACTGTCATGCCATGCACAAATACTGGCCTAGGTGGTGTGGTGGTTGATTGGGTTATAGTTGGATATGCAACGTACTGTACCATATGTTCATTTTCCCAAGTTTATAATATCTAAACATAATAGGGTAAAATATTTTGCGTATGGCAATCGTTTCGATCACCATTATTGACACTTTACCATTTAAATTTTCAATTGTGAATGCCACGTCACATTACACATTTACGTTCGATCCCCACTGCATACCGTATTATGGTTATATAAAGCTGCCTATGACCATATGTATTTATGTATGATGAACTTCTTTATCACCTGGAATACGCCGGATCGCGACAGATTGAGCCCTGGGTCCGTGCTACGCCTGGATGGGCGACCACCATGCTCGACACAGGCGTTGCAGCCTGTTTGTGGGGCAACGTTTTCAGCAGAGGGCAGTGCATCCAATTCCATTCTTGTATTGTAATATGCTGCCAATATCTGAGCTCCTCGCCTGAATTCAATCCACACCGACTCGCGCAGTGAAGTATGGGCGAATAATCCCCCACAATGTTGTTGGTGAGGCCCTCATCCAGCAGTGGACTGACGAAAGGGCTGTACATGTGCAGGCCGACCATGTTCTCCAGATTAACAGGCGCACCAGGGGGCCACCCATTTAGTACGTACGCATGGAGGGGGGTTAACACAAATGTGTACGCTTGCGTATGGGGGGGGGGTCTACTGACAATTTACGTACGCATAGGAAACGAGGGGGGGGGGGCGGGTGAAGCCTCGATAATTTGTCGGCATTGGCCTTCAAATGAGCCACAGTTCAGTTTCTTCAGCTGTCAGACAACAAGTACTGCCGGGAGAAGTGGGACTGGGAGAGGTGTCACTCGTGTGCCACCGTACCCCTGACTGCAGCTATCACGAAGCTCAGCAAAATAAGTGGCCAGGGTATGCAAGTTAATTCTTTAATGCAGCCGGCGTTGGACTGTTTGCTTTAACACGTTAATTGATCGTTTCTGCGTGGATTAAATTAAATATCGGCCGTCCTATCGGATTCGGGGGGGGGGGTGTAAAAAGTACGCGTGCGTACAGGGAGAGGGGGGGGGGTCAAGTTTTGACATTTTTGCGTACTTAATTGGATGGCCCCCAGAAAGTAAGAGACAGCCCCAAAGTTTGGGTCATGGTTACATAAACAAAAAAACGTACGAGTAAATACGGTGTGCGGTTAAATGTGAAGTAACATTGCATAGACTGAGGATCGCGGTTGCTCTGTGTGAAAGTAACGTAAAGTGCAGACGTTGCAATGCTTTATAAATGTGGTGCGCGACGCAGCGAGGCAATTCCGGTAAAATCATATACTGTACAAGCAGAATTCTGTGCTGTTTCCACATGTAAATAATAATAAAGAGACGTATTTTTATACTGAGTTTGTGAACATTCAGTAGCAGTGAAATATTTTCTCTCCAGTTGCAAAAAATACATTTATCGGACTTGTCACGTGACATGTCAGAATCTGAATATTTATTTTGATTGCAGGAGGAATCTGATGAGCGATGAAGCTCTTTCACTAATGTCCAGTATGGGCGGGCGAGGTCGAGTGGGACATGGACTGAGCAACGTGGTAGACTGGAGTGGAGCTTGGAGTGTGGCGTAGAAAGTGTAACATTAAGTGGTATGTAGACTGAGTTGGCGTAGAGACGTGTTTAGTGACGAGGGATGGTGGCTCGTGTTGAGGCTCTGGCTGCGAGTGGAGGCTGTTAGTTTGTTCTAGATTTGAAGTTAGTGACGAGTCTGGGTTCGTGTTCAGACCGCATTATCTTATTGTTAGCAACTCTACAGCTCTCTGATATATTTTCGGGTTATTGCCCATGTTGAACTTCTTTCACACCGTACATAGCCAGCCGTGCTATTTTATATGTATGTATTACATATGTATTATATGTGTATATTTTGTATTTTACTAGGCAAGGTCCACTGAGCTATATAGCTGTTGTTCAGAAACGACGTGGCCACAAATTATAGCTGAAATGGCTTATCATCATCACGTGGAAATGTATTGCAGCCAAATACTCCGAACGCGTGATGTTGATTCTGTGGAGGGAAACCCCGGAGGGCCCAGAGAAAAATCCACGCGAACATGGGGATAGACACGCAAACTCCAAATATACAGCAGCAGGTTTCAGGGTCGGGATCGAACCCACGCCCTCCTGTGTACCCGGCGAGGGAGTTAACATCTCCTTGCCACCACGGGGGACAATCGGAGGTGCCGGGGTTGTGCCGTGTTGTCCCCCCCCCCCCCCCCGATGTCTTTTCTCGGCGTGCTGAAGAAGAAGCTCCTCGTCAGCACAGCGAAGTGCGAAATGTCAAGACAACATCGCGCGGTGCTGCACGCGTGGTGACAACCCGAAAAGACGTCAGGCAGAGCCATCCTCGTACTCATCACCCTCGCGCAGAGCTGTTGTTAAATAGCACTTGACAGTGGGAAAATAAGTAATCGTTTCCACATTTTATTTCGCCTACATCATAGCAAAGCCGATTTACACGAAACTGTTTAAAGGGCCTCATTTATACGAAGCCAACACGCATCCAAAAAAGCATTTTTTTCAGAAAAATTCCCGCATTTTACCAAATCTTCTGTGATGAAAGTGCAGTGTTATGCATCTGCAATGCATAATCTATCAAACACGTACTTAAGTTTCCCACCAAAAGCATGAAAACAAATGAATGTTTTAACAAGGACAATAAAACATTGCATAGCATTTGTATAAATTGTCAACTTTTAAATTAAAACTTCATGAAAAGAGACTGTACTTCAATTTTACGGCATTTCCACTAAACGGTTTTACAATTTATCTTTATGGCGGTGCCCCGGAGTACCAAATAATACAAATTGGCCGAGGCAATTAAATATTTTATTTCTGGGACACTTTTTTTTCCAGGGGTGTTACTTAACTCCGCGACTGTGGTACCAATCAATCTGAAATCAGTGCCACTCCGCGATGTGGAAACGCCAAACAGCATAAAAAAATCCGTTATCGAAAATTTCAACTTTGAATAGTGCATCGTGTACAGCTCGTCAAGATGAGTCGATATGCCGCATCGCCGACCATCAACAGACTAAGAATGACCGCATCACGGACATCGTGCGAGAGTTCGGGGTACTATGGTTCCCTGGGGTACCGCCCATAAGGTTCAATTTATCTGTTGAACATCCAACGTTTAGTCACAGCTGATTGATGTAAATTCACACAATCAGAATGTAAAAAAAAATTGAAACGGTTTATTAGAATGCAAAATTGTAACTCGCAAGATGTACCCTGTGACAACGCGTGCAGCGGTTTTCGTGAAATGAAGGAAGCACTTAAGGCAAAAAAAAACTTGAACAAAATTCTGTAATTCACCATTGACAGCATATTTACACTGATAGTTAAGATGCTCAACAATTTTCTCATGTGGATGGAGCTCAATGTATGCATATAATCTTTAAGAAGTCCAGCAAATTCATAGTTATTGTATAGTCTTAAGGCCTTACACATCTCACGCACATTGGCCAGTCTGATCAACGTGAAGAGACCGAGTCAACAAGTCCGGATAATTGGGCGAGTGGACCAGCAACCAATTGCCACGTGATGATGGGAGCAATCAATCTCAGAGTTTCACAAGACAGACGACCCGCAGGAATACATTTTTTGCATTCCCTCCCCCCCCATCAGAGCCCTATAAGCACAGAATAGCACCTCCAGCAATATTAATCGATTCAAATACATCTTATACTAATGCCAGACGGGTCGAATCATTTATGCAAGAATCAGTTTTCGATTCACACGCATTGCAATGTGCACGGGAAAAATCGAGAGCGACTTTAGATTTCAAATGTCCAACGCCAATCCTATACTGTAGCTGCTGTAGATTACAAATGCACAATGGGGAAAAAAGTGAATTTTTACCAAATAATCAATTCATTGAACTGCAAAAGGAAATATTTACTCCCATCTCACCAATGCACAGGCTGATGTTAATGCTCGTCTCAATGATCCAATAGATGTCGTAGGGCACGGTTATTAAACTGGCGATATTTGGCCCACGAAGTCTCTGAGGCAAGTGACGAGTCTGTGGGTCTAAGTTGGTTGTACGTTATTATGGAGGCTGTGGATTGGTATTGCCACTGCAGGGAGACATTGACCTCCCTGGGATCGTGTTTAGGCACCGGGTCACCGTCGAGGCTGTGGGTCAGCATTGATTGGGATTGTGCTAGAGGTCGTGAGGTCAGCATTGAGGGTGGGAGCTTAGCGTCGAGGTTTGGCCATTATTGATATGGTATTGCCAATGTATTTACATTATGAGACCTCCTTTGCTAGAAACAAGATGTAGGAATAGGTTTTACCCTTCTAACAGGCACAAAAAACTGACACCTTTATTCAAGGCATCATGTTTGCAATAACCACAACACAAGCAGTCAAAATGCAAACAAAAAAGACCACTCTGATAATTGGTTATTGCAAACATGATGCCTTGAATAAAGGTGTTTTTTGTGCCAGTTAAAAGGGTAAAACCTATTCCTATATCTTGTTTCTGGCAAAGGAGGTCTCATAATGTAAATGCTCACCCCGAGCCCTCAATACTCTTGATAGTGCGCTGTTTTTGAGTTGTACGCCTTTTGGCGTCTTCTGGTCCAACACCAATGGAGACTAGGCTCTAAGAAAAGCTGTCTCGGGTGTGGACCATTCAAATTCAAGGACAGTGCATATTATTATCAGAGTTGTCTTTTTTGTTTGCATTTTGACTGCTTGTGTTGTGGTTATTGCAAACATGATGCCTTGAATAAAGGTGTCAGTTTTTTGTGCCAGTTAAAAGGGTAAAACCTATTCCTATTGCCAATGTAGTTAGGTGTTGACTCTGGGATCGTGTTGAGGCCACGAGTCACTGTCGAGGCTGTGGGTTGGCGTTGACTGGGGTTGTGCTAGAGGTCGTGGGGTCAGTGTTACGTGTTAGCAGGTCATTATTAACATGGCTCGCAAAAAATGTCCCGACACCGTGACATCCAGATGTTACGTGGCTAGCCGGCACACGCCACTGTTAATATACGGCCTACCTGTATACAGAGAATTCTACCATGCCTGGCATGCGGCTGCCACCAGGACGACTACCTGGTTGCCATATTGCATATTTAAATGTGGTTGTCTTGCAGCATGGAGCATGTTACAAACATGTTACGCAACTTCGATTTAAAGCTTTCGTGACTGCAAGGATTCATCTTCTTTGGTTCTTTCGGTAAAGTCACGTAGAATGAGAATAAAATAATAGTGTTATTTTATTTTATCAATTTATTATTTTATTCTCATTCTACGTGACTTTACCGAAAGAACCAAAGAAGATGTTAAGCAACATGCAGCAAGCACCATGTTCGGGAGGGGTTATATGAAACAGGTTTTGGATCCTATGAACCATTTTCCCTGCATGAACGGTCAACAGCATCTCTCCTGCCCACTGGCAACAAGTCAACGTTGTAGTATGCAGCCCTCAACATCGTACAACGCCACTGCCCTTGCTACTCATCATCCATGTGCTCATTTAGGTCCGGCCTGGCCTGTCAACCCTCACCTCGCTTCCCTCCAACCACCCACCCACCCCTTCCCAAAACAATAATCAGCCGTGATTGTCCAAAGCATTCTACAATTATTTTTTTTATTTAATCGAGCTGGGCAACGAGATGCCCAGTTATGTTCGGCTCTGCCAGTGTGCGTCGGCCTTCCAAAGACTTACATTCACTCCTTCTCAGAGTAAATTTGACAATTGCAATAAAATGTGCAGGTTGTGGTTATATAGTATGTTAGCATATCTTAACATAAACGCATTTTTACACATGGGGACACGTCAGTGTTGACAAAGTAAAAAAAAAAAGAACCGAATGTTAATACATGCACCGTGTCAAATATACCACATTGTCCTGCGCTTTCTGATTTACATTTTACACGAATGCTTGCACCCCAGTATATTTTCGTGCAAATATCAACGTTCATAATTCTAAAACAAAGCTCCAACCCAGCCTGCCGAAAATGTGTTCGTTGTAAAAGTTGGAATATTACATAACTTGCAAAACACTATAACCCCAATAACTCAAAAAAAGGCAAACCCATGTTTATTTTTTTTAACAAGTAAACACGATATTTAATTACTTACTTTTTACTTATTTTACTACCAATCCTGAAAAATAAATCTCTATGCCCACCCCCGTTTGACAATAGCCACAGACTTGTATGCAAAAGCATTTTCACAGAGTGCAAACATGAAAAATCCAGTGCGCTCCCCCAGACCACCCGAAGAACCTGCGAGGGATGTTACATTCGAACGAGCGGTGGTGGTGGAGGTTGCACCGGTGGTAAATTCACCATCGCTGAACAACTGGGAAAGGTGCGGTGCAGTGCCTTGCCTCAACCTCCTAACAAACGCGTGGGAGCGCCCCCCCCCCTCTGCCCTTTTGGGGGGCAAACATGGACACGGGCGGCCGCCGTTTGAGCCACACCGCCACGTTGCTGTTGTGGCCGGCTACCAGTTGTAGCCCTGCGGCGTTGGCTTGTTGTCGTCGTCCTTTTTGCTCTCCAGTGAGAAGGGGGGGATTCGGGTGTCAAACTGCGAGCTGTCCGGCTTTTCGAAGCGGAAGGTGCCCCTGGAGGATGAGGTGATTGCAGGAGAGTGAGGGGGGGAGGGTAAACATCATCCACAGCTCAGTGGGTAAAAGGAGTTGGCGGTGGGGTGGGGGGGCAGCTCTCGCCTCTCAAGGCCAAGACATAAAAAACACATCTCTGTTAACACTCGGACACGCACGTGCACACACACACACCTGTATACACGCCAAGCAGCCAACGAAACAAATTTTCACAATGTGCGCCTCGACACATACGAAATGTTAAAATTTATTTAGGCACACCATTACACATGCTGCATTTCCCAGCCAGAATCGTAACGAGAAGAGGCTTATACGGCATCGATAATACTTTCAATCGCTGTGGGAATTCACATGTGTGTACCTCTAGGCTGTGAATCTTGAAAAATTCCCCTCCCCCTCTTGACATAGGCAAGAGTCAAGTAATTCGGTGCAAGTGTCATAACCCATAATGACAAATGTAAAATATATATTCAAGTGGCAAACCAAACTTTGATGACCACATTTAGGCATATTATGTCGAATGATAAATATCCAAGTCACTGTACTATTTATATACATGAAATACACACACTATTCATGTCTCCGCCTCTATGGCCTGACAGGCTAAGGTCGAGGAGGCCAGGCGATCTGGCATCCAGTTTCAAGTTTCTTGGAATTGAAATTCACTTTGGGTCCATCACGGTTTCAATGCTTGTCTGGCCGGTTTAGCTCCCCAAAATCATCGTTCGGACTTGATGGTGCCCTAATTTCACTGCCACTCGAAGACGTCTCCTGGGAGCAAGGTTTAGCAAGTTTGGGATGTCTCCCGATTTTTCACATTTTCTCCATTTTTCAAAGCTTATTTCTACAGAAAGAACCACACACAATGTCCTTATACCATATAGGGAATCTTTACAACATAAAATTACTCAAATATGCAAATACCACGAAGCAGTTATATACGGCACATGGCCCATAAATTCACAAGCGGCGATTTGCCATTTAAAGTTTGATTTCAGGCACGATACTACTCCGCATGATCAGTGCAAAAAGGCATATAATATACATCAATAAAACTTCAAAGCAATGATGATTAAAATGGAATTGGCGATGAGACGATGGACAGTATTATACATATCAACCAACGAAATTAGTAAAAGTACAGCAAGCATTAGTACAAACGAAACGAACTCGGCGGTCACAAAAAAACGTTGAACAAAATACACAATGAGTGCCTGTCATTTCAACGTCAACCTGGAACAAGATATGTCTTTTTGAGGGAGGCCAATGTCATGGGTTACGTGCGAATGTGCGCACACAATACAAACAATACCAAAAACCATGACGGTGGCAGCACCTTGTGTTACATGCGATCAGCTAGCCCAGGGGAACCGATCCTGCAAGCATGACTATATGCCGAGAGGATTACAATAAACAGTTGGGCTTTATAAAGTACAGTAGCTGAAATTATACATTTCATTCCAGTTACGAGTCAAGTCCGAGTGTCTACCCTGTTTATACCAGCAACGGTGCGGTGCTCATCTCCATTGGTGGACATTCCACATTCCCATGGAAGCAACTGATTTCTCCACAAGACTTCCCCACAAATATATTTCCTTTTCATCGACTCCGAGGAGCAGAGGGGATATCACGGGATGGAGTTCACCTGTGACTGGGATTTGAACTGTCAAAACATCTGACCAATGACGATTTAAAGCTTTCGTGAGTGCAATGATTCATCGGATGTGTATGCTTTAACTTAGCTATTTCAATGCTAAATTCTATGCTAATTCCTTTATCAAGGGGTGCCTCTGCGGATGTGTATGCTTTAACTTTTAACATAGCTATTTCTGTGACCAGTCACAAGCTAATCACTCAGCCATTTCAATGCTAAATTATATGCTAATTCCTTTGTCAAGGCGCTTTGTTTCCTCTCACACAGCTTAAAGGTCGTGATCTGAACGTGGCTCTTTCACTCCAGCGCTGTCCTACCAGACAGTCTCGTCCCTTCACCTGATGAAGGCCGCTTGTTTTGTGGCCGAAACGTCGTGAGAATATTATTGTGTTATTTTATTTTATCAATTTATTATTTTATTCTCATTCTACGTGACTTTACCGAAAGAACCAAAGAAGATCTGACCAATGAGTCAAGCAATCTAAAAATCACATGAGACACCCAAATCAGTTGAAGTAATAAAAGAACATTCTTGGTTCTTTCGGTAAAGTCACATAGAAGGGAAATAATAAAATAATAAAAATACAACAATACAATTATCACGACGTTCGATTACAACACAAGCAATCATCATCGTGTGAAAACCACAGCAAGAAAATTTGGAAAAAATTGGCGTTTTTTCTCACGTCGTGAGAATGTGTTTATTTTTATTATTTTCCTTCTACGCGACTTTACCGAAAGAACCAAGAATATGAATCCCTGCAGTCACGAAATCCAACCAGAAATTACTGTGTAGCACTCTACTCTGACCACAAGGGGTGGTGGGGGTTGCCTGGGTGGATACTAAAATTTATGTATGTGATATGGGCGCCAGTGGAGAGATGTCATCTCCCTCGCCTAATGTGCAAGAGGTCGTGGGTTCGATCCCGACCCTGATGGCTGTGTATTTGGAGTATCCATGCACTCCACGGGGTCGCGTTAATTTTTCTTGGGGTTCTCCGGTTTTTCCCTCCACGTTTAGAAGCGCGAGTTCACAGTATTTGCCCGCGGTAAATTCCCACGTGGTAGGCCACTTCGTCGGGCGATCATTTGTGACCGGGGTCGCTTCTGGAAAAGAGCTACACACAGCTCGGTGGGCCTTACCTGGTAAAAATAAAGTGTTGTAGTGTCGTGTGGATCTGCAGTGCGGGTTGCATGTCACGTGTTCCTCCCTTCAAACCAGGTTCGCGAAAGGGCCGAAGTATGCATCCGTTTGACTGTCCAGGTCAAAATTTGGGATCTGTCCTTCAAAGGAACTCCCGTTGTCTCGCTCAAACACAAACGATCCCCTGAGAAAATCGAATACATACAAGGGGGTTTTTACAGTCAAACCTTGCGAAAAGAAAAATGTAGGTCAACAGTGGTGATAATTCAGTAACGGATCGGAACACAGACACAATTTCGCAGACTCAAACCCTTCCGTCTTCCATCAAATTACCAACTCACAAGTTCCCACAACTCGAAAAAATATAACTTTGCAGCCTCATTTCATGACTCTTCAATAAGCCAAACTCAATGTTTACCAATACCCAAAACGAGTCGAAGGGATTACTCGTGACACTCACTATCCCCAAGCCACGGGTGGAAAATAACCATTTACTTTTGCAGGAACCAGTGCATCAACATTTCCACGGTTTATACAGACTGCAGCACAACCACCTGCTGTTTGACTTTCACCAAACTGGGTGTTGCTTTTCTAAATCCCAGAGTACCGATGGGCTGAGTTGACCCCGACTTGAATTTTGAACCGACCATGGCTTCCCAACAGCCTTTGCAGTCGCTACTGCGGTGAAACAAGGGCAAACGCTACGGCCGAGCATTTTATTTACAACTGAATGCGGTGAAGTTAGTCAAGACCAAGTCTACTGCACCCCTACATAAACCAGCTTTGCCCTTACAATCGGTTGGCTGTCGGGATGCCTTTCACCACAGACCTCTTTCCCATGCAAATACTTACATGCAACCTTGATCAGGAAATGTAAATAATTGAAATGGCCAACACATGAATAGAATGCATTTATTATGTATGAATTGGATAAAACCTGTCATAAGGGAGTTACTCAATGTGGATAATACCAAAGGCATGATATCAGAGCACTGAAATAGAAAGAACAGTCAAGGCTAACAGGAAGAGTCAAATCGTAACTTTAAATATTCCATTATTGAAAAAAAAATTAGGTGTAGAGTTAACAAACCTAACAAAGCAAACTCGGAGGAAGATGCATGCAAGGTTTTAAACCGAAAGAGGATAATGACACACAACTGCAGTTGTTTGCAACACAACTATTCACCGTATATCTAACAGCGAGAAAGTTTCACACAAAGCTGTAACCCTTAGGAGGCTACACAGCCAAGGCACCTCCGCCAGGCTTGCCAACTGTTTACGTCTTGTTACCGGTTATCCTCAAATAACCTGCCATGGGCCGCATGAATAGATAAGATAATGCAACAGTAAAACAGCTGAGACCGTTTCAGTCTCAAGGAGAAGCAAAGGAAACGCGTCAAACACCACAATTGCTGATGACGATCCTCTTGCTGCCAAATCCCATCCTAGGCAACTGTGTGTGCTGCGTCTCTACGCAAAGTTAACTCCGGAGCTGCGGTGGTGACGTAATAAAACAGTACAAATAGGACGTGAAAACGTCCGAATATTAATCCTGCAAGGGTGCTGCTGTAAATTGCCATCATCTCATGGAGGCAAATTCCATCATCGGCCGCGATTAAAACCACTGCTGGCAAAACTGACCAAACGGGCCTATACTTGTACAGCATCTCTGCAAGATCACCGCTTTAAAAACAGCTACCATCCAATAGCATCGGATATTAGAAAACTAAAAATGTACACAAAACCAGCAACTGCAGCTCTATGCCAATACAGAAAGCCAGAAATGGTGGCAAGAAAACAAGGAGTAGGCGTACAGTCGGTCTCGTAACACCACGCCAAGCCACAAACTACCTCCCAGATCTGCCAGTTTCGTAAGGATTTCAGCTAAGGACAGCTGTAAAGAATTGCCATCTTGTGAACATTCGTTTAAGCGAATGCTTCAGGAAAATGGAAAATTATGCACGGGGAATATTTTCACAGCATCACACCAATGCGGGATGCGCAAAAACTCAAAAGTGAAAGGACAGGAAAAAAACACCTGCACCCAATACAACAATTAAATGTACATCGGTAATAGGGATGAGTTTGATTACAAAATTTAGGATCAGATCTTTAGGAAAATTTCCCATCTTTTAGATTTCCTGATCATTTTGATTGTGTAATAAATTTAACGTGCCTGCCAACAAAAGCGATGCCATCTGATGCCATGCGATGCCACTTTTGGCATAAAAAGCAGGTGACATTGAAGCGACGTAAACGTATTGTGACGTTATTTTTGGATAATTCCGCAAACTATATCAGATATCTGAAACTTAAGTATTTTAAGCCCAATTTTCGGAATTATCTGAAAATCAGCCTGTGTAAATATGCTGCAGGATAATCGATCTCGTGCCTAAAAACGAGACACTTCCACCCTCCTAACAACTCATACCTAAACAGCACACAATTTGATGGACATTATAGCATGGGGAAGGATGCATCATTGGCATCGGCCACGGAGATGTGTGTGGGGGGTTAATATCTACGCAGGTGCTTTGGCACAGGCATAACTATTCTCTAATAGAGCGTGGTTTCAACCAAATCGTTCCGAAGAAAGATTGAAGCTTGTTTTATACAGGGTGTAAGAAACTCGTGTACTTTAATGGATTGTGATTTTTCTTTAATTCATGATAATCCTTGGTCAATCCATTGCTGGATGAAAGTCTCCAAGCCATTCACCCACGTGGCAAATGAACAGATTTCGTCACTCCATCTCTCCGGTAGTTTTCCTTGAGCCGCGTTGCATTTCGCGTTATCATTTTCATCATCATTCTCGACCATTGGCCCTCATCCCCTCTAGAGACTTGTCTTTCCAAGCAGTTACTTCTTTCCGCAGTTTGAATTCTGTCATTAAAGTGCGTTCGTTATCAAATCCATGCGTTTATCATCTCTTTACCTCTCAACGCAATTCAAAGTGTGCGTCTTCTAACCTTTCAGTTTGTTCCATATTTTTCATTAATGAGCATGTTTATGACCCATAAATCATAGCAGGCTGATAAAAAAATACCCTTTTTTGCCACCCCCCCCCCCCCCCCCATTTGATAAAATAACAAACACGTGACGAACACAGGAAGCCTCACACAGAACAAGAAAGCCGTAGGCAGAGCCAAGTTAAAAAGAGAAGCGTCCTCACCACATGTGGCCGCTAGATGCCTGCAGCGAGACGTGGCTGCTGTACTGGAAGGCCGGCTGCTCTTTGGACAGTATGGGCTCCTGCAAGTTACAGTCGCGCACACGCACATCCATTAGCCTCAAGGTCGAAGCAGCCTCCCCTGCTCATATAAAACGGGGAGCTCATTCGCCACTGGCAGAACCGAGCAATCGTCAGCAATGATCAATCTGCCGCGGGATAAAAACTCCTCCAAGTTGTCGCCAACACCTCAACCCCGGCAGCTGCGCGGCGGGAGCAGAGATAAATCGCTTCCCTCTTGACGGCGGCTGCAGCCTCGTGAGTGCATTCCCCCCCCCCTCCCGCCACCTCGCTCGCTTCCTCGACTGCCACTATCGTTATTCTTGGACATTTCACCGAGCAGCAACGCACAAGCGCAGACTTCACCGTTTCATCTCTCCGGTGGACATCGCTCTCGGGCGCGTTTCGGCCCTTTGACTGCCACTCCATCCTCATTCTCGACCATGAGCCATCATCTTTTCAAGTGACGGGTTCTGCCCAAACAAATAATTTTAACAGTCAAAAGGATATATAGTCAAAAGGATGACTTTTTGCTGTACATTCTCCAAGTCATGTTTTTCTTCTTCCTGCATCTTAAATTGTATTCTAATAATGCCTCTCTTCTTGCTTCTTTGCTGGACACTTTTGATCTTTTGTCCCATTCTTCATCAGTGGCCATGTGTCAATTCCATGTAATAACTCAAATATAAAAACGTTATTTATAGGCAAAAGTGTACGTTGCTTTTCATTTCCAAGTTCAACTTTCCCACAGCTCTCCAACCCACTTTCTACCGCCTCTATTTCACCTTTTTAATGTTGGTCTGCTTTTAATAAGGGACTTAATAAGGGTATATGTATTACGTTGTCTTTTTCAGTTTATACTGAGTCCAACTCTGCAACCTTCTTCTAACATTTATTTTAGTTCATGCCCATCGGTTCGTTAAAACTACAAAATGACAAACTAATCTGAGATGGTTAAACTATTTTTGTTTAGATTGGCCAAGCTAAGGCACAACGTTCACGACGATAACTTTCACACATCCGCCGATTGAAAAATATTTTACCAAACATCCCAACGCGAGGATGGTGCGGTGCTTATCCCCATGTTTACAGCCATGAGCCAGTGGTGAAAATTCCACAAGCCTACGGTGAGGACGAGTCTATCCATAGGACAACCATGTAGATTTACAACTCAGACTTATTTTTCGGTATCAAAAAATGCTGAAATAAGAATTGTTTCAGACTGGTGAGACAAGGCCACAAGGAAGGCCGTCTCTGGCCTGGCACAGGTGCCACCAAGGCTTGCCGACAGGAGGTCACCGGACAGGCCCAGGTGCCATGGGTTGCCCGACGGACATGACTGGCAGATGCACCAAAGACAATGCATGTATAGTCAGAGCATGTTTGTTTGCATGTCTTTCCCCAAGTACGTGTGGCTAATGCAGACTTGATGCCTTGCAATAGGTAACCATTTGGCGTTTGAATAATCCTTTAACACCTCCCGTTTGATTGCCATAAAGGATAAAAAACCCTATTTTATTTTTCACGATTTCTGATTAAATTACATGACCACAATATGTTATCCCTCGTATCTTCCTCGCTCACCCGGCCGACAACGCCGCGGCCGCGCACAGTCTCCAGCGTGCCCGAGAGGCTGAAGATCCTCCAGTGTCGCTCTCTCAGCTGCACCGTCTGCTCTCCGAGGTTCTCCAAGCGGATGCAGTACCTCCACTGCACGCGCCACCGCAGACCCGCGCAAAAGAGGCGGGGGGGGGGCAAACACACCACCTCCTTACGGCAATGGTGATGGAAAGGTTCCCTTGACATTTCCCTCGCTCAAACAAGTACGGACGGGGGGGGTAGAATTTCTCTCCAGGCAGTCTGAAGCCAGTGGTGGAAAATGTTATGTTACACAATGTGGTGGGTCAGGTTCCTTAGACGGGCGTATGCAAAATTATTCAATTTGTGTTGTAAATTAACATCTATTTAGGGATTACAAAAAGGTGACCTGCAAAATGTATCACTCCATAAAAAAAACTATTTCTTAGTCCATCAGCCTATGGGCATTCCAGATCATTATCATCCAGCAGCATTTTCTTACACAAAGAAAACTCTGAACTGGGTTTCAACCATTTGGGTCAACATTGTGTAAATTTGCTCTTGAGCGATGAGGTTAATGATGCTTATAATTGTGTTCGAACAGACAGGAATCGTTGTTTTATGTTGGAAAAGCTTCCGCAAATTAAAACGGGAAGGATTGTATAGAGACATTTAAATGGCAATGCCCATCTGAGAATATTATTTGTCTCATCCCCTGTAGCGTTTCAAGGTTAATTATTAACGTGTTAAAAAGTGCCAGCCAGCTGCCAGAGCTGTTGTAGAAATAGGACTTACCCAATAAACTAGGGCATTCTGCGTTTCCTGCAAAATAGAAAGAAAAACGGTAGACGTTAACAAACCAACTATTTGAATCGTCACACAACACGACAACTTGCAACTTCCTATAGCATGTTCGAGATCTTCCAGTGACCTGAACGGTGTCAGTGATGTAAATCCCACAGGCTCATTTGCAGGGGTCAATTCCTCCAGTAACACATCCGTACATGTGTTTGCTCCAGCAACCTGAATGTAAATGTTGACATGCAATCTGCACACACCATGACCATTTCAATCTTACAAGCACGATTCGATGGATCATTTGTGAAGTGCATGAATCTGCTTGAAATTATGAACGTATGTATCGCTACAGGTCTAGTTTTCACACAATACACCACAAAACATGTTTTTGTCTGGTTAAAATTTAAATTCAAATGCTATTCCAAACCGACTTTCAATCGCAGCACATTTCGCATGGCTCAAGGGTAACATGCCCTGCTGTTACAACATTCGCTATATAGACCTCGCGTGTACCTATCAAGGCGATGAAAGTTCGCTATACGCTACTCTCGAGCACAGATGCTATATAGCTTAACCCCAATTTTTCATCTCGCTATTCAGTAACGATGCACCCCATCAACTGCTCCGGCTGACGAACGGTCATCACAAAAACGCAGGTACCCACATTCGCTTGTTAACCGCAGAATGTACCACTCGAGCCTGTGTTTTTTCATTGTTGAGTTTAGTTCCTATGATCACTGTTACATTGCTTTTATGGCTTTATTTTGGTGATGTCGAAAAGTTGTTTTGGTTTGGCCATGTTTGTTGCAGTACGGAGTTAGACTGATGGCCTTAATCCAAGTTGCCTTGTGGTTGTTGTTGTTGTTTGACTTGCATCCCACTGGGATTTTTGCACACAGTGTTGGTGTACGGTGCTTTTTCAGGAATATTTTGCTGTTTTTTTCCTGGATTTTCTGTTTGCACAGTCACAGTCACTTTAAGATGTTTTCTTGTTCATGTTTTTTGTTTGTTGCGGTTGCACCCGATTCAAGAGCCGAATAGCTCACAGGGCTATACCAAATAAATGAAATGAAATGCAATGGAACTGGCCGGTTTGCTTTCATTACTATTATTAGCCAAGAATGGGCGTGTGTGTTTCGCGCGTGACGGCACTTCACGAATATTCACGAGTGGGTGGATAGTTACAGGAACGCAGAAGGTCGAGCTGAATTCATTAATTGATTACGCAAAGTCGCTTCAAATATGTTTCTTTACAGAAAATAACGGTAAAAAATAAAGCTACGCAGCACAGTGCTACATCCGTGCGTGACGTCACTGCAAAAGAGGCCCCTCCCCCCTTCATTAATATTCATGCCCGCGTGGAAATTTACACTAACGCACAAGGTGGCGCACTCCACATATGCCGCAACCCTCCACAATAACCATTAGCGGGTGACGTCTGTCCACAGGGGCAACCCCCACCCCCTCATGAATAATTATGAGCGGAACAATTTTCTATTGAATATTTCACATTTACTGCAATATACACCCGTCCTTGGATGGGCAAAAAAGTTAGGCAGGCATGGCACACAGCCACCTTTGTCTCACCAGGATGTTTACACACAATTCCAGGTACTCGCTGATATAGCCAGGTCGAACTAAAAATTGGCCCAGGACTAGTTAAAATATTTATCACTGATATTGGCCTTGAGTGGGACTAAAACTCAGGTAACCGGCTTTGCACTTAGGTTGCCCAGGGTTTGTAGCACGGTTCGCTAACCGCTGCCCCATCACTCGTGAACACACATTGCGTGCACAAAAAGATGAAGACAAAAATCCCCCATATAGCCTAAACAGACTGTTGGGGCAAGTTTCAAGTTTCATTTATTTATTAAGTGCTGTTAGATAGCACCAATGATGGCCGACACAGCACACGAGGGGGTGGGTGGTAGCCAACACCACACCCGGCTGCCTTCGTCTCCCCAGCGGTGATGTTTACACGCCACACCGGGTACTCATTTGAGGCCGAGCCGACCTAGGGGAGGCCCCAAGACCGGTTCAGATAATCATAAGCTAACCGCTGCACCGCCACTTGTGAATGCACATGCACACAACCACACCGTACCCGGGCACCCATGTAGAACGGTGTGACGGTGACGCGAATGCCCTCCGTGGTTTCTCGGTGCACGTCCGAGAGCTCCAACCACGGATGGTTCTTCTGCTGCCACGCGTGCAGTGTGTCGCATGCAGTAAACACAGGTACTGGGGAATAAGTGGAAAGGGCAAAGATGTGAAGGGAGGGAAGCAAATTAAAGATCAGATTCATTATGATTTGCCTCGGGATAAACTACCCAGTTGATTGCAATCGGACAATTTGTTTTTTTAAGACAGCATTTCCCCCTACTCTTCAAAAGAGCAATGGGTGATGCTCACCACTACTAGCGACCCCAAAGTCGGTTGTGGAAATACCATATTCTCATGGAGAGGGCCAGTCCATTAACACAAACCACTCCATTTCCATCACAGCGGTTGTCACCAATGGCTCGGAATAGTTAACGTAGATAAGGGCCGGCACATTACTCGCTTGAGCGTGGAGACGCTTACCTTTGAGCAAAGGTAAAGACGCAGCCCCTGCAATTGCTTGCTCGCACCACTGCTGGCGGAAAGGCTTTCATTAAGGGAGGGATCTCTCAAATCCCTCGAAGGGTATCTTTGCATTTCTCTTCCATGCTGGGCCAGACGTCTGGAAAGAGGTGGAAGTAGCCAAAATTTACTCCGCCACGCGCAAGCTGCCGATCGAATGTGGCGGACCAATTTACACAGCTGGGTGGAGAGAGGTGGGATTTAATAACTTGCCCATTGCTTCAAGTGCCATGCCAGGAGCTTTGAACTGGCAACCTCTGCATGTGGACCTTCTTTCACGCCGTATGTAGCCAACCGTGCTAATTCTGCATTGCAAGTCCAGTGTGCTAACCATCACAACACTATTGAACAAAAAATGTAATACTGCAAGGCTGCTCATGTTACAAAAGTCTTTACCTACCCTTGGTAGCGTCGTAGTTGAGGAATCTGTCAAACAGCTCGTGCTGGATGGGATTTTTGTCCATGGAGTTGTACGGCAGAACGTCCTCATGGCTTACATAGTCCAGACCTGAAGGAAACAACAACCCAACGTTGCACTTGTGTTGGGGAGAAATCTAATTATTGGTCATTTGCATTTTGCGAACGTGCATTGACCGTTGTTGATATTGGGATCGTTTCTAGGGGCTGCAAGACTTCTCTTGGATTTTGGCCCATGGTGTGGTTGTTGGGGGTAGATGCGACTGGAGGGGGTTTGAAGGGTTGGTGCAGTTGATGTGGTTGGGTGGATTGTTTTACGAATGGGACTCCCTTATTGGCGACAAGTTTCAGCGGCTGTTGGACCACCCTGTGTATGCAAACTCATCATATTCTTTTCACATGTCATCCCAACTTCTTTTGCCCTATTTTCTACCCTAGTCGTTTTGTATTTTGTGGATTGTGTTGTAAGGCATTCTGAGATGACAGGATTTTAGGTGTTAGATAACAAAAAAATCTGTATCATGATCGACGCACCTGGGATGGCATACAGGGCTCGGCTGTCTTCATGATTGGCCAAGAACGTCACTCCTTCCGTCTGTGCACTCTGCGATGACGAACACATCAGCCACATGTTCAGCCAAATAAAATACCTCCCCAAATAAGGTCTTACTTATACGGCGATGAAATATTTAAAACCTGCAAAATATTAGCCAAAAGTCCGATGGAGTTTTAACGATTTAACTCAAGCATTGAAGTATCCACAAACTGTACACAGATGTGAATCTTAGTTTATTTAAACAAGACCTTTATTTAACTCGGGTGAGATTTTCACCTTCCCCAACAATGGTTGTAGCATTGAAGCAGAAAGAATCATCTTAATGGGCAGAAAAAAAAGTCTTCCAGCAAAGCAGTATTGCACATCAAAAGTTTTCCAACCCATCATAATTGTAAACAAATTATTTGCCAATACCGCATTGGCAGTGGTGTACAAGAACAATAAACATACAAAATAACATTCATATTCTTGGTTCTTTCGGTAAAGTCACGTAGAAGGGAAACAATAAAATAATAATAAAAATATATATTTTGTTTCCCTTTTACTTGACTTTACCAAAAGAACCAAGAATATGAATCCCTGCAGTCACGAAAGCTTTAAATAAAAGAAATCGCATTCGTTTATGACACTTCCTTAAAATGTATATATTTGTAATATATAGGTGATGTTTCGGCTAAAGACCCTTCTTCATAGCACAGACATGCCAAAGAGATACAGCTAATAAGGGCTAGAGACACAGCACTTAACCCCATCACCAGTTTTTGAATAGGCATATGAATAGTTACCGAATAGTAACCGTCTAACAACAGGCTTTGTACTTAATGGCCAGCAATCATCGCTTCATAGTGACGTGTCCTGCATGAGGTCACCGTGCTTTATGAGGATGCAGGGCTGATGTGAAAATAGCACAAGTAGACTCTACTTACGAACGAGTTAGGTTCCAGGAGGTCTGTTCCCAAGTCCAAATTCACTCCTGTCGATTCCAAACATGTTGTACGGCATATACACTAAACACGGGAAACCGCTTTAAAAGTTGTATAATCTCCTATAGATTCAGATGCCACTGGTTCTTCATGTCCTGCAGATGTAGATGCCACTGCTGCCATCTATTGTGGGGCAGTTGAACTTACGACTATCAGTCCGAACAAGTAACTCGACAGACGGATCAGGTTTTTTTCGTATCTCCGAAAGCTCGCAAGTCCAATTATCGAAAATAGAGAGAGTTCCCGAACTTCAAAAGTAACAGGTAATCAAACTCTTAGGCACACGTGGGGTATTGCGTCACAAGTCCATTGGTACGTACAATGTGAGGGCAATCCCGGGCATCGATGAGGACTTGGTAGTATGTGTGGGTCTTCCCCTTCATCTCCTTTCCCGTTTGTTGACCCCCCGGAGGCTCCGACTTGCTACTGAAGGTCAAGACGGGCATTACGCAGCAAATATATACAGTTAAAAGTGTAAGATGCGGATTAGTCGTACGCGGCTATTGAACTAAATGGCTATAAAACACAGTAACCCGACGTTAATCTAACGTTACCAAAACCCCACAATTTTGCTGGAATTGCATAACCATGCTTATTTAAATATACATTCGATCATTTTCATCATTTGACATGTTGTAATGGAGTATTTTATGCGGCACTGCCAATGTCCTTATATGGATAGATTGATACAGTAAAACCAGTTGTACAATAGTTGTTTTTGCCACCCCAGCCAAGTAAACCCGATTCGCCGACTCACAATGCACTTCCGAGAGCACCTTCCATAAACTGAGACGCATCAAATCTTGTGTAAATGCACAGAAACTTGGCCAATCGCAGGTTTCCCCTCATCGCAGATTTGATCATTCGCGTCAGGTTGACGGGAGGTATAGTTTGGCAATCGTGCTCATGTTGACCGTGAGATTCCTGTATCTATCGCAAATACGGTTCTAGCAGTGCACTGCTCACGGGATGATGCTTCTACGGACGAATACACACGTTGTTGTTGTTGTGCCGTTATTAATTCTTTGTAAAGCCCTTGGTTTGAGGAGCTATATAGATTCCGTTAAGGTAATTTTCTTGCATCGAACAAAAATCTCCGGGGAGAAGGTGGCTATAAAACAGTTGCGTGTGGCACCACAGATCGAAATCCGCCGGTTGCTCTAGCACTGAATGCAAACAAAGGATGGGTGGACACACGCACATGGACACGTGCCTTTCATCGTCATTTCCTGCTGCATCTCGGTCGTAGAGCCTCGCTTGCCACGGGAAGAGCACAACACCACGGTATCCGAAAACTCTGTGCAGGAACAACTGCGACGGCAATTCGAACACCGGTACACTCAATTACACGAGGTTCCGATTTTTTTTTTACACGTGAAAGTTTGCGCAAAGTATTTTTAGACCGTGTTCTTTGCATGTTGCGAAATACAACTCTTGCTCCGAAATGCCATTTACAATAGCAGTGTTGTTCTAGATCAAGCTGCCAGTGTGAAATGCATTCCATATTTGTACTCTTGTAAACTCTGAGGACGAGATAAATAACCAAAAGCAAAAGGCATTTCAGGAATTACACTGCATAGATTCACAAATTGGTCACGTGGTTTTCTAAAATATAGCTCTAAATAGAGGGTTAAAAATGGGATAAAATGTTGGCTATTTTCTGTGTTTGTAGATGCGAGGCTTAATCCTTTTCAGAATTTGTCTTACATTACCCGGCATCATACGAATATTAAAAATAATCTATGCCTCAAGTTTCCTGGCTGATCTCTTCTCCACTTTAAACAATTATTAGTGGCTGCGGGTCGTTGTCACCGACACTAGCTGGTTAAACTGGCTAAAATGGTAATTTTCCACGTAGCATCGAGTTGAAACGGCAGAAGACCTGTTAATAGATAACACCGAAGGAGGTGGGAGAAATGAATAGAAGGGAATTGACACAATTTAAAATTTCTCTCACATTTTAATTTGCTCTACTATTAATTGCAATTCTTTGGCCCAATACGAATAAAAAAAATCACTACATGTACAATCTTGGCATTCTGTTGCTTAAAATGCATATTACATATAGTGCTCCGAGTACAGGATTGTGAGAACAGTATTAACATGAGTGCCGTCTCTCGTTTTACTTTGCAGAACAACTGGCTCTCCTCTGCCAGTAAGAGTACAATAAAACCTTGGATTGCGAGTAACTGTCTGCGAGTGTTTTTCAAGACGAGCAAAAAAAATTAATATTAATTTAATAAACGAGCGAGGGTCTTGCAATATGAGCAGTACGTATACGCTTCGTCTTCCGAGCGTCACGTGATCACAACTGATTTACGAGTGCTTTGATATACGAGTGCTTTGGATTACAAACACGTTTCCGGAACAAATTATGCTCACAATCCAAGGTTTTACTGTAAATAGAACCATGCCTGCCAAGCCAGTGCCTTGCGTGAAAACAAGCATATGGCATGTACCCCCCCCACAACCTCATCAGATCTTAAAAAACCATGCAGGGCTGAACCTGTCACAAGCTTGTAAGGGCGACCACCATGCACGACAGGCGTTCTCGACCGCGGGGGTTACGCGGTGGGCAGCACTATGGCGGTGGATGTGTCAGGTGGGTAAAAGTCTCCTACGATGGCAGTTTTTACAAGGTTTACAAGGTAAATATGCAGAAAATATAGGACTGAAGAATTGCTACATTGCTTAAGTTTTTCCCAATACAAAATGCCCCGAACATTCATGTCGACCATAATAATTGTAAATGATGGGAGTTTACTCTCCAACACACCGGTGTGCTGTACCAGTCACGAATTGGCCACGTTTTGTTGTGACAAACCTTACTAATTGGTTGTGTCGGGTGATGGCGGGTTTAACGACACATTTATATTTACGCGATCTAACCAAAAAAACCCCCTCTATTGTGAACATAAGATATGCTTTCCAAGCGGGTGTGGTGGCGCACACCTGTGATCCTGTCCTTTGGAGTTACGTGCTGGCCGATCTTGCAGATTTATGATAATCTTATAACACTCGTTGAGATCTCTACTTAGATTTATAGCGAGCCTTTAGCTCTTACGTTTAGAAAGCAGTAACAAGAACAGAGTGATTTAGATGGCAGGGGGAGGTGTGCAAGGGCCGAGGAATGATTGACAGCAGGAGGGGTCACGAAAGGGCATGGGGAGGGATGGGAAGGAGTGGAGGGGAGGAAGGGAATGGGCGACAGAGGCGAGGCTTTCAGAGAGGATGTTAGGGGGGGGGGGGACGACTGCTTAATGAAAGGTGGCCAGGAGATGTCAATACAGCAAGTGGATTCTTGAAGCCATCTGTTGTACGTTTGAGAATTATCCCCTTTGTATGCATGGGTTTATTCTGGGTACTCAAGATTTCCTCCCACGTGCAACCAACGCTCATTACTGGAATTGGCCAAACATTCCAATGCAGTGTATCCTAAAAATGTTCCTCGGTGTTGAGGCTTTCATGGATATAATGGCCTCTACGCAGAACACAACGTTAAATCTGGAAAGCAAAGGCATTAATGAATGCAGTGCTCGTATGGCCCAGCAGAAATGTCACCAACCTGTCCAGTGTCATATTTTCCCTGTCTTGGCGCTTCCAGAATGCCTACGGTCTCCAGCACCTTGCCTTCAGCTCTGTTCCTATTTCAAATCAAGAACGAGAATAAAGAGAGCAAAAAAAGGTTGTTCAATCACGTGCATGCACGCACGGATACATGCATGAATAAACGTACCATTGAAACAAACATTTCCCATTTCAAATGATGAGCAAAGGGGCAGTGCGCGGCGCACATCTTTAAAATCGACTCCTGAACAAATGTCAGAAATTCCACATTCCTATGGACACTCTCCATTACACACAACACCTTCCCATCGTAGTGGGAACTCATGTTATCAACCAATGAGAGATGGGTTGGAGTCAACCCTCGATCAGAATTTGAACTCTCAAAAGTTTCCAATTGATATAAGAGACCACAATGGGCCATCGAGTCAAATGACAGATATTCAACTTTGTCTTACTCAGAAAGTGGTGGAAAACGACAAGCCAGTATAACGAGTTCTATCGTCACAGATAACATAATTCAAAGTTGTTCAACATACATACATAATGGCAAAGGCAGTAATGGTATCGTGGTCAGTCGACACGTTCTGGCAGGACAGCAAATTTCAAACTGGGTGCAAAGCCAGATGTGTAAAAATAAGCTGCTTGTGCAATATGTTTATTATAAAAGTATGATTTGACATGCCATAGGCATATGAATTGAGGACAAAAACGTGATGCATTGAACATCGCTTGGTAACTCGTCCTAGGCATGGAGGGGGCAGTAGGGTAAGTGTCACGATGTCATATATTCCTCCCATCTCTCTCCCGACTACTTTGTTATTCTGATATGCCCATCCCTGGTATTTAACTTTAGATTGAGAAACGTAATATTACACTGAAAATTACACTTGTGACAATACCATATTTTCTGGATCACAAGATACACTGGAAAATAAGACACGCGATTAAAGTTAAACAAATCTGGTTACACATACATACCAACCAGATTATAACATACACCTATAACTTTTGCTTTAAAACACAGGGGGGGGGGGGGAGTGAGTCTTATAATCCAGACATCGACAAAACATTTTAAGGGTGGCTGTTACATTTTGTACTTGAACAATGTATGCAAAGGGTTAGAAGCATTGCTTACAAAAAAACTCCATACTAGGATGAGATAGGCCAGCAGTCTCAATTTACGAAAGGAATTTCAGTTTACAAACGTTCAGTATTTGTTAATGATGAAAATATTCCTTGCACACAAAAAGGCACTCAGAAATGGTCTGGATAGTAATCAAACCATTTATAATCACGAGGCACAGCTTTTCAATAATTAAGCATTCGCAATAATATCAATCCCAATTTAAACGCAGGCAGTTCACGAATTGGATACAGTGTTTCGATTGAGGACTCTTCGGATGGAGGGCGCGGAAGCTCCAAAGCCCTCGTATGCTAGCCTGAACAGGCGAGCTTTGAAGCTGCCCACTGGAAGGTGAATTGGTGTTCGATTGCAAGACATATGTGCTGCGGGAGAGCAGTCCAGACGACTGTTACAGCTACGGAGACAGCGCGGCTCAGCCAGGGCAGTCCTGGTTCTGGGAGCGACAAGCAAATTATTAGATGTGCCATGTAAGACGTGAAAATTTGCCGTGGTCAGTGGCGTGAAAAGGGCGGAGAGGTATATAGCAAGAGGTTAAAGAGAGGTCGGTGGTGGAAAGTCAGTGAAGAGTTTTGCAAAAACATTTGGCCATGCCCAATTCCCAGAACAGCACATGACATATTCTTTGGGTCTTTCGGTAAAGTCACGTAGATACATTAAAAGAAAATAACAAAAATGTTTTAAAAAACTACCACGTTTTTTTTCTTTGAACCTATCTACGTGACTTTACCGAAACACCCAAAAAATATGAATTCCTGCAGCCACGAGAGCTTTAAGTCAAGCGCATGACATGTTGTTTTTTGGAGCCAATGTAGTTTGTTGGAGGTGTTTTATCTGATGTCCGAGTAAGGATGAATTCTGAAAACGCTACAAGCCCGAGTGGTTTATGGGGCTGTCGTCAACGATGGGCAGGTGTGCCAATGAGGCCCTGAAATATAGACTGCGTGTGTTCATGCCTGGGATGCCCAGAGTAACCGGGATTAAGTGTGCACTATAAACTACATTTGAACATACATTTGACTTGAGAGATTATAAAATGTAGGTGGTTGTTTATTTAAAGTAGATTGTGCACTCCATCAGCCAAAGTGCGGTTGAACTAGCAAGCGACACAACATTTGAGTTGATTGTTTTCATGGAAATTGGCGACTATCAGTAATAAATTCCACAAAATCCAGCTGAAGGTACTCCAGCACGCCTTAAGTGCAGTCAGTGGTGATGCGGGCTTATTTTACAGACGTACCAACAATACGTTGTTTATACCATGTACTATTAATGTTGAATAATAACGATGCGATTAATTTATAAATATTCCACAGATTTATGATAACCCTATTAACTTTATTCAAAAACAATTGTGGGAAAAACATGGCTCTATATCTTAAGAGGAACAAAGAAGGTGGTATAGCATGTTTACCGAGATTAGTGGGAGACATGTGGAGGCATTACAATGACAATATCCAAAAAAACTGGTGCAAAAAACTTTTATTTCAGTGGTATTTCTAAATAGATCACCCTGTACACTATAAAAGAGTAAATTCAGTTAGAAAACAATTACGGATCATCTCATCTGGGCTGGGTGTAAAAACACCCTTACAGTCATGGGGGGGGTTAACCAAAAATAACCATTTCAATCCATCACCCAAAGGGCATTCTGGACCAATGCTGCCATCAGAATGTGTTTGCCGGCAAACCAGTGTAGATTTGGCAAGTATTCTCAGCAAGTTTGTGGTATATTACCACCATGCTTAATTAAACAATTAGACATTTTTCATTAATAGGCACATAATAAATCACCTAGATTTGGTCTAATACATCAGGTCTAAAGATCTGGCGATTATGTAGCTATGTTATACTGGGCATATGATTTGAGATGAGTGGTGCAATGGAAGACATGAGAATCATAACCAGGCATGGCAAAGCCACTCGCGGTCTGCTGGCACACGCATGAGCAGCATGCCACAGGCCCACAAATGGCAGACTTGCAAATACCATTTTACTGAACGTGCCTGCATCGCGTACTGCATGAAAAGCGAGGTTGGCTTCGTTGATAAGCGATGCGTTTCTCTTTTTTTTTAAATAATAAATCACGTTTAACCAACCCGCTAAACTCGCTCTTGTAGCCACAGAAGTGGATCCTTATTCCTACTGAAAAATATATATATTTTCTGAAAACTGTTTGGAACAAAAAAAAGATTCTGTGTTGCTGCTCCACGTTTGTGAAAGTACTCCTTGCTGCTCATCTCGAGTTTTGGTTCCCTCCCCCACCTCCCTCTATTTTCCTAGAAAGGCAAAACAGAGATTACTTTCACGTACACTGAACCCCTCTTTCTGGCACCTCTTGCCCCCACATGTGTTCGGTTTCTTTATCCAATTCGCGTGTTTTTACATCAATGTTAGACTAAAACGTAAAGCTTACTCGTACTTTTACCAAACTTTCCCTGGCACCTCTTGCGCTTATATTATATAGTTCATAAAAGCCCGTCTTCGCAAAGCAAAAGTTTTCAATTAATATAATTAACCTGACTTATTTTTTACAGTTTGTATCTACGATCAGACACTTCACTCCAAAAATGTGCATTTTTGCGCAAAAAAATACATAAATTGACGACTTGATTCAACTTCTTATAAAAGACGTACCATCGGAAACCGCTCGATTTAAAGATTCCGTTATTTTTTTAATTATAAAGAAATAAAATTAACTTAATACTCTAAAGGGAAGCTCCAATCTTTTACCGTTTTCGAATTATTCAGATTTTATCATAAAATGCATATTTTAATCCAAAAACACTTGAATCTGCAATATCTGAAAAACAAACAAAAAATATAACAATGGTTCTCGCTTTAATTTAACTTGTAGTTTAGCGCTCTAGCAAACTAAAAAAAACGCAATATTCCATTTTAACAGTTTCTAAATGAAAAAGGCAGACATTTATGGGGCACTTAAAATAAGAAACCTCTAATTTTCACATGTTCCCCATTGTTTAGGTCCTAAAATCTTCCTGTGTGGAGCTCCTTCCAGCTTTCTACCTTGTTGAAAAGTAACGTAGAGGTTTTTAAGACAGATTAAGGTCTTCATTTAGATACAGATTTCCACTGGTTTTTTTTATTCGTGTGTGTTTCTTTTGTGACCATGAGACGTCTTTTTTACGTTGTGAAATACTCCGTAAGGGTATTGCTGTACTCATTCTCTTCAATATCGACGATGTTTGTTGTTTTTGTTGTGCTCACGCATCACCCATTGTGAAATAGCCAGGAAACTGGCTAACGGGACCATCCACGGTAACAAATAAAAATTAACCAATAACTGAAAGAAGTTTTAAAAAACTTGGTATTGTCATTATTACAATTTCATGACAAGCATGTTTTTTTGCCCGCTAAAAAAAATCATCTACGTATATTAAACTATACATGGTACGGCTAACACTGTCAAACGATTAAACATTTAGCGTGATCAAATAGTACAACGTTTATAGAACTTGATTACGACCTCTGCTATCTTCTAAATTTTTTACGTTCTACAATAAACTCCTCCGACTGTTGCAGAGTTTGGGGGGGGGGGAGTTGTTTCGTTGTAAAGTGTTAGAGGGATATCACACATGTAACGATGCAGATTATCAAGTGTGGCGAGGAAGCGAGAGATGGGGGGGGGAGGCTGGAGAGATGGGGAGGACAAACCGTACTGCAAGCAGTACTTGTGTTTGTGTCAAGGGTTTCACAATAGTTTGCCGTGTCACGGTTTCAAAATAGCCACTGGCGGTCAATGGAATTGGAATGACAGCATGCGTGCTCGTGTGTTATGTCCACCCGTTGGGAAAGTAGATCAGTGATTACATTACTGTACTTCGATTAGTTTCAGTTGAATGAAGATAATTTTAAAAACTCAACCGTGGTAATCGTAAAAGTGTACACCATTTGAACTAGAGTTCCATTCTCCGCAACTGCCTATGGTAAATATACACACAATATTGTAGCAGCTTTACTGTTGCGACATTTTATTTTTAGAAATCAAGCCACGTGCAAGGTTTTTCAGTGCTAAAATATCACAAATCCTGCTTAATTCGCCACCGTCACTTGCTTATCTATTTTCGAAATACATGCTGGTGGCATTTCATAGTGACTGTGAACTTCACCTATCAAGGCCTCTTTGTCTACCAAACAATATCCATCTCATACCATACCACACCGTGATCAACCATGAATACTGCAGGTCAGAGCAGCTCCATTCCCTCCCATCGACGTTTTATTTCCCCTCAAGCTCCAATTACCTTGCTCAATTAAAGACACTTGCAACACAACTCACCGATTACAACTTTGTGACACTTTTATTTGGCCCTATAATTTAAAACTCATAAGCGGCGCCCCTTGGTATTTAATGAACCGATAGCTAAACAAATTCGAGGTAAAGAGTCACTTGTCTTTAAAATATGTCAACATGCCAAACACTCGTTAACAATAGAATCGGCCCAACCCAAAGGAGGATCTTCCTGAAAGACAACCTTAAGGACTGGCTTAAGAGATAACGAATTATTATTATATACGGTAACACGCGTCTCGACATGGTTAAAGAATTAGACCCACCAACGGGAAGGGGTTAAAAGTCCAAACCCCAAGTAGCTCAAAAAACTTGCCACATCATCCTTGGTCAAGGTCTAAAAATTAATCAGAATATTTATTTAGACAGCAAGGAATCCGATGAGCTATAAAGCTCTTTTTTCACAGATTTCCAGTAGGGGCGGGTAAGAGCGTTACAACAGACAGTGCACACAATCCTAGGTAAACAAATCATACATACAAATAACACAAAACAATCCCCATCCTCCCAGCCAAAGCCCACCGAGACATTAATTTATCTTTCAGAAGCGAGCTGGCCACAAATGATAGCTCAACAAAAGGTGGCCCATCATTTGGACATTAATAGCAAGCAAAATAATCTAAACAAATCTCAAATGCTTGTTTCTAAAAGCGCTGTAATGAATGGCAATGACCCTCCTCCTCCTTGAATAAGCATCGTCACACGACCCTGTGACCCACACTGCGCAGTCAGAGAGAGGCCTTCATCCAGCAGGATGGGTTCTTAGTCCACCTAGAAATTGGCCACCCAGTGTTGCAATTGATTTTTATACCAACACACTCACCCTTGCTGCGGTAAAATGTGGAATTTCCACAATTGTCGACAAACAGCGGGGGAGGGGGGGGGTCGATCAATTCTCTCATCAACAGCACAACACGGCGCGGCAATGATCGTTATCGTTGACGAAGAACCAATGCGCTCGCACGCAGTCCATCGATCACCCCCCCCACCAACTACAACAACGAGCTCGCGCCAACAAACAAGCGCCCCACCTGGACGAATAATAACGCCGGGCCTGCAGCAACAGGGCGCAGCCAGAGCAGGCCCGTGCCTCGTGGCTTTGCGGCGGCCGCGGGCCCTGCCGGGGCAAGAAGGGTCCTGGCCCGCCGCCCGCCACGAGGGAGGCGAGGAGGCCGTGACCGGGTTGGCGACGGAGGTACGAGAAGGTGCGAAGCGCCATGACCGCGAAAATCCACGGAAGGCTTCGAATGACCGCGGGCGTTTGTGGCGTGGTGGTCGTGCGCGTGGTGCGTCCCTTTTATAGCCGCGCAAACCCCCCCCCCCCCCCGCGCAGCGTCGCGCCGTCTGATTGGTCGAAGGAGCGCGCGCGCGTACACACGCCGCGTAAGCCAATCATGAGGGGGGGCGATGACCCCATTCTCATTGAGACTTTTGAGTTGACATGCCAGGCTAGAGGTTTTTTATTGGGGGGGGGGGGGGAGGGCCTCTAGGAGTTGGTGCGTTGGTTGACAATGGATTTAATGTTGTCCCTTTTTTTTGGCGGGTGAAATTTTTTTATATATACAAATTTTTTAAAAAGATTATCTTTAGTTTTTTGGTGGGGGATTTTTTTTTAAAATCCTCTCGGGAGTTGGAGGCGTTGGTTTACAATGGATTTAATGTTGTCTCTTTTTTGACGGGTTAATTTTTTTTAAACATATAAATAAAAATAGATCTATTTTTTTCAATATTTTTGTTTTGGTGGCGTATAAGCCCGCCGTCGTTCGCCGGTTTCGCGTCGACTGAAAATAACGTGGCGCGATGTTCTCTAGAGACGTCACCCGTTTCACACGTGATGGAGTTGTTTTGCTTCGTTATCAAACTGGAAACGCTGACACGAGATTCAAACCAACAACAATAAAAACAAATGCCGATTTTGGACGCCAGGCTCATTTGACGAGCGTCAAAGTGGATGGATGAGCGACTTTGAAATTCTTGGACACAACTCGTGGCGACCCCCCCAACCACCCCCCCTACCACCACCACCCCCAATCACCCCCCCCAATCACCACCCCCCCCGATCACCACCCCCCCCTACCCCCCCCCCCCCACCACCTCCAACCCCCCAACCACCCACAACCCCCCCAAACCACCACCCCCCTCCCTACCACCACCTCCAACTCCCCCAACCCCCCCCCTATCACCACCCCCCCTACCCCCCCCACCACCACCTCCAACCCCCCCCAACCACCCACAACCCCCCCCCAAACCACCACCCCCCTACTACCACCTCCAACCACCACCCCCCCTACCACCACCACCCCCCCTACCACCACCTCCAACCAGCCCAACCACCAACCCCCCCAATCACCACCCCCCTACCACCACCACCCCCCCTACCCCCCCCACCACCACCTCCAACTCCCCCAACCACCCACAACCCCCCCCAAACCACCACCCCCATACCACCACCACCCCCCTACCCCCCCTACCACCACCACCCCCCCCCTACCACCACCTCCAACCCCCCAACCACCCACAACCCCCCCCCAAACCACCACCACCCTACCACCACCTCCAACCACCACCCCACCTTACCACCTCCAAACCACCCTACCACCACCCCATATCACCAACCCCCAACCACCCCAACCCCCCCCCCAACCACCCCCCAACCACCACTCCTAACCACCCTCAATCACCCCCCTCTCTGTGTTGTTGTTCCTCCTCACCCCCCCCCCTCTCTGTGTTGTTGTTCCTCCTCACCCCCCCCCCCCCCCCCGTGTTGTTGTTCCTCCTCACCCCCCTCTCTGTGTTGTTGTTCCTCCTCACCCCCCCTCTCTGTGTTGTTGTTCCTCCTCACCCCCCCTCTCTGTGTTGTTGTTCCTCCTCACCCCCCCTCTGTGTTGTTGTTCCTCCTCACCCCCCCCCCCCCTCTCTGTGTTGTTGTTCCTCCTCACCCCCCCCCCTCTGTGTTGTTGTTCCTCCTCACCCCCCCTCTCTGTGTTGTTGTTCCTCCTCACCCTCACCCCCCCCCCCCTCTCTGTGTTGTTGTTCCTCCTCACCCCCCCTCTCTCTGTGTTGTTGTTCCTCCTCACCCCCCCCCTCTGTGTTGTTGTTCCTCCTCACCCCCCCTCTCTGTTTTTTTGTTCCTCCTCACCCCCCCTCTGTGTTGTTGTTCCTCCTCACCCCCCCCCCTCTGTGTTGTTGTTCCTCCTCACCCTCACCCCCCCCTCTCTGTGTTGTTGTTCCTCCTCACCCCCCCTCTCTCTGTGTTGTTGTTCCTCCCCACCCCCCCCCCCGTGTTGTTGTTCCTCCTCACCCCCCTCTCTGTGTTGTTGTTCCTCCTCACCCCCCCCCTCTCTCTGTGTTGTTGTTCCTCCTCACCCCCCCCCCCCCTCTCTCTGTGTTGTTGTTCCTCCTCACCCTCACCCTCTCTGTGTTGTTGTTCCTCCTCACCCCCCCTCTCTGTGTTGTTGTTCCTCCTCACCCTCACCCTCTCTGTGTTGTTGTTCCTCCTCACCCTCCCCCTCTCTGTGTTGTTGCTCCTCCTCACCCCCCCCCCCTCTCTGTGTTGTTGCTCCTCCTCACCCCCCCCCCTCTCTCTGTGTTGTTGTTCCTCCTCACCCTCCCCCTCTCTGTGTTGTTGTTCCTCCTCACCCCCCCTCTCTGTGTTGTTGGTCCTCCTCACCCCCCCTCTCTGTGTTGTTGTTCCTCCTCACCCCCCTCTCTGTGTTGTTGTTCCTCCTCACCCCCCCCCCCTCTCTGTGTTGTGTTCCTCCTCACCCCCCCCCCTCTCTGTGTTGTTGTTCCTCCTCACCCCTGTGTTGTTGTTCCTCCTCACCCCCCCCTCTCTGTGTTGTTGTTCCTCCTCACCCCCCTCTCTGTGTTGTTGTTCCTCCTCACCCCCCCCTCTCTGTGTTGTTGTTCCTCCTCACCCCCCTCTCTGTGTTGTTGTTCCTCCTCACCCCCCCCCTCTCTGTGTTGTTGTTCCTCCTCACCCCCCCTCTCTGTGTTGTTGTTCCTCCTCACCCCCCCTCTCTGTGTTGTTGTTCCTCCTCACCCCCCTCTCTGTGTTGTTGTTCCTCCTCACCCCCCCCCCTCTCTGTGTTGTGTTCCTCCTCACCCCCCCCCTCTCTGTGTTGTTGTTCCTCCTCACCCCTGTGTTGTTGTTCCTCCTCACCCCCCCCTCTCTGTGTTGTTGTTCCTCCTCACCCCCCTCTCTGTGTTGTTGTTCCTCCTCACCCCCCCCCTCTCTGTGTTTTTGTTCCTCCTCACCCCCCCTCTCTGTGTTGTTGTTCCTCCTCACCCCCCTCTCTGTGTTGTTGTTCCTCCTCACCCCCCCCTCTCTGTGTTGTTGTTCCTCCTCACCCCCCCCCTCTCTGTGTTGTTGTTCCTCCTCACCCCCCCCCTCTCTGTGTTGTTGTTCCTCCTCACCCCCCTCTCTGTGTTGTTGTTCCTCCTCACCCCCCCCCTCTCTGTGTTGTTGTTCCTCCTCACCCCCCCTCTCTGTGTTGTTGTTCCTCCTCACCCCCTCTCTGTGTTGTTGTTCCTCCTCACCCCCTCTCTGTGTTGTTGTTCCTCCTCACCCCCCCCCCCCTTGTTGTTGTTCCTCCTCACCCTCACCCCGGAGGTGATGGAAGCCACCAGCAGGAAATCGTCAACGCCGCCCGCCAGCCACCGCGTCGCACATCGATGACACCCGCGTCGCGCTTTAAACACGCACACTTAAAATAATAATAATACTAGTATTATTAGTAATCACCAGCATCATAAATTGTCGATCGTCGTTACCTTTACGCAATCTCGTAATTCGCACAGACGTCTCTTTTTTAATCTCGAGGGCGGCGGGTGGTGGTTGAGGTGGTGGTTGTGGTGGTGGTTGACGGTGGTGGTGGTGGTTGTGGTGGTGGTTGACGGTGGTGGTGGTGGTTGTGGTTGTGGAGGTGGTTGACGGTGGTGGTTGTGGAGGTGGTTGACGGTGGTGGTTGACGGTGGTGGTGGTTGTGGTGGTGGTTGACGGTGGTGGTTGACGGTGGTGGTTGTGGTGGTGGTTGACGGTGGTGGTGAATCTGTGGGGACGACGAGGCGGGGGAGGCCCCGTGACCTTTGCGTGCCGCTGGGTGAGAGGCGTCCTCTGCGGGCCCCCCCCCCCCCCGCTGCTACTGCTGCCCCGCTCTCTGCCTCTCACGCCGCTCCACTCGGCACGCCGCTCCACGTTCGTTTCTCTTCCCTACGAGAGACGAGACCGTGAGTGGGGGGCCCCGCAGGCTTCTTTCGTGTTATCGACCGGGGGGGGGAGGGAGGAGGGGAGATAACGACAACAACAACAATCATTCATTATTCGTGCGTGTTGTTGTTGTTGTGTAATAGCCACAGCGCAATGGTTGATGTAGAAGAAGCTCGTTCGTGTCGGACGATCGACGTTGGGGGGGAGGGAGTTCGTGAACGCGCCGGAGCAGAGCGGTACAGAGCCGCCACTGGTAGGGGAGTCACTTGGAGCTTTGGTGGGGTGGTGGTGCGGGAGACCTCGGGGTGCAGACGTTTCAGTTCGCCCCAGATCTTGACGCCTACCGATAGAAACGTTTCTGATCGACCTCGGATACAGGTCGTACGGCGCGGAACCGGAGATTATACACAGTACAGTATATTATATACACAGTACAGTATATTATACACGGTACAGTATATTATACACGGTACAGTATATTATACACGGTACAGTATATTATAGACAGTACAGTATATTATATACACAGTACAGTATATTATATACAGTACAGTCTATTATACATAGTACAGTATATTATATACACAGTACAGTATATTATACACGGTACAGTATATTATACACAGTACAGTATATTATACACAGTACAGTATATTATAGACAGTGCAGTATATTATACACAGTACAGTATATTATATTATACACCGTACAGTATATTATGTACAGTACAGTATATTATACACAGTACAGTCTATTATACACAGTACAGTATATTATGCACAGTACAGTATATTATACACAGTACAGTATATTATACATACACACGCACGCGCGCGCGCATTGCATTCTGTTGGATGTTCGGACACAAGAGTGATAATTATTGTGCTTGAGCGATAGATAAAAAAGTCCCGTTCTCCTTAACCTTGCAGACAGGGTGGAGCAGTCCCGTTCTGGGACCTACAGACGTGAAAAGTGCCGAGGCCTTAGATCGCTTGGGGCCAGAGAAGGCCCGAGTGCGCGCCTGCCTCGCCTAGCGTCCCCGCCGCCTCCATCGCCTCCTCTTCCGCCCGCATCCTCCCACCGCCACCGCACCCGGTGTGGTTCTCGGGGTCACGATGGCCACGGCTGTGAAGATGACCGCCCGCGTTCGCGACGCGTTCTCGTCGGCCCTGAGGGACGAGTCCCTGGCGGGAGAGCTGAGAGCGGAGCTGGAGGCGGCGCTGAGGGAGCAGGACGGAGCCGTTCCCTTCACCACGCTGCGCCACCTCCACGGGGCTTCACGGAGCCAACGTAGGCAACTGCTTGCTGGTCGTGTGCTAAATTCGTTTATATATGTGTGTGTTTGTGTGGTGCTGGTTGGACATTGTCTTTGGTTCTTTCGGTAAAGTCACGTAGAATGGGAATAAAATAATAAATTGATACAATAAAATAACACAATAAAATTCTCACGACGTTTCGGCCACAACACAAGCTGCCTTCATCAGGTGAAGGAACGAGACTGTCTGGAGGACAGCGCTGGAGCGAACACAGGCAAGCTCAGATCGCGACCTTTAAGCTGTGTGAGAAGAAACAGAGCGCCTTGACAAATGAATTAGCATAGAATTTAGCATTGAAATAGCTGAGTGATTAGCTTGTGACTGGTCACAGAAATGGCTATGTTAAAGTCAAAGCATACACATTCACAGAGGCACCTAGTTGGTTGGACATTGTTGGGTCCACGCGCAAGTGGGTTTTCCTATTCGCCCGTTTTTTTGTAACCCAACAATAAATACTGCGTGTGAATGTATCTGCCGTGGTGTTAATGGCCTTCATAGGTGCTCGCGAATATAGCACGTTGTCCCGACAGTCTGTTCAGGCTATACGGGGAGGATCTATGGTGTAATCATTAGCACACTGCACCTGCAATCCAGAGGTGGCCTGTTCGATCCCCTGTTGAAAACAATGCGCAACTTTTCTTAAAGCATTTGTCCACCCAACAGTATAATTGGGTTACTTCCACAGTCGATTAGCATATTGCGTGTGGTGGGGTAAAGTGTGGGTATGCCCTCCTCTTCCAAAACGTTTGGCCAGCGTGGAAGGTCAAGAGTAGGTCTGGTCTTTAGACCAGGACATGTTTACATATTCATAACCTTTTTGAAATGTCTGCATATTTAAGATGCAGTGAATGAGAAACAAGGGTAAGAGTGTAATAATTCGTACTTTAAATGGGAAACCAAGTTATGGTGTATGACAATATTGGAAAAATGTAGTTAATTGGGGGGAAAACGCCCAAGTGTTACATAGGGGTGACTGTGGTGGTAATACAGGCTTAGGTCTTGCACAACTAAAACGTTATTCTATTTGTTTTTTTCGGTCAAGTCACGTAGGTAAAAAAATGCAACCAACTAATTAAAATCACGACGTTTCGAAGGCAACACAAGCTTCCTTCATCAGGTATAAAAAAGGCACAGCAAAATAATTGTAGAGTCTGTGCCTTTTTTACACCTGATGAAGGAAGCTTGTGCTGCCTCCGAAACGTCGTGATTTAATTTGGTTTTCATTTTTTATTTTTTTACCTACGTGACTTTACCGAAAAATAACAAAGAGTATGAATCCTTGTAGTCACGAAAGCTTCAGATCTAGAATAAAACGTTGTAAAGCAGTGTGATCTGTTGATGTACAACATTGAGCCAACAACATTTTAATCTATGTATGTGGTACTTCTTACACACCGTACATAGCCAACCATGCCAATCGGAGGTGCGGGGGCAGGACAACAACCTAAACACAAAGAGCAGTTCTAAAGAAATTAGTTTTCAATATAGATTTTGAAGTGCATAGGCAATACGTGGTTGGTAACTGGTGTGATTTGATCTTTCGTGGTCATACAGGCTACAATATATTCATCGTCATTTTGCCATACTGTCCTCCACCAAGGGAATGTAGATTATTTTATCACTGGCTCACGGCCCCTAACAGAGACGAACACCACCCCAATGCTTATTTTAACAGGGGGACTCTTTAACCCGATTTAACCCTTGTTTGAAAAATATCGGAATACGTTTTTAATACATGTTGATTTGTCATTTACAGAGGAGCCGCTCTATCTGCATGAACTCCTGGAAGGCAGTGAGCTTTATTTTCCTGAACCTGAGAAACCTGCCAGGGTAAGTAAGGTGAACTAATTGTCATGGACATTAATTAAGGAAATAATAGAAGGTACATATAAGCTTCCATTTACATGGCATCCGAATATAACATTCCAGAAAGGCAATGTTGTTCGGCAGTGGCCCTTCTTTATCTGACATCAGAATGGATACTACTCAAAACGTCGCTTATTATATTCTTCCTTTTAAGGCATCGTTATTGACAAATGTGTTGCGTTTTTGGTTTTGCACCACTGCCAACGCTATATCACAAAATAATTAGGTATAATTATAGGTGGCTGAAATCCCAATTTAGAACACAGAGCCTCATAGGTGCTGGCCCAGTTGTTCTGAAGTGGTGCTAGTCCCCCTGAGTTGCCAAGCTATCTTTGTTGACTTTTTTTCTCCTTGACTGCGTGCGGTGCCATGTAGAATCCAGAGCTGGTGGCACGACTGGAGAAGCTAAAAGCTCAACAGGACAATGCGGAATACAGGCGCATGGTCCGGAACGTTGACTGCAAGGTTTGTGTGCTGTGCGCGCGTTTGTGTACAACGGTAGAGGTGAGAGGCAAGGTGTGCTTTACTCACGCCACTGGGTGCAAGGGCTTCCACGAGAGACAGCGATAGGTTATTTTGATATTCTTTTTCCACGCCACCCCCGGACGTTCTTGAAAGAGGGTGGGAGCACCGCACGTTACCCCACAAGACGCGACCTGCCCATCGATGGACTTGGGTAGACAGAGGCCGGAGGGGATTTAAGAAACTTTCCCCATCGTTTCATCTGCAGCACCAGTATAACCGGCGATCCATGGATTTGCAAGTCCAGTGTCCGAACAGTTACACCACGGCAGCATTCCATTATGTATTTGACAGCACTTGTTACGTCCAAGCACCTGTCGATCACAACTAGCAATACAGCTAAGGGTTCTGATAGAGGGATATTTGACTATAATGAGGTTAAGACGCATTAGAATATGCATTTAAGCCAATATATAATAATCACATTTTTTATTACATCTGGATGCACCTGTACTCCCATTTATATTCCGGTAGGGTTCTATCCCCCTCCCCGGATACCGTCGACGCGTTGTACCGAGCTTTGCTTGCTTACCACAGTAAAAACATTGAACAAAAAATGTTTTTATTTAATGTGCAACACAAACACAATCGAGGTTACACATATTGGCGTGGGAAAAATATGTGGGCGGAAGCTGTGCCGTCTGGGCGATTCTCCCCGTAGTGGGGGGCCGGTTAGAGTTCACCAGGTTCTGGTGCCGTTTCCTACAGCGGTCGGGGCCAATGGTTGGGAGCGGGAGATTAACGAAGGGAGGGGAGGGGAGAACGGCGGGGTGGGGGGGGGGTGAAAATATAGTTCAATATTATTTATATTATTTGTACAAGTTGAAATAAATTTGTCATGTTTAAGCTGTAATTAAATATATTTTAAGGATTTTTATGAACATTCTACAAATTATAAATGCAAGTAACAAACAGCAGAAGAACATGATAAGAGCCAACATATCTGATTGGCATGTCATCATTATAAGCAATCCACTGCGCAATTTCCGCCTTCTAAAATGCTTGTGTTTGTAATTGGCAAACGGTGACTTATTGAAAGCTGAATTAATGCAATCGATTATCTTGATTTTACTTTTCAGCGGCTGAATCAGTACGGCTCGATCGAAGACATAGGAAAGGAAAGTAAGATTTCTCTTCACAGTCTGTGTTTTGCGAGCAAAATTCCAAGTCGGTTGGATTAACGACATCACCAAACCGAAACTCTTTCCGAAAACGATCAATAATTAAAATATTAAAATATAGTATTTATACTGACGTGATGTCACGATGTAAACATCTCATTTCCTGACTTTAATTTGAAAGTCTATTTAAACCAGGGGTGAGGATTCTCTTCTTTAGCCCATCCCTTTATTCTAGATTTGATTCTTTAGCCCATCCCTTTATTCTAGATTTGAAGCTTTCGTGACTGCAAGGTATTTACCTACGTGACTTTACTGAAAAAAAAACAAAGAGTATCATCCCTTTATTGTTTACTTCTTGCAGCCTTTTATCAATCCACTGCTGAATGAAGACCTCCCCATGCCGTGCCAGTCATGTCATTAGACCATACTTCACCACGCCAGTCGGTGTGTGTGTTGGGGGTAGTTAATAGTGCCATTGTGCGGGAAGTCAAGGGTACTGTATTTGTCTTCTGGAGAAACCGACCTCTGCGATGAGCAGGTTAAATCTCCACTCCTGGCTTAGGGCTGCCAAAGTAGATGAGCAATGCTTGTTTGAGCAGGGAGATAAGTTTTATGTAAGTGAGCAGAAGGCACTTGTGTTTTTAAAGTTGTTATTTTCGCTGCCACATCCGGTATAATGAGTCATATGGAGTTGCTTGTTTTGTTATCCACAGTGAAGTCCGTGAAGGCGATGGTCGTGACCATGTTCAATTTCCTGATTACGGTGGTGGCAGCGTACGTGTGCGTCTACCTGGCCAGTCAGTACGTGCTTCCCAACACCACCTCTGTAAGTGCAGGGATAGGGTGGGATTATTAAATACACATTACATGACATTATGTACCACATAACAGTATTCCAGTGCATACTGTTCATCTCGCCGATATCCTGACATTTTGTGCCTCAATTGGCGGGAGGTGCTGCCACTTGGTGCTCAGTTGGGCTACGTGTGACCCACGCCACTGGCAAACCCTGCGCAGACTCGGTTACCGGTTTAGCTGACCATACTGGGATTTGGCAAATACAAAAAAAAGTGTTGAAACCGAATTGAATCTCTATCTGAATCTCTATCTGCATTCAAATCTATCTCATTCCTGATAATTACACACATACACATGTTGAACACATTTCTTAAAAGATAAATTGGCCAAATATCTCAAAGCAGAGCCCTCCTGAAAATAATCTTGAGGTTCAGGGAGGCTTTCTTGGATAAACAAATTACATTATTGTTTATTTATGGTATGTGATGAATTAATAAAATATATTTGATGCTCATGATACATGCATATAGTTGTGCCATTGAGAATAATTTATAATTATTAAATGGTGTCTTAAGGTGGCACAGTGGCTAACGCACAATGCTACAAACCCAGTGACTTTATTTGAATTCCCGACCGCCGCTAACATCAGTGGTGATTAATATCCACACTGACCAGCATGATGAAGAATGGTAACCCACACAACCGGACAGCCTCAACCAGCAGTGAATTGACAAAGGGCTTTTAGATGATATGATGTATGTAAATAGTTTCTATAACACCTACAGCTATAAGAGGTACTCCTACTCCCTCCCTCATCCTCTCATTTGGCAAGGTGAAATTAGCAACGTTATATGTAGCTATCGAGTTTATTAATTAATTTCTATCGCCTCTCGGAAGGCTTGATGGACATCTGCCATGCCCTGTTCCACAGCGGTTTAAGGCTGACCCGGAGTTGCTTGATTAGGGCGAACACCTCGGAGGATGTTCTTGTGTGGGGTCACAATCGAGCCCCTTGTTCGCGACGGTGGTGTTGCGGACACGTTTCCCACCGCTGTTCGTCCGGGCAGAAGTAACTAGCGTTGAGGGCTTTGTGGCCCTGCTCCACAAGGGTAGGGGGGGGCGGAACTTGAGGGAGTGACATTGAGGGGGTTTGAGAACTCCTCGTGTCTAGAGGTAGCTCCGGGTTGTGCATGATGCACTGGTGCATCAAGCATGTTGTGCCCGAGCAAGTCTCTTTCCAAGGCTCACCCTGACTTTGGTTTTGTTGCGGGCTCCTTCGAGATTGCTTCTGACGACGTCTGAAAGTCAGCCTCCTATCCCAATGGGTGCTACATATTCGCCACAATGTTAAATTAAGTTACTCTTGAGTTTTGTGTGGTGGGGTAAAGTGTGGATACTCCCACCTATTTTGAGATGTCTGGTCTGCTTGGAAGAGTAGGCCAAATTACTCTCCAGAGCGGTTTTCTAGAGGTCCCTCAAGTGGAGGCCTTTCCACCAGCAGTGGCATGAGCAAGCAATTGGAAAGACTGTACATTTGCCATTACCTTTCATAAGCATATATTACTTTTACACAGGTATCATGAGTGCTATGAGGAGAGTTGAAGTGTGATGCAATGGTTAGCAAATTGCACTCTGAACCCTGCGGCCTGAGTTTGATTCCCGACCATGACTAACTGGTCATGAGCCCTTCCACGTGACAAATCAGTAATGATCAGAGCAGTAAAATTTGGTTAAACTATCGCCAAGACCGAGACGGCATGGAAGAGGTTGATAAAAGCATGCACAATTATTTTGTGTCATTGTCAGAAGTGTTGGAAGTGATCTTAATTTATTTAACTTGATATCCCAAATGCTTACCAATGGTTGTTGCAGTGCTTGTGTACACTAAATCTCTTAATGGATGGTTTCCATTGTGCAAAATACCCTGTAAAATAATCGGCTTATCTCTTTTAACGAGGCGTTTATTTAGAAATAAAATGTTCTGTCGGTACAACCTGTTTATACCGAATGAAACCACGGTGCAGTGTTTTGCCGTGCTCACGATACAAGCACAAATTGTTTTGTGATGGTGAACATAACGTCATGTGATATCTGATTTCGCCTTAGTCCAAGGCGGTTTTGTGACACAGGAAACCCCCTCTATGTTCTCGAGGGTCTATATTCTTGAAAAAACACTCGCAAATGCATAATTCTCGAATGCAGAAACCTTGTTCCAGTGGGGGAAAAATGGGGTTACGTTCCTGGTACGAGTGAACATTGGGGGGAGATGGTAAATATTTAACAACAATGGCTAAAATAATTACGTTATAGAGAACAATCTTTTTGTTGATTACCTTTGATGGTGATTTGACGATGGACTGAGGTGGTGGTGATGGTGAGGAATTCAGGAGTACGACTCCTCGGGAGATGCAGCTGTTTGATAACAACGTCGCACAGTTATCATTTTAGCACTCTGGGGGAGCGTGAGCCGCAACACTTTCCCCGATTGCATTCGCGTTCTTTTTAACAAACCGCGTAGTCGGCAAGTTTATACCAACATGTATAAACGAGTCGACTGTAAGTCCGTATAAAGTAAAAGTAATGTCGAGTTCAAAGCGGGATTACTTGCGAGACTGAGGACAACGCGGGCATACAAAGGGGCGTGCCTAACCTTCGCACACCGTTTCAAATGTAACAACATTCTGCGCGCACCTCCCCGGTGTCGGAAGTGTGGCACCACGTACACCCGCCAATACCGGAGCCCGGCGGGTCGCGAATAGGGACCTGCTATACATTTAGTCACCCGCGAATCCAGAACTCGCGCGTAGCGAGGGTTTACTGTACACTATTTTACATGTTTCTATTGCAATGTGTTGGGTGTACAGTATTTTTTTTTATAAACACGCTGTGTGTGACAGTCATTTATTTGAATATAAAGTGTGCGCGAGAGAGAGATACGGCGGGCGAGAAAATAAGGGGGCAAGATGACGCGACGTACACAAAGATGCTCGAGGTAGAGGAAGGCACGCCGTGTATCACAGCGCGATCATCGGTACTACAGTTCCAGCTCCCAGCATCACCGAACAACGCTGCCAACACTCGTGCTGCTCAGGAAAGTAGTCCGTCACACGCTAGACTCGCGTTATAGCGGGCGCGTTGCGCCTTAAGCGAAACCCGTTCCATGAAAATAAAACCGCGTTAACGAAAAATTGCGCAGTGTGTGAACACCCGTTACATTTTACATTTCTTGGCTGTAGTGATGGAAACTTGATTGTCGTGATGAATACTTGAATGAGGCTGGAATTGCATGCAAAATATGACCACCACAGAAGGAGTGATCATGTGTCTTCATGTGCATGACTGTCAGCATGGGGAAGCTTCATCCAGCAGTGGATAGATGATGGCTACTAATGATCTATCATTGCGATGATTTACCATACTCGGCACAAAGAAAACCACGCCGCTCTGCGCATTCACTCTTGTTGGATGATACTGGTAGGAACCTCCTGGTTACACCAGCCCATGGGATTATTGTGTCCGTCCGTCGTGCACCCAAAAATGGCAGGGGTGGTGCTGGGTGGAGAGGGGAGGGTGGGGAGGGTGGGGCTGGGTGGGGAGGGGAGGATGGGGAGGGGCTGGGTGGGGAGGGTGAGGAGGGGCTGGGTGGGGAGGGTGGGGCTAGATGGGGGATGGGAGGGGTGGGGCTGGGTGGGGAGGGACTGGTCACCCCGTGGTGCCCTTATAAAACTCAACGTTTAACCTACTCACGTCGGCTTGTGCACGCCCTCACAGTCGGGCATATTTGCGGAATACACCATGCCACCGTTGACCCTGGCCATTGACCGAGCAACCCAGCGTTCCTACCAGCCCCCTCCGCAGGAATGCGTTGTTCGCAGTGCTGTGTGGAGGTGCCTTGCGAGAGATGGCAGTGATAAAAACACGTGCATACACCGCCCCCTGCTGAACTTAGCGGTGTCAACTCAGCGCTCTGTAACTCCCTCTGAGCCACCCGAATATCTCTGTGTTGTTCCTGACATTGTTTTTTTTGTAAATGTGCCTCTCCCACGGGCCCTCTGAAATGCGCGTAACGCTCGGCCTGTGTTTGCTTCCGGCAGCGTGTGCTTGCAGGAGTGATCGCCGCCTCCGTCGTGGGACTGGCAGAGCTCTACGCGCTCGTGAAGACTGTGGAGGGGGAGATGGGAAACCTATAGCCCCGCACACAACGGCCACACGCTCCACTGGGCCGCGTAATGATTCAACAACCAATTACCACACCACCCCTGTGGTACCATTGGGCGAGGGGTGGGAGGAGTCGCTGCAGGAACTGAGCACCCGCCACCCCCCTACTTCTCTCCCCACTGCATGCCCAGCTCCATTTCCAAATGAGAATTTTGTATTTATTCCGTCAGTATAAGTCCTGCACAGCAGTGGTTAACTCCTGTCTATCCCTGGGGGGGGGGGATGATACCTCAAATGCCCGTCCCCTCTCTCCAACCTCCCCATTTCCAATTTCTTGTAATCAAGTCAAAACATTTAACAGTCGGAGGGGAGCTCTACAAAATGCTAAAATTGACACAATTAAGCGATGGGTGTGCTCAGCCTTTCCCCAATACACCGGAGGAGGTGAGAGCGAGACCAGAATATGTGATAGGCAACAGCAGGTCGTATTGTTACGCATTCTGATCACCGTTGAACATCTTAGCATGTTTTTTTCACGTGGACTATGTTGTGCCACCCCTCAGTTTGTATGCTTCCCGTTTAAACAACGTCACACTACTGGGCTGCCCAACCCTGTCACGATTTGTTGATTTGTCACGATTTGGGACCATAGTTTCAAGAATCAATCACATTGTTTTTCATTGTTTTGTTTGTCCATGTCTTTCATACCATTGGCAAAAAACGTAACATTTTAATAGATTTTCCGTAATCATAATCACTTTCATACACGTGCAATGCATGCATTGTGAGCATAATCAATTTTAAATCGATTACCCATTGCATGCCTAAGAGTGATCATGCAATTGCAGTAATGCAATGATAACGTTGTCTTAAGCAAACTGCAGCTGTCCATTTTTAGCTGAATAGTTTTTCACACGAAATGTTAAGTGCGAACTTGTACACTCCTGAGACATGTGTTGGTTGGTCGGTGTGTCCAAGTTTGGAGAATTGTGTAGAATTCGTATTTAATTGTTCCCTTCATGAATGTTGAGCAGGACAAAATACGTATGTGATGAGCTGGATAAAGGACACCTTACCCTGATTTACGTATGTCTGTATGTATGTTGAACTTCTTTCACACCGTACGCAGTCAACCGATGCTGCAGGCCAGTATCTAGGCTGACCATTGTAGTCTGCTGTCCACCTGGACATTCTCACTGTCAGTGGTTAGACAGGCCATCCACATCACTGGAGTGGATTACATCATTATATTTGATTATCACTGCAGATGGTAAATGCTGTACGTTCCTTTTGTCCAGACATCGATTAAGGCCTGCAATTGCCCGGACTGCCAAACCATGCTGCAATTCAATTAATCTCGCACAAGCTCCGGCAACCGCTACCACCAACAGTAGCTACGACCACAAAAGTCAGCGGAGTTCTCCACGGTCTACTTCTACACCACCACAAAAACCACACGTTCTGCTTTGGTTGTAGTGACGTCGAACAGTTGGTTAGAGACCCACAAACCCGTATAGACATCGTAAGGCTTGTAGATTGAAAATAGAGATGCATATACGCCATAATAGATTCAGACTCAAACGGAGAAACACAATTTGATGCCCGCGCACAGAGACGTAAAAATTGATACGGATCAGCGGTGGCCAACCGGCATCTCCGTAGCTCTTTAATCCACCACACATGGCTCTATCGAAGTGTCATAACGTAGAACATACAATCACAGTAGCAAAGAATAAATGGAAGTTGTATGATATATACACACTTGGTTCTTGGCAAAACTCACGTGTACTTTTTGGCTCTTGGTCTGTTGTTACACGCTGGCCACCCCTAACGTAGAGATTCGGACTCAAATGGAGAAACAATTAGATGGCCTGACATCGAGACGTATATATTGATATAGATGCTGTGGGGTCTGAGAGGACGGAGAAGCCAGTGTTGGCATGCCTCCCTGTGACGCTTTCACGTGTGAACGGGCTGTGTAAAACGATTCCCCCATAGGCCAACATGAATTGTTCATGTGTTTAACGAGGTGGACAGTAAGTGCATGCAAGATATGTGCATGTTGGTGAAGTAAGTAACACATAAAGCATCACCTTGTGCATCCAGTGATGGTTTCCTGTTAACAAATTCAGCAGTTGACAGAATTTCATTTCAAAGGTTTAGAAATCGCTGTAAAAGTCTCGTAATTATTCAGCATTGCGTACTTCTGTATGATTCATTGCTTGTAGTGCCTTATATTTTACAGTTACACGAAAGAATACAATTACTGCTACGATTCTGCATGTCCGTGACTGATGTCCTTAACTACTGACCCCAATCATGATCCATATCCAGGCTCATTGAGCGTCATGAGGTTTTGATGGAGTTTGTTTAATTAATGTGTTCAACGATTTTATTTGTAGGTAATTCAATCATCGTGGGATTTGGGCTATGATGCAGGCAATGGCTTAAGCGTGTGAATCGCGATGTTACTGGGTGTTGAACCTCCAATAGAAAGGAAATTTCACACTAACGGGAAATGAATAGAGGGAATTGTTAGTCCATGCCATAGTAATGTGGAATATCCACCAATGGCCCAGAGTTGTAAACTGGAGATGAGCACGACTCCATAATTGTTGACCAGCAAGCCATGTTGATTTTTGTCGGATTGACTTTACCCTACACAGGTCACAGAAGTGGGGTTTGTTTCACAGGTAAAAAGGGTCTTGGTATTTTTATTTATTCAATTGTGTTTCCGTTAAAAGTTTGTATTTACAATCTGCACGCAATAAAATGCAATTGTGCATTTTGTGTCACGTGTTTTACATGTTACAGGCATTTACATGGTGGATTGGTGGCGCAGTGGTTAGCACACTGCTACAAACCTGCCAATCTTGAGTTCGATTTATGGCCATGGCTAACAAATAGTGGCAAATGATAGCAGAACTGGTTCTGGATCCTCCCCCTACTTCACTTCATCCAATTTTGACCAGCGTAGTGAAGTATGGTCAAACAAACCCCCATGCTCAACACGGCTTGGGGGGGGGGCCTTCACCCAGCGGTAGCTTCACACAAGACGGAGCTAATATTATTACTGGGAATTCCAAAGCTACACGTATATAAGGACAATATTAATAGATTGCACAGTGTGGCCTTGCATGCATTTAAAAAGACTCATGTTTAATGCCACGGTGCAATGCAATCTAAAATACATCACAATCTTATAAGTTCTGCTTTTTTAAAATTGTCTTTAGCGGCGCGATGGTGCAATGGTTCTTACACCTGACATTAAAATCCGGAGATCGCGGGTTCGATTCGACCTCCCGCGCGGTAGTTCATGACAATAGGCATGGGGAAGTTTCTTAAATAACTCCCTGCCCACTGTTCACCCACCGGAATAGGAGGACTGCATCTGGCGGGGTAAAGCGTGAGCACTTCCCACCTCTTTCAAGACGTATGGCTAACATGGAAGAGTAGGCCAAGTAATCTCTAGAGGGGCTCTCTAGAGTTCCAGCTAGTGGAGGTCATTCTGTCAGCGGTGGTAAGAGCAGGCAATTTGCAGGGCTGCACCATTATCTCATTATTTCGTCATATCTGCGTACGCACGCCCTCCCTGTCTGTCGTTGCCCTTCATGGCTCTAACAATTCAGGTTCTGCGAGTCTTGTTGAACGTTGAACGTGAGATGTTGATGCTCACTCAGCATGACTAGCAGGGCACGTGCGCGCCCTTTCAGTTCAGGTCACATTGTCCGTCCCCCAGGGAGAGAGTATAATCGCATTGCCCACAACGATTTAACCGGGGGTGGTGGGGGGGGGAGAAATGAATTTCAAAATTATGTTGAAGGCGCGAGTAAAGTTTCGCTTGAACGTGTTTTGGGTGGTGGTGGCGGAACGCGGTCGGGGCCTGGTTGGGTGGGTGGGCACGCCAACAGGGCGAGGAACGGGGAGCCGTGTGAAGCGTGCCTTGCCCCGTGTGAAATCCACTGCTGGGTAAGGAACTCCCACAATGCCGTGTCAGTTATACGGTGTGGTTTTTTTTTGGACCAGACTTCACCGTGCTGGTCAGCGTGGCTTCGTGAGCATAATCGCAGGGAGCATAGATAGTACCCTACAATAGATTATGCTGCACTGCCCTCTGCTGCTCACCTGTAATATATACACGAAGTTTTTACGTTTATTTAAGAGGGGTGGTACGGGGGTGTATTTAATCACTTGGATGGGGGGAGGGGCATATTTTACAGTGATGTTTGGGGCTTCCTGTAACGAAGTCGATGTGTGGTTAGGGTGGGGGGTGGTACCTGTCACCACGTGGGTGGATGTGTGGTTGGAGTGGGGGGGGGGGGGTACCTGTCACCACGTGGGTGGATATGTGGTTGGAGTGGGGGGGGGTACCTGTCACCACGTGGGTGGGTGTGTGGTTGGAGTGGGGGGGGTACCTGTCACCACGTGGGTGGATATGTGGTTGGAGTGGGGGGGGGGGGTACCTGTCACCACGTGGGTGGATATGTGGTTGGAGTAGGGGGGTACCTGTCACCACGTGGGTGGGTGTGTGGTTGGAGTGGGGGGGGGTACCTGTCACCACGTGGGTGGATGTGTGGTTGGAGTGGGGTACCTGTCACCACGTGGGTGGATATGTGGTTGGAGTGGGGGGGGGGGTACCTGTCACCACGTGGGTGGGTGTGTGGTTGGAGTAGGGGGGGATACCTGTCACCACGTGGGTGGGTGTGGGGTTGGAGTGGGGGGGGGGGTACCTGTCACCACGTGGGTGGATGTGTGGTTGGAGTGGGGGGGGGGGTACCTGTCACCACGTGGGTGGATGTGTGGTTGGAGTGGGGGGGGTACCTGTCACCACGTGGGTGGGTTTGTGGTTGGAGTGGGGGGGGTACCTGTCACCACGTGGGTGGGTGTGTGGTTGGAGTGGGGGGGGGGGGTACCTGTCACCACGTGGGTGGGTGTGTGGTTGGAGTAGGGGGGGGTACCTGTCACCACGTGGGTGGGTGTGTGGTTGGAGTGGGGGGGGGGGGTACCTGTCACCACGTGGGTGGATGTGTGGTTGGAGTAGGGGGGGGGGTACCTGTCACCACGTGGATGGATGTGTGGTTGGAGTGGGGGGGGGTACCTGTCACCACGTGGGTGGATGTGTGGTTGGAGTAGGGGGGGGGGTACCTGTCACCACGTGGGTGGGTGTGTGGTTGGAGTAGGGGGGGGGTACCTGTCACCACGTGGGTGGGTGTGTGGTTGGAGTAGGGGGGTACCTGTTACCACGTGGGTGGGTGTGTGGTTGGAGTAGGGGGGTACCTGTCACCACGTGGGTGGGTGTGTGGTTGGAGTGGGGGGGGGTACCTGTCACCACGTGGGTGGATGTGTGGTTGGAGTGGGGTACCTGTCACCACGTGGGTGGATATGTGGTTGGAGTGGGGGGGGGGGGGGGTACCTGTCACCACGTGGGTGGGTGTGTGGTTGGAGTAGGGGGGGGATACCTGTCACCACGTGGGTGGGTGTGTGGTTGGAGTGGGGGGGGGGTACCTGTCACCACGTGGGTGGATGTGTGGTTGGAGTGGGGGGGGGGGGTACCTGTCACCACGTGGGTGGATGTGTGGTTGGAGTGGGGGGGGTACCTGTCACCACGTGGGTGGGTTTGTGGTTGGAGTGGGGGGGGGTACCTGTCACCACGTGGGTGGGTGTGTGGTTGGAGTGGGGGGGGGGGTACCTGTCACCACGTGGGTGGGTGTGTGGTTGGAGTAGGGGGGGGGTACCTGTCACCACGTGGGTGGGTGTGTGGTTGGAGTGGGGGGGGGGGGTACCTGTCACCACGTGGGTGGATGTGTGGTTGGAGTAGGGGGGGGGGTACCTGTCACCACGTGGATGGATGTGTGGTTGGAGTGGGGGGGGGTACCTGTCACCACGTGGGTGGATGTGTGGTTGGAGTAGGGGGGGGGGGTACCTGTCACCACGTGGGTGGGTGTGTGGTTGGAGTAGGGGGGGGGTACCTGTCACCACGTGGGTGGGTGTGTGGTTGGAGTAGGGGGGTACCTGTTACCACGTGGGTGGGTGTGTGGTTGGAGTAGGGGGGGGGGTACCTGTCACCACGTGGGTGGGTGTGTGGTTGGAGTAGGGGGGGGGTACCTGTCACCACGTGGGTGGGTGTGTGGTTGGAGTGGGGGGGGGGTACCTGTCACCACGTGGGTGGATGTGTGGTTGGAGTGGGGGGGGGGTACCTGTCACCACGTGGGTGGATGTGTGGTTGGAGTGGGGGGGGGGTACCTGTCACCACGTGGGTGGATGTGTGGTTGGAGTGGGGGGGGGTACCTGTCACCACGTGGGTGGATGTGTGGTTGGAGTGGGGGGGGGTACCTGTCACCACGTGGGTGGGTGTGTGGTTGGAGTAGGGGGGGGTACCTGTCACCACGTGGGTGGGTGTGTGGTTGGAGTGGGGGGGAGTACCTGTCACCACGTGGGTGGATGTGTGGTTGGAGTGGGGGGGGGGGGTACCTGTCACCACGTGGGTGGGTGTGTGGTTGGAGTAGGGGGGGGTACCTGTCACCACGTGGGTGGGTGTGTGGTTGGAGTGGGGGGGGGTACCTGTCACCACGTGGGTGGATGTGTGGTTGGAGTGGGGGGGGGGGGTACCTGTCACCACGTGGGTGGATGTGTGGTTGGAGTAGGAGAGGCATAGAAGGGGGGTGAAGATAGCTCCGACCACGTGTGCTGAGGGGCGGGGTGTGTGGGTGGAAGGGGAGGGGTAGGGGGTGTGTGGGTGGAAGGGGAGGGGTAGAGGGTGTGTGGGTGGAAGGGGTGGGGATTGGGGGGGGGGAGCCTCGTGCCCGTATTTGGCTACAAATCCGCGGGGCTTGCTGGCCGCGCGCATGCGCACTCCGCTCCCGCCGGGCCCACACGCAACCACGTGGGGAGCAGCGGCAGCAGGAGACGACGAGAATCAGTAGAAGCAACAGCAGCGGCAGCGAGGAGGAGGACGAGGCGGGGAACCACGACCACAACGAGGTGGAGGAGGAGGGCTCTAGCTTCAGGTTCACCTCCTCGCAGCGCGGCCTCCACCAGCAGTCGGCGCCACGGAAGAGGTGGGATACGCCGAGGTTGATGCCTGAGCGTCGCCGCTGTTGTTGATACTCAAAGTCAAAGTGTCAAAGTGCGCGCGTGCACCTCGTGTGCAGCAGTGTCCGCGAGCGCCTTGCTGGGTGCGTGGTTGACGACGGATTATTTGGGGTGGCTTCGGGGAGGGGGGGAGGGAGGGGGGGTGGGAAGTTCCACATTGCTATGGACAGGGCCCCGGTGTGGTTTGTCCCCATGGGTTTGGAAGAGAGGTGCAGCAAGTAGCAGCAGCAGCAGCAGCAGCTGGAGTGGACTTGCTCGCAACAGTGCTCCATGAGTCCTTGATTGTTGGTTTTCGGTTTGCTGTGAACAAGTGTACAAATGAGATGAGAGCGACGAGGTGACGGAAGAGTGTCATTACACGGACGAGGTGAAGAGGGATGATGATGATGATAAGTATGATAGTCAACAAAAGGGTTTTTAGGTAGCTGGTGCAGCGAACACGGTGAGGTTGTCAAAGTAAAACTAATGGTGACGAGGTGCCGAAGGCGATGTGGCTGACGAGGTTGGTGGTGGTGGCAAGGGTGACGAGGTGGAGGTGGGTGGTGTAGAAGCTGAGGGGGACGAGACGATGGCGATGTGACGAGGTGAATGAGGTCCAAGATGAGGTGACGACTGTGACACGATGTACGTACACTGCGTTGAGGGTCGCAATGGTTAAACAAAGATGAGGTCGGGCGTGTGGGGGTTAACGATGTTGACGGGTTGCCGATGGTGACGAGGTGACGATAGAAAACTTAAGCCGCGACAGGTTGACGAGGTTGCTGATGGTGAGGAGGTGTCGAAGTGGGGGTGAGGAGGTGTCGAAGGGGGGGGTTAGGAGGTGTCGAAGGGGGGTTAGGAGGTGTCGAAGGGGGGTGAGGAGGTGTCGAAGGGGGGGGTGAGGAGGTGTCGGGGGGGGGCTGAGGAGGTGTCGAGGGGGGGGGGTGAGGAGGTGTCGGGGGGGGGGCTGAGGAGGTGTCGAGGGGGGGGGGTGAGGAGGTGTCGAGGGGGGGTGAGGAGGTGTCGGGGGGGGGGGGCTGAGGAGGTGTCGAGGGGGGGTGAGGAGGTGTCGGGGGGGGGGGCTGAGGAGGTGTCGAGGGGGGGTGAGGAGGTGTCGGGGGAGGGGGGTGAGGAGGTGTCGGGGGGGCTGAGGAGGTGTCGGGGGGGGGGCTGAGGAGGTGTCAAGGGGGGGGGTGAGGAGGTGTCGGGGGGGGGGGCTGAGGAGGTGTCGGGGGGGGGGCTGAGGTGTCGAGGGGGGGGTGAGGAGGTGTCGAGGGGGGGGGCTGAGGAGGTGTCGGGGGGAGGGCTGAGGAGGTGTCGGGGGGGGGGGCTGAGGAGGTGTCGAGGGGGGGCTGAGGAGGTGTCGAGGGGGGGGGGGTAGTGAGGCGATCGCTCGCCGACCTTGCCACGGTGGCGCCGCGCTTGACATCAACGAGGTGCCGACGATGTTGGACGAGGTGATGACTTTCGGCGATGGTGACGTTGACGAGGTGGGGGAGGGAGGGGGGGTGCTTGATGCCTACCCGCTGCTGCCGGCCGTGACCTCGGTGTGGCCATTCGGGGGGGGCCTCATTCAGCCGCAGCTGCTGTCTCTGTTGCAGCGGTAGCAGCAGACGTAGAAAAAGTTATAATATTTGTTTAAGAGAAGCAGAATTAGCAGCAGAAGAAGCAGCAGCAGCAGCGTGGAGAGAAACCACGAGGGCGGAGCGCGGTGACATTGCGTGCGCGCACTGTACCCCGCACTGTACGCGGCGTGGGTGACACATGGCCCGCGAGATGCTCTCTCAGCGGCTCCACGTTGAGGCTCGCAGTGGCTCCACGGGGAGGCCTCAGAGTGGCTCCACGTTGAGGCTCGCAGTGGCTCCACGTTGAGGCTCGCGGTGGCTCCACGTTGAGGCTCAGAGTGGCTCCCCGAGCCTTGCGGTGGCTCCACGTTGAGGCTCAGTGGCTCCACGTTGAGGCTCAGAGTGGCTCCCCGAGCCTTGCGGTGGCTCCACGTTGAGGCTCGCAGTGGCTCCACGTTGAGGCTCAGAGTGGCTCCACGAGCCTTGCGGTGGCTCCACGTTGAGGCTCGCAGTGGCTCCACGTTGAGGCTCGCAGTGGCTCCACGTTGAGGCTCGCAGTGGCTCCACGTTGAGGCTCAGAGTGGCTCCACGTTGAGGCTCGCAGTGGCTCCACGTTGAGGCTCAGAGTGGCTCCACGTTGAGGCTCGCAGTGGCTCCACGTTGAGGCTCGCAGTGGCTCCACGTTGAGGCTCAGAGTGGCTCCACGTTGAGGCTCAGAGTGGCTCCACGTTGAGGCTCAGTGGCTCCACGTTGAGGCTCAGTGGCTCCACGTTGAGGCTCGCGGTGGCTCCACGTTGAGGCTCGCGGTGGCTCCACGGGGAGGCCTCAGAGTGGCTCCACGTTGAGGCTCGCGGTGGCTCCACGTCTCTCAGAATGCCTCTATGTGTACCGATGTCTTCGTGGCTTTATATTTACCTTCGGGGTGGCTCCATGCGTCCCTGAGGCTGTCTCCATGTTGTACTTTAGGGTTGGCTGGATGCTTCTGTGACTGTGGCTCCACGTTTCCCTGAGGGTGGCTCCATGTCGCGAAATTAGCACCGTATGTTTCTAGGCTCGATTCTATTTCTTCTCATGAGCTTCAACTCCATGTCGGCCCTGAACTGGTTGTCCCAGAACCAGCACCATGCCTGTTCCAAGCAGGCTTCAGGTGTCGCCAACCGGCTTCCCATCTCTCTCCCAACCCCGATCCAACCCCATTTGCTCCCTTTGCCGTTTGGGATTGATGGGATCGCTAAAATCCAGGCCCAAACATTTTTCGTTATATTTTTTTTTCTCTCCTCAACATTCCTGCCTCTGCATTGATAAATCTTTGTTTACACGTGCAGCTGCGTATTGACGCAGACTGCGGTAAATACAAAGAAAACTACTGCCATTCCATTCTGCTGAACTTCCTAAACTAAATACAGTGCAGTATAAGGGAACACACCCAATATGTAGGAACATCTAACCGATGTTTTGGGAAATTGCCCTTTGGGGATGAATGTAATGGTGCCCTGTATTCACAATGATGATTGTGTTTTGAATGTTGGGCCATCGTAGTTACGTGCTTTTTACAGAATTATTAAGCTTGGTCCAATTTCTTCAGATTCCTATAACCCTGAATGCATCCAAATTTATCGTTCGATCTTAGTTACGGTGCCCATTTAACCCGTGCACCCATGTTGGCTAATTTGTTCTAGCAGTCCTGGTTGCTCCGTCTCGTCAATGCCATCTCTCAATCACCACGCGGCAGGTCACGACACTTCTCTTGCCGCTTTTCTTTACCCTCGCCACTCGACTTCGAGAATTCCCTTGTCGTTGTTTCGCTTTCTCCCCAAGTTATTGTAACTTTGCTCCGTGTCGAGAAACGCGTTCTCTTCTAACTAACTTTGATTGGCCTGTTTTTCTCTCTCGGCTGCTTTGGTGTTGTATTGGGCCCGGTGCTCTCGCACTTGGCAAAATCATCTGCAGCTTCGCTATTGATTTCTACGCTGATGTCACCCAGCTCTATAAGCTATGACTTGAACTGTCAACTTTTATTTATTTTACCAGTTAAGGCCCACTGAACTATATAACTATATTTGCAGAAGCAACCTGGTCACAAATGATGGCTCAATGAGAAGTGGCTTATCGTGTGAAAATTCATAGAGGCCAAGTACTCTCAGCGCATGTTTATTAATGTGGAGGGGAAAACCCGGAGGACCCGGAGAAATATCCACGCAACCACAGGGAGAATACGCAAACTCCAAATATACAGGCGTCAGGTTCGGGTTTAAACCCACGACCTACTGTATACCAGGCGAGGTAGTTAACATCTCGCCATCATGGCCCCCCTTTAACATTTCCATTGCCTCCACAACCCTAACCTCGCTGCCCACTCACATGCTGCCCTGACACCAGTCTCATTTTATAATGGTTCTAACTTTTTGCAACTTAACGTTGCCCAAACTGAAGTTCTTGTTTGCTAAAAAAAACACCCTTGGTCAAGACTGAACTTAATAATTAGGCGCAGCATATTGGTATGCCAAAGAAGACTTTTAATTATTCTACATTACCTTCTGTGACGCATTGATCAGAAGCATCAACATTGATGACGGAAACCGAAGAAAAGCTAAGAAGTGTGCAGAGACGCTTGGAGAGCTGCCTGCTGATAATTTCACTCGGGAGACAGACTAAGACCTGGATCAGTGAGCATATGTAAATCCAGTGACATTGTTATACACTTTCGAGGAGTAAGTGGGCTTAAAGGGATGGTGGCCAGTGCTCTGCAGAGTGGCAGCCAAAGGAAGGCAGCATTTCTCCCTCTTCTTTGGCTGCCTATCCTGTCCACTGCGGAGACGCAGCAATGATATCGGGGTCACGTGCGTGAGCTGGATTGGATCGTTGCATTGGGAGACCGTGAGAGGTGGTGCGACGACTTGAAGGAGGAGGCCTTCCTCCGTTATTGGATTGGCCATGGCTGATGATGAGCAAATATTTGCGCTTCTTAAACTCTTGACATTTTACTCTGCAGGAACCTCATAGCTCCAACGTCCATCACTGTCTCCCAGCTGCTGCCGTTACCCTCGTCAATGTCTTCAACGTACCCTGACTCGGTTATTGCAACTTTCTCCTCTGTGGCCTCCCCAATTCCTTCACCAGCACACACAAGTTGATCCAAAAGGCCAATGCCAAACTTCTCGCACCCTGCACCTATAAACGAGATCCCAATCTTCCAATCCGTCCACTGGTTCCCGCTCCAATCGCGGATCAACTGCAAAGTTTACCCTCACAATCTACAAGATCCTCCGTGGACTCGCCTCTTGGTCTGCCTCTTCCCTCCCATCTCGCTGTGCTTCACACACACACACATCCTGCTCCTTGCGTAGAAAACCTGCAGACAACCTTCGGTCAATTGAAGGTCCCTCATTCTCCTCTGCTACCCATGTAGCGTGGAACTCTCT